GGTTTGATATCCAAAAATCTATTACTGGACCCGTTGAAGATTGTTTACCACCTCATTACTACGTACCCTCGTATGCCTAACTACTCACAGTAATTGGGGCCTGGAGATTAGACCTAACATCATCTTGAGAATTTCTACACTCCAGAATGAGTCCCGATCGCTTGAATATCCGAGAAAATACTTACTTGTCTTCTAGTCTTTTATCTGTCCTATATCCGTGCTCTGACCATGATAGAATATGGAGACAAAATCCGTATTGTAATGTATTTTTGTTACATCGTCACTTAGGCTTACAAAAAACTTCAGATTTGAATGCCTAGTTTAGAACAAAAATGGGGGTATCTCATTTTAAACTGACAAAGCTGTATTGGGATGCTTTAATGCAATAATTCTCAGGTAAGAAGCAATATCTAATAAAGATTAATTGAATCAAATTAAATAAATTCGACATATTGCTTGTTTATCCCCAACGCAACTGAACTGAGTAGATATGTCTAAGTGATAGATCTCAATGCACTTAATCCTTTTTTGTTCCGAAACAAATCAATTATACTATAATTAGTATCAAGGCAGCACATCTGTGTCTACGTCGTCGTGCACCACAGCCTCATCAGTGTGAAAAGGCACCAACAGAATTTAATGGTTTGTAAAATAAGATTTTACGATCTCGTCCCAACGAGTGGAAGTTGATAGATCAGATGAATCAAGACACCCGTGAGGCCATCACTCACCTTGTCGCGCTTTCAGCTGTTATTCTTTTTTGTTTTTGAAGAGACGACTCCATCTCGGGAGGCGTGTACCTAAACATAAATTACGCGATTGTTTAATGTGTTTATTGGCGTTAATAATTTCTTGCGTGCAATGAAGTGGATACCCTTGACTTTGCAGAGAGCAGCAGCGCATGCAAAATTTTTCCATTGGATTAAGCAATTTTCAAAGTCATTATTCATGTTTTCTCTTTCCAAACATTCCTCTAACAATACGTCAAAAAACAAGTAACACTGTAGTATAAGGAAACGGAGTAGTGTTTTGATAGAGGTATGAGATGGAATTGAATCGTTCATTAGTAGTTTATCGATTGTGTCTATGTCTTTAGGTTGGGTTGAAAAATAGTATACGCTGACACTCCACCTTTTCGGCGCTGTTTTTCTTCCTATTAAGTATATTATTTTGTAATTCTGTGACGATTGCTAATTATTATAGTTGCAGTCACCGTTTTTGGCGGTTACGTCAGCAACGCCATATGAAATAACTAAACAGATCGAGTCTCCGTACCATGGGCGGAACACTGCTCAGACAAATCTTCAGCGCATCTGCTACTATCTCCAGTACGCATGAAGTGGGTAACGGGACCGCTGTTTTCATTCTCTTCCTGGAAATACTCTAATAAATTTAGCACGATCTGTCGGCCTTCTCCATTGATCGTATTTCCGGACATTGTAAAATTGTATATTGAAGACTGATAACAGGACTACTCGAATTGCACGCCGATGTCAAATAAGTTGTCAATCTGACAAATATCATTGAAGGGGACTCATACGTAACGACAAAGTTTTCGAGACGGAGACACACACCTAAAATGTCTCTGAGTTTACCGAACAAACGTTTACGCACAGGGGTGGGTTGCATGTGTATGTATGAGGGAGATGGAGATATATAGATACTGGTAGCCTTACTTTGACTCGCCAAGAATGGTGACTACAACTACGCTATTATTATTTCAAAAACCTCGGAAGTCACAATTTGTATTTTTAAGGAGATAATGAAAATTGGTAAATAAACCTGTTCTAGTGAACTTTTTTGGGCTGAATACAGTATTTTAGTTATAAGAGATTAAAATTTCGATTAGTCTTAATTATAATGTTGGAACAAGCCCGTAGAACTGTTCTCGACTGTCAATAATCGGCAATCGCTTAGAAGTACCCACGTGCTTATTTGACTACCAAACACCAAAATGCATTTCTTCATCGAAAAAAATAGCGTCATGTGGGTTGTACTTCCCACGCAAGTCCATCATCAGTTTATATAGGATTATGTTGAGCACAAGTTAGACCCTTTAAGAAAAAAGTTACTTACCCTATGAACCCAGAGAGCAGTAGCAGAGAGGCATACCAAAAATGTGTTTCCATCTTTCAGGGGCAAATGTACGGGGAAATGTTGTGTAAAATATGCCTAACGAGTGCGTAAAATCACTGAGGTTCGGTGCGTGTAGATATACCAGCATCAAAAAATTGAGATATACCCTCACGCAACCCTTACAGCCCCCAATTTTTAACCTCTATAATGTCTTACTAAAAATGATTAGGGAGTATCTGGAACGTCAAAAAACAGTTTGAGTTTGAGCGTTTTCTTTTCCTTTTTTTTAGTTTTTTGACCCGTAGCTCCACTTCACACTAGTTTTCAAGAGCTTTGAAGCTTTTTCGTCCTTGGCATAGTGTCAATCTTGTGTTAAAATTTTATAGAAATCCAAGTTATAGATGGGTAAAGGATTAGCGGACAATCAGCTGACAGACAGACAGAAAAGTAGTGGTTTTTCGTGATGTACGAGTACATATCATGTAAGATCCAAACAGATAATAATAGCGTATATATCATTTTCGGAATTCATCGCGAATACAATATTTCCAAAAGTAAAATTTAATTTTGCAAGATAGGTATTGTGTGTGCAATTCAATTTCCACATTATCGGTAGGAACAGCTTTTCGAAATATTTAGCGTATATTTGAAGAACTTTCTCAGTCATACAAATAAGGAGTCAATACTTTTGGTTAGGAAACAAAAAAACTCTTAAATAAGTGATTACGGGCAAAGTGGATAAGGCATATAAGTAACCTTACTTATGTTGTTAGTGAATTTAAAATTAGTATTTTTTCGCATATAATAGATAAACATGAAAATAAAACAAACCAAAGGCATTGGCACTGTCTTTGAAATGACCCGTTCAAGTACCCGCCGACCAGTTGCGCATGCAAAAACAAATAAGCCATTTGACTTGATTTTTGATTTTCTTATAGACATGACACTGAATTGTCTGTAATCTACCACTCTATACAGAGTGTTATATTACCTTTCTGAAAAGTACTGCATGTAAATCTATTTCGTTTTAGTAGTGCGGCAAAATTCACTTCATAATCGCCTCTGACATTTGGCGTTTTAAATCTCCACCACCCTCCAGCAGTTTTCTACAATTAACACCATTGCATTATTATGCTAAGATTGCTCTAGTTAGTATAAAGACACTTCATTATATTTGTCTTCATTTAGTCAAACGGTAAGTCTTGTAATACGTCAGTAACTTTTCTACATTGTACAAAATCTGAAATGCTTCACATCCTTCACATGTCGATCAAAATGCTGATAAGCTGGATTTGCTACCAGAACTAATCCTCATTGCACACAGAAAGAAAACATCCATATGTAGGTTTATTTATTTATTTAAATATACTTAATTAAGACTGACGCAAATAATATAGTAGTGGTATCGCAAAGTACGAGTATCGTATAATGGAAAAGGAAATAACCACGCAATTGGCGATAACTCTATCATCTGAGACCACTTGCACTAATGAGGATGTGAATTTCATAAAGCTTTTTCCTATTCGCTTATAATCTCAATACTAGCCAAACTACCGTTTTTATCCGCCACGAATAAATATTTATACTTAATGAGTTTTGACCGTTGTTGCATTAATCGTGTTTATACAAGTAAATTAGATTTTACAACAGCCTGAGCCGTACGTAAAGCCGTACTTGAATGGATATAAATTATTTAAATTGCAAAATCTAGTTAGTCGATACACGCCTACCAAGATGTTTACTCTGAGTTATGGTGAACGTTCAGCAGCTATTCTCTTGTTTAATGAAAATATCTCCAAATGACGAAGGCACTAGATACAACTATAACACAAGTGATACCGATATATCTTTTAGAAGTCAAATCCAATCCGTACAAGACAGATATTTGTTGACAATTAAAAGCAGACCTTTTATGTTTCAGAAATATGAACCTGAGGTTGTGATTTAGACTTTGATGATATTGTTTATAGAAGGACTAATGAACACTGAAACCGATCAATTGGAGGGTTAATGCTAACTTGCAAGCTTGCAATACCTTATAGTATTTTACTGAAGAGACTGCAAGCTATTTCATGCCTAATATGAGAGAATACTATAATATGAATTACGTTTGGCACTACCTTTTTATTTATTATATTATTTCTAGATACTACACGTTTTGCTAAACTCAAAAGCGATGAATGAAAAATGTAAAGCTATAGAAATTTCATTTTTTCCTGTAAAGGAGAACTACGTCGAGTAACATCTCTTGAGCGCCTTCAGTGAAAATATGATTTTAAAAGAATACGACCATCTAGTCATTGATATTACGCATGAAGCATAATGATTTTCTCAAGGGCGTATTCAGGAGAGCTTTGGCCTCTCCTAGAGACAACATCTCTTTCGCTCCTTGATGTTAAATTCTCTCCGATTTACCGGGCTTTGCAAAGAAGGAAACATCCCCGCGGATACCCCAAATGTTGCAGAATCCAGAATTTTCCCTGGGTAAGCCAGTGACTTATCTCGCAAAGTATGGAGACTTGGTTATAAGCCTGGAATTATTGTAGACTATGGTTCCCTGCTACTGCACCAATCATGGCAAAAAGTTTGAATGATATATGTATCATTTTAGCATTAGCATTTTCACGACTGGCATTGCCCTTTCCATTTATGCACCTGTTGGTGCTTCTGAAGCAAGAAGCTCTCCTGCATAGTGTATCATTGAAACTTTTATCGTGAAATGAGGAAATCCTAACTTATGTTTCTAAAAAATGTATTTGAACTGAGGTTTTCACATCTAACAACACTGTTTTTTAATAGAAAAATATCACGCATTAAAGAGTATCTATTTGAAAACTCATCGTATAAAGTTATCTTTAAAATTGTCTTTGTGAAGAGCGACAACGCATTTCTCTTTGGAAAGGTTAATTTTTTTTATTACATACCTTGAGCTTGACATCCCACCACCAACCCCCACAACACGATAACAGCAACAACATGAGTCCGTGGCGGGAAAATCTTCAAACTGTTCCATTTTGGGCGATCACCTTCACCATTGACAGTCGGCATGGTCTCTGTCGCGAGCACGTGTCTTTGCAGTCAAAGCAGAGGGAGACAACAAGCTCCCATCGCGACGGAGTCTTTACGGACACTGAACGGACCGTTCTAAGTTCCAAGCCGCAAAGTCGCAGCACCGCGGATCCCTATCGCGGGCACAGATCTGCGCGAGACGCGGCTAATGTGGTATCCACAAGGATCTGTTCCAGGGCTAGGGTTATCGCATCATTAACATATTTGCTCCTCTCGCATTCAGAGGTTTACGCTCATTGAGGGGAAGAGAAGTGAATTAGGCACGCGAGGCGCGATAATGTTACTTGAGATAGAAGCATTCTCTTTCCGACCCCATTGTTAAAGATTGCTGTTTGATGTTTCCGTGCGACAAGAATCGCTTCCCTTCTCCTCAATGTGCGTGCTCCTTTAAAAGTTCGGTTTAGGAGTTGGAAAGATCGTATTGATACGAGCTTTTAAACCATAAGTATTAGATGGTAGGTCCTGAAAATCTTTTGCCCAAACACTGGTACCGAAAAGGAAAAGAGCACGTTACTGAAGGTGCGGCATCCCTTTGAATTGACAAAATCGAAATGTAAGTACATATCGCGACGTATTCAAGGAGATACCACGCTGGCCAGTGGCGTGGGATGTGTTCCGCTGCTCTCGTCCTTTTTGGTACTCGAGTATAATAGCCGGTAGTGCGTTTCAGAGAGGTCCAGTTTTCAATTACTAATTTTTACTAGTTTGAGCGATGGCCTGATATATGTTGACTTTGATGGTCGCCAGTAGATTTCAACTTGTTTTTATAGACCTGTTACTTCAACAAACCTTACAAGACAGGGTTCAAGACTCGCGATCTTTTACCGAAGCACGGCGACTGCTATAAGAAGCTGAAAGACATATTCTAATTCTGATTTTTTAACTGAAAAAGTTTGGCATATCTGAAAAAAACCTCCTCAAAGCAGTATGTTCCACAATCTCGACACCATAGGAAATAAGGAGCGTTCGTACCGGCCACTCTTGGATGTACGAAAATCGACGAAGTGAGGATGGAAGGCAGATGCCTGAACAACTCCGTCTGGCAGGCTCAACACGCGACGGCATCATGGGGAGGAGCTCTCAGGAGCAAAACTCGTTGGCAAAAACGTTTTCATATACATGTATCGCAATTTTTTATCAGTATATTTACGTTCCTAACCTCGATAATTCTATGCACCTATTAGACATATTTCACACACAATAGATTCCTCCGTACATTTTATAACTTGAGCTTGAACTTTAGGTTAGGTAAATGTCCTGGCATTACTGACGTTGTGCCGCGTCTGACGCGTCGTGCGGTCAGGTATCGGAGAAAGGCGATGTTGCCAGATGGACGGTACTACCGGTAGGGCTGGGAAATAATGTCTATGGGTTAATTGTATAGGCCTGTTCGACTGACTTCATCCGTTTAATTGCTGTTACATGTTCGTAACTAAGTTTTTCTAAGAGGGTCTAACTTCTGTTGATGACGTCGTTGCGTGAGAGGTGAGTCAATCTACTTGACGCCATTTTTGTGAACCAGATTATTTATTCCTTCGTTCGTTAATAAACAATGATTGGGAGTGTCCAGATAGGCAACGAAATCAAATGGGAACAGTAGGTAGGTATAAATTTTTCACTTGAGTTACATTTTTCTACAGTCAGTCGTTTTTAGTATGTCAGAAAATAAAATCTTAGGAGAAGAACGTATAGAAGAGAGAAAGAGTAATAAAGCAGCTATTAGAAAAAAAATGAAAAAGTACTTCCTAGAAATTAATGTACTAATTCTATCTTAACCAAAAAGTGATTTTCGATTACTTAAAGAGTCACTACTTAGTTTTGTTTACTTTTGTAATATGTTCATACCTACAATACCCCGCCGGACAGCGTTATATTTCATTAATTTTAGACATTCTTAAAGCTCGGAATATATTCAAAAAATTTATTCTTGTGTCCAAAAAAGGAGGACATCGTTATTCGGTATAACCCAATACTGGATGAAACGATCTCCATGAAGCCGAAAATGACACGTTTTAAACGGTCTGCTAGAACGCACTTACTTTTGTAATATGTCCATACCTACAATACTCAGCCTAACATCGTTATAGTTCGATAATTTTAGATATACTTAAAGCTCGGAATATATTCAAATTATTCTTATGTCCAAAAAAGGAGGACATCCTTATTCGGTATGACCCAATACTTGATGAAGCCGAAAATGACACGCTTTAGACGGTCTGCTAGCATACACTTACATTTGTAATATGTTCATACCTACAATACCCCGCCTAACAGTTCATGCAATAAAGTATTGCAACAGAACGCGGCTTGTTTATAACACCGCGCGTGATTTGTGACGTAAAAATTTGAAGGGTCTAAACAAGGGAAAATGGGGAAAGGCTATCATAGCAACGAACCAACAATCAATTTGTTCAGGTCACCAGCTCAGTCGACTTCGTGGAACGTTCGCAATGTTAACCACACTGTTTCAACAATTATTTCGCACATTTTAGTGACGGCACTGTCACCTCAACTTTTTTGAACTGTGCAGTGTGATTTTATTCCAGAAATGGAGTCCAGATGGTACCTATTTCCCGGACAAACTCTAGAAAACACAAAGATCTCGGAACGAAGCCATGCATTACACATAACACAAACAGAATGGGGGAAGATTACAGGGCATCTAGATCGGAATAGACTTATACAAGAAGCTATTGATAGAGAAGCAACTCACAAAAGATATTTGGATGATGGTTCCAAGTCGATGATCAAGAATTGGGAGAACTCTCTTGAGGTATTTGTTTATACTTTGCAGTTTTCCAGCATTCATAAAAAAATGGTTTCTAGAATATACGGAAAAGAAAAGAAGAAGAAAGATCAAGACTAATAGAACAGAGGAAAGGAGATCGTATGGCAAGGTTTTATGAGTTGAGGAGGGAACAAGAGCGAATTCGTAATGAGTACGTGGCAAAAGTGAAGCATGATATTTACATAGACTCAGGTGAGATTAAAGATTTTTTGATATGAAAACATCTTGTCACTAGCTGCATCCGATAAAAAACAGCCGAGGGGCTTACTACTTTTTTAAAAAAAGATCTCCTCAGATAATAATAATAATAATAATAAACGTCTTTTTATTTGGGCGAAGTTTAGCTTAAGCTATTCCAGATAAGATTTATTTGGATATTCTTAACGATCTTTTGATCTCCTTGGAAATTCTTGGATATGCTCAATTTCCCTTTCGGTTTCTATGTATCCTCACCGAATAAAATCATAACATCTAGTGAAAAATTAAGCTAGTCACTCTGGGCTATAATGATGACCAAAAAGTGCTACCAGCACATCCACAGATACACAGACTACCGTAGGTGTTTTTGAGGTTTCTTGGATGTCCTATAATTGCCTTGGTCCTCGGTCCTCATATAGCTCTCGAACGTGGAGGTACCGCCCGGCGGATCATTAAAGCAGAAGGTGTACATGTTACATTCACACGTGTTAACTCGCTAGAGTTAGTGAGGCGTCCCCTCTATTTCCCGATATCTCCCTTGGTGCCCAAAAAATCCTCGTCAAACCTCGTATCTCTGTGTTGCCTCGGATCTCCTCTGTCTGCCTCGGACCTCTTATATTGCATTGAATTTACTTTCAGCGGAATAGAAAATTCATTTGGATGGCATTGGACCTTTTCCCACTAGGATTGAAAATCTCATTGAGTACGCTTGAATGTCATTGCGTTGTACTGGATGTCCTCTCACTGAGAGAGGTGACCTGGATTACTGCCCTTATGTCTGTAAAAGGTCGTCCCAGCTGCTCTGTTCTGGACTATGTGGTCGGAGATGGTGATAATTCTGTAACATAGTATTGTTGATCTTGCGCTGTTCTAGTCAACTAATTGGAATAGGTTAGGAGCCAAGCCTATATGCTTAAATGGCTTTTGTATCCAAAATTACGTACTTTTGGATAGATTTGCCTACCAATACTCACTAAAATGATAGGCGATAGTACTGGGTGAACTCACGTACAGCAGAGCAGAAATACTAGCTGCATTACGATTTGAATCACTCAGTTATTGTTAATAAACAGGGATAAATCAAACAAGGTAAAGAAACGAAAGTAAATATTCACTGATGGTACAGCATATGAATAGCTCCTGCCTAATTTGCTTGAACTCTACCATTGATTAATAACATAATTATTATTCTACCTGAAAATAGTATATTATAATAGTATATTATTATATACTATTATTATATACTATTTTCCGGCGTACAAAAAGGAATCTGAAAGATCCCAACGCCATATAAATATGAGGTAGTAGCTTAACACAAAAATGAATTTAGAAATCTACTAAAGAGTTAGTGTTTGATTCTGCTGCTGTCTCATAGGGTATTCAGCCTTTTAACTGGGTATGCTTATGGTCGAATGCGTTAATCGAAGCCTGAAGATACCCAATTAAAATAGGCATTAGAAAGGCACCAAAGGGGGATTCAAGCACTTAGACCTCTAACTTTTAGAAAGTAGATTTCTTAATCCATTTGTGTGTTCTGCTATGATCTCATAGATGGTGCTAAGATTATTGACATCCCTTTTTGGGCACCGAAATACAGTATATGTGTGTCTATATTCAGGAAGCAGACCTTAATCAATGAGACGTCGGTTTTTCTAAATAGATATTTGTTGTAATAAAAAGATTTGGATGTGATTTGAATTAAATTTCATTTTTCGGGGCGTTCTGATCTTCTCCTCAACAGAATCTCTTGACACTAAAATGGGAAAATGTAAAATTACTGTTTATAACGCGAAAGACAATACCTTCCTTAAAAACTTTTAGATTCAAATTTACGTAGTTTTACTGCATACGTTTGTATCATGTATTTACCATTGCCTACCAAAGTGACAGCGTTCTATCAACAAAGTAAGAAAACTAACCGCTGGCTGCCCTTTGCAAATTAGTCAAGAAGTACCGTGTCCTCAAATCGTCTAAGATCAAAATTATCCGCAAGCACTCCTCGCGCTTTTCAAAATAACACTAAAAATACGAATTTAATGACAGAACTGTCAACCAATTTATTTATGTCAAGTACTAGAAGTACTTCTAGTAGACTACAAACTGAGACTTTGGAGACAAACAAGTCGTAGGCTTACTCCTTCTACCTAGTATATATTCTTAGATTGGGAATCAAAAACACTAGAAATTGAATGAAATAAATCAAAATTACCTCAAAACTCTCAAGGTAAAATCAAATGTTAAGGTACATGCTTTTTCAGCTTAAGCTGCTTATGATCCGCAAAAACCTTTACCATTTACGACAATTGTCTGGAACTATACTGTATGGAAACTCATCGCCCAATTTTATGTGTTCGCAGAAAAATACGAATTTAATACGATATGTCAGCAACTGTCTGATCGACTTGTGGTATGCACTTGCAACCTGTCTATAGACTACTTAATTTTTGATCAAAACAAATCGCATGCTAGTTCGTATTACCTAGACCGATATGGTTATACCGATATGTAAATGGGAATTGTTCACCCAAACTCTCTAAGACTTTTGGACCCCATGCTTCAAGTCGATGGCAGATGTAGGATAGAAGCAGTAGGTATGACCGTTTCTCGAAAATATTGAAAAATAGAAAAAAAAGGTGTTAATTCAAAAAATCTTAGGTAATGCTAGACAATTGACTGGCGCATACGTGGAAGCCGAAGCTATGTACGAAAGAGAAAGACAAACGGAATTGCAAAAGAAAATCAAACAGCATGAGGCTCAAGAGGAAGCCAAATGGGCACAAAAAGTAAAAGAAGGTGCGGAGGAAGAAGCTAAAGGGAAACAGGAAGGCGCAGAAAAGGAAAAAGTGAGAAAAGCAGAGTTTTCTAAGAAACTTTTGGATCAGTAAGTTTAAAAAGCAACATTTAACCCACCAATGCAAAGAGCTACGAAACTATGAAATACATATAGATTTATAATGCGAAAGCTTATGGATCATAAAAAAATATTTTAGAATTGAAGAAAACGCTCGAGAGAAAGCCGCAGAACGTGAGAAACAAATTGAGAAGGAAAATATAGATCTCATTAAAGCTCAACGAGAACAAGACTGCTTGAAAAAATTAGAAATCTTAGAAGTGAGTACCATGAAAATTTTACTTTCAAGCCAACAGGCGAGGGCCATTGAATATTGTAATGGCAAATCAAGACAATAATTATGCTTTGTACATAAGTCTATCATTCATTCCCGTATGTCTGTATGTCTCTTGTCTTTTATCTGCGGTATGCCGTCTATCCAATAACATTTAGCCGCTTTATAACCCGAAAAATACTACTCGAATTATGATGGAGTTTTGATACAAGCTTACTATCCATACATAGGATGAAAAATCTGTTTAGGTTTTGAAAATCGATCCAGTATCCGCTGTCATGAGCGTTAAACTAAAAAAAATTTAACATGGCCAAATTTCGTTCTTGTGTTTTTCGTGAGTCTGATCACAGCTTTGGGCGTTGACAAAGAAAACTGTTTAAGAGGAGCCAGTTTTTAAAATAATACCTGTAAGAACTCTTTTTTGAAAATTCTAAACTTGCTGGTCACTTCAACGTACTAACACGTCTTTAGGGAGTCACGCAATTTCAAAACTCATATTTCATCTTGTACTAATAATGGTAGCTAGAATGTTATGATTGAGAAGTACTGAGTCAATCTGCATTACTTATTTTTTAGTAACTAACGATGTAACTGCATAGTGCAAATAGTGTAGACGACAAGCTCAAGCACTTACTGAATAATTATAGTAGACCAAACAATCATCTATATTGTGACTTTCACAAGAACGTACCTTTACTGTGTACTTTTTCCTGTGAGTTGCAATTTTAAATTTTCTTCAAAATCTAAGAAATTCTGTACTCAGGTTCTTGCTAAACATACTGAACTTTGTATAGTAGAGCGATTAGTAGTATGACTACTTAAGGATATATGATATCATCAAACATTGTTTTAAATATTGCTTTTCATGAATAGAGGAAAAAGAAGACAGAAAATCTGAAGAAAGAGAGGCAGAAGCAAATAGAAGATATCCGAAAGAGGCGGATTCAAGCGGAGCAGAAGCAAAAGGAATTGGATGAAGTAATACAGATTTACAAAGAAGCTAAGTTCAATATCGATTGTATGAAGAAAGCTAGAGAAAAAGAGGTATAGATTCATAAGAGTCAGTTCACGCGTAAATGAAGAGTTTTAGTCAAATTCCGAAATACTCGAGCCAAAACTGATCTTTCGATTGTATTTCTATGTTCATCGCGTTTTGACTATTGCTTTAACAAGATACGCTATAAATTAGTTCAGTTGTGGTCAAAATCGGGTGAAAATCCAACGAGCATCCTTATGAGATGCAGAAGGATAGTTTTGGTCACCTCTAGAATTGTAGAGTTGGGATCCTGAAAGCACTTTGGCCGACTAGAAATACTAATTCATTTGGTATTCAAAACTGTTTCTTTTAGTTGAGAGATCAGCAAGTAGCCAGGAGGGATGCGATAGCAAAGAAGGTGATGGCTATAAAGGAATCAAATGAGGCAGCTGAAGAAGCTGCTATCAAAGAAGCCATTGCTGAACGAGATGCTACGTACGTATTCGGACTTGTTACATGCATATATTTATTTATTTGCTGTTAATAATTTTTCCTATGTTATTGCTCAATTCCTCAATGGTTTCCATAAATAAAATTCCGCTATTATGACCGCAATGTCATTACAAATTAAACTCAGCTCCCGCAAAATGACAGAGGGAGTGTTAATTGTAAAATGAAGCGGTTTGCCAAACTTCGAGAATATTCTACCTTGTAGTGAACTGTTCTCCAATATTAAGAGGTCACGCATGTGATTTTTGTTAATTTTGTTCGATGGTATTCCCGAAATCAAGCAGATTTTCGAAAATCACAAAAGACGAGATAGACCTAGCACTCATTTAACATTTGCATGCGACCAGTGTCGCTCAGCCAATGTAAGTCAAGAGTGATTGAGAGTGTGGTCAGAACGACACTCGAATATGACGAACGTTGTGGGCAGACATGGTCGCGCGACACATATCGGCGTATAAACGTCCATTTATGCTTGCGACTTAAACCGCACGACAATGTCACTCAACTATGCTCGATAAACGGGCGGCTCAATTTGATTTCATAGTTGAACATTATCACCTGACACTGTCGGGCGACAAAATTCGGCGCGTAAACGTCCATTTATGCATGCGACTTGAATCGCACGACAGTGTCAGACAACAGTGCTTGACAAACGGGTGTTTCTATCTGACTTCATGGTAGGACATTGTCGACTTACGTTGTCGCGCGACACAAGTCGAGCGCATAAGCTTCCATTTATACACGCGTTTTGAACCGTACGGCAGAACATTGTTCTACAAACCGGTGTCTCTATCTGACATCATTGTCGAACATTGTTGGCTGAAACTGAAGTCGCGCGCATAAAAAATGTGCACTCATAATTGGCAAAAAATGCCCCTCTGGAAGTCAATTCTTGAACGCAGTAGAATAAAATTCTCCCAAGAAAGGAATCCTAAATTCTGACAGCTATTGAGGTTTATCAAACAAGACTGTGAATGCCATTTTCGCAAAATAGCTAGAGCCTTAACTTATTATTTAGATATGAAACTAACAGACGACGGAGAGACTTCCGCAGTTTTCTCCCGAGACTATTCTATCAGAGTTAGGAAATACCTCGAAAGACAAGAGACCCTCGCCCGTTTTCTCTCAGTGATTCTATACTTTGGTTTCAAGAATAGGGGACCAGAATTTTTGTCTAAGGTTTTGAAAACACCCTGCATATTGATCACGTTGAATAGAAGCAAAGAAAGAAAAATAAATCAAACTTTATGCATATCCACAATTTCAGTGAAGAAGCACAGCGTCGCGCAAAACAAGAAAAGTTGGAAAAAATGCGCAAAGAGAGACTCGAAGACAGACAAAAGTTCATCGAAAAAGAAAAGCATCGACAGTATGAAGAAGACGAATTGAAGAAATGGGGTATGTTGAATAGATATAAAGTGGACGAGGTTATGAAGAAGTACGACGAACAAAAGAAAAAGGCACACTGGAAGAAAATACTGGCTTACAGAAAAACGCTTCTTGATCAGATGGTATGACGAAATATATCAAAAAATAGCCACTGTAATGTACTCGATGTCAAAATTAGCGATTAGCTATCCCCTTTAAAAACTTCTCCTGTCTTAACTTTCGAACTACAAATATGCCACGTTATCCAGAAGCTGCTTTAGGGTGCTTTCTTCTGTTTGTCTTTACTATGAATGGTTTGGAACCTCAAAAAAAAAAATATTTTGCCCTGCTTCTCCAGAAGCGGCACATTCCTAGCTCGAATGATAAAGCCATAAGAGATATTGGGGCAAAAGCGCTCAGTGCAACACCAAACAATTTCTGAAACATCGAATGTATAAAGTAGTTAGGGCCCGAACGAATGTCAGTTTTTTGGCCGAAGTCAAAGCCAAAGCCGATTTTCTTCGGCTTTTAACACAACCTTCTAAGGGTTTTAGTATTGCAAAAAAGGTTCTTAGATATATTGTAGCCACTCCTGTGAGGGAATCGTGAAGACAGTGGTTCAAAGAGCTGCGCATTCTAACTTTGTCACCAATTTATATGATCAAGCTATTTTCCACGCCAGAAGTAATATGCTGAATTTTATGAAGAACTGATCTATTTGATTATGGAACAAGAAATAAACATGCATTTGTAATATAATAATTTAAGTTTGTACCAACGTATACCAACGTAGTCCCAATTATGTGGCGACAGAATTATATAATAAATTAAGTAAAAACATTAGAGATATTGACAATTTTGGCAAGCTCAAAAACAAAGTTGTGAATTTTTTTTGGATAAAGCTTATAGCGTCAGTGAATTTCTGGATCAATAATGTATTTGTTTTCCTTCTTAATGTTTTCATAACGCTCTGAATAATGCGTTGTTTGAAGTATTTTTATGATGCTTTTATTACTTCTGTGTTGTTGACTATGCTTCATCGAAGTCTCTTGGAACAATAAATTATTTATTCATTCGGTCAAAACCTGAAGTTAGAGTTAATCATAACTTGTGCTTCCAGATACTATTCTTATAAGTAAACATTTCTGACTCAGGTATAATATTGAATCGGAACTTGTTAAAATTAAATGAAAGATGAAGATAATTTGAAAATTCCTGAAATAGTACACTAGCAGTATTCTGGTAATGACATATTTAACATACAGGGATTGTCCGGAAAGTAATAGGACTCATTTTCTTCCGCCATGACTGTACTTCGGAGCGTGCGCGCACCGACTGGATTCGGCAGAGGGCGTTCCTAGCTAACGAATGAGCGGCTGGTCAGTTGTCTCCGAGCACTTGGGAGTCAGGACAGGCATTTTTGCGCCACGTGTTTCTGTGAGTGGTGCAAGCCGAAAATACAGCGTTCGTTAGAGCAGAGGTACGCGATTAAATTCTGTGTGAAACTCGGTAAATCTACGACAGAGACGTTTGATATGATCAAGCAGGCTTACCCAGGTGTTGCTTTAGCAAGAAGTGGTGTGTTTCGGTGGCACCAGGCGTTTTTGGAGGGCCGGGAAGAGGTCGCTGATGAAGACCGTGCTGGAAGACCTTCGACTTCGACAAACATCGATAATGTTACTCGTGTGCGCAAAGTTTTGAACTCAGACCGTCGAGTAAGTATTCGTTTAGTTGCCCAGATGTTAAATTTACCGATATATGTGGTTCATGGCATTGTGACACAGCTTTTGAACATGCGCAAGGTGGTCCCAAAAGTGCCCAATTTTTGAATAACGTAACAGGTGACGAGTCGTGGATCTTTGAGTATGATCCCGAGACAAAGAGGCAATCTTCCGAGTGGCACACGACGGCGTCTCCTCGCCCAAAAAAGGGAAGAATGAGCAAATCTAAAGTGAAAACGATGCTCATTGTCTTTTTTGACATCAAAGGCATCGTCCACCATGAATTTGTTCCTCCTGGACAAACCGTCAACGCCAAGTTTTACGTGGAAGTGCTCAGGAGACTCAAACGAAGGGTCAGTCGAGTCCGACAAGACATCGCAGCCGATTGGAAGTTGCACCACGACAACGCCCCGGCTCACACCGCCTTTACTTGTGAACTTGGGACGACAGAGCAGCATGCACCGCGGCTCTCAAGGCTATTCCGGAGAATGCCTTCCGTGACGCCTTCAATGCTTGGAAATCGCGCTGGCAGCGCTGCATCAACGCAGAAGGAGCCTATTTTGAAAGTTTTTAAAGAATTGTAACGATTGGCTCAATAAATTTTTTTAAATCGACTCAGTCCTATTACTTTCCGGACAAACCCTGTATAAAATAACCTTTGCAAAATCATACATTCCAACTAATAATAATAGTAAAGTTTTGTTCAATACAAAAATCAGTAGAAGCACATACATTTTTGAAACTGGGTATGAAAGGGGTGTCAAAACTGTCATTAATTATAGATCAGAACCAAAAAGAGCATATTAACACCGTATGGTAAACTGGCTTTTCTGTTATATATAGTATTTGACAATATTTACACTTTACACTGGTACTAACTGGCAGGCTAACGGTTAATTGAAACTACCTAATTATTCAAAAAGGTATGGACTAAGGCCCATTAGTCATATACATATGTCAGTACCCCTTAACACCTTTTGAAAGATGTTCAACTCTTCATAAACTCGATGAATATGACTATATGAATTTTGGCTCTTTCATTTAACGGCATTTCCGTGCAACTTCGTCTTTTTTTGCTGAAGGACGAAGATGTATTTCTGGTCGAACCTGGCCGAAGCAGACTCTTCTGCAGAGCCCTAAATATAATATATACGTGTTTTAAATGAATGCTTTAAACGAATAATTTCAGGCGCAGAATAAAGCAGAAATCGAACGATTGAAAAAATTCGACAGCCGAATCGAAGAACCCACTGAAGATGCTCAATTCTTTGAGTATGCAGATGAAGTGTTAGAGCTGGCACAGAAAGGCGGATTCCCTACTCATCCCATAGAAAGAGTTATTCTGGTGATTATTGTCAATAATTATTTATTCAAATGCACAATCATTGGGGTTATTTAGAATGGGTGTTTTTACTTCTTCTCTGTACCTCGAACACATCATAACATACCATCTGAAATTTTTGACAATCACATAGATTTTGCCGTGGCATCCGGAACGTTGGTAGACGAATTAAATCATTATTTATTTGCCCGATGATCAGTGGGCTATATAGTTGCTCTTTGCTCTTAGTTGCTTAACTGGCAAGATGATACTTAGTGTTATATTTTGAATAATAATAATTACAATTGGTAATGGTCGACACATGGTATAACAGGAATTTATTTTCAGGATTATAAAAAGAGGTTCAACTTGATACCAGAGCAGCTTATCGAATGTGAAGAGTATGGGACGAAAAAATGCAAGAATAATGAAAAGGTTAGCCCTGTAAAAGAGTTGTTAAAGAAAAGCGTGAAGAAACAGATGTGTCGATGTCGATGTGATTCACGTACAATAAAAAAATAAATGGGCTTGACCAATTAAATATCAAGTTAACTTATTTTCCTGCCCTACTGAGCGGGGCCGTGCATAAATGCTTGCCTTGGAAGTTATGGCATCTAGTATACAGCTTATTCCCGTTCAAGTGATTGTCCATGAAACGGAGTATTCCTCAGTACCGATGGCAGGGTGGCGGCAAAGTCCGCCAATGTGCTACTCCACACCTGTATAGTGTACTCGTATATGTTACGGCTAAAACCCGAAATGCGATGACAACTAGGTTTAGCCGGTTAGAACTAGGTGTAGCCACTGGCTTAGGTGTAACCTATACACACTTATGGGCAAACCTAGTATTAGCCAGTTGCATTCGGTTAAAACAAGGTCCAACCAAATTGATCCCGGCTACACCTAGGTCTAGCCAATGCTTAGTGGTTAAAACTAGATGTAGGCGTCACAAACAAGTTCTGACAGGTATCGCGGTAGCGGCCCGTCAACTCACGTTTATTCGCTGTGGACGGCGGGTGCTCTGTTTAGTATCAATCGTAACACCATGTTAGATACATGTATGTATGCGTACGTATATTTGAAGTATCGAGAGCGGGAGCGCATTGTGATTTAAAATAGCAATGTTCGAAGAACCAGAATCTATGAAATCAAGTATTTACGGGGAGCTTGAGTAATGAACATTATTTGATGTATATCGAAGATGTCGAAGTTGCTAAAAAAGCCACGAAGCGTTCGACTTTACAATATCTCCGACAAATATTTAGAAATTCTAAAGTTCAGTTAATAAAAAAATATGTTTAAATTGTAAGTTCAGTTACAGCTGTGAAAAAAATGTTGTTACTAGAATAAGTACTTTTTATTATTGCGGTTACTTACCTGTGATGACAATGCCGAAGTATGGGTAAGTTATATTTAAGAAATTTTTTGCTGAAAGAGATAATATGAAAATGATGACATTTTATTTTCTTTAAAAATACCAGTCTAAAGCTGCTTTTACATCTGGTTTTAAGCAGGATTGATTAGACCTAGGTGTAGCCGGGATCAATTTGGTTGGACCTTGTTCTAACCGAATGCAACTGGCTAATACTATGTTTGCCCATGAGTGTATAGGTTACACCTACGACTAACCAACTGCCAGTGGCTACACCTAGTTCTAACCGGCTAAATCTAGTTGTCACCGCATTTCTGGTTTTCGCCGTAACATATACAAACAAGATGCTATAAATAAAGATTCGATCAAGATTCAGTGTGTCTGAAAAATATCGGCATGTTTCCACACCAAACCTACACCGTACACGTCTGGTCATCTTCTGTTTCTCAAAACAATCATATTGTGCGTGTCTACCAGCTTTACTGTCAAAACGGTTTGAAAATCGAGACATCTACAATCTTACCATTTTTGACAGGTACGTTGGTGAATGTATATCAGCCAATATCGTTTCAAAAAGTACACCAAGTACTGGAGTAGTCAATGTCGTCTAAAGCTGCACGCCCACTGAGGGAGAAGGGAGCGCTGCATGTATCAGTCGAAAATGTCAACAATGTTCGATAGATAATGAAGTCTTAGAGAGACAGACGTCAAGCATTGTCACGGATCAAGGATTGAACTGGTCTGACGGTTTGATTTTTTTGCGATTCTGTCGCGCTCCTCCAACACGCTCCAGCCGATCCACACTGAACCGCCTACAGTTGAACTCTCGCTCGCTATGGAGTCACACGTGCAGCAACAACGACGAATTGCCGTGAAAATATTTACGAAAAAATCACAAAAACCGAAAAGACGTTACTGGGTGAGAACTATATAAAAACTGATTAGAACATGGCACTCAGCTTTACAAAGGGTTAGTTTATGATGGAGTTAGAGGTAATTTTGCATACAAATTATCGTGATGCCATAACTGAGAGAAAGATTACTATTGATGCTAAGGTTAAAAACTGGAAAATCGTACGTTAGTTTGCAGTATTTTTTTCGTGTATCTAAACAATCAATATCAAAGATAATTCCCGAAGTTTGTGAGGTAATCATGGACGTATTGTGTAAACATTTTCCATATCGTTTGTTAATAACAGACCATGCCTTCGATCGCGCGTTCCGGACATAACCGTTCATGCCATGCGCACCAAAAGACCGAAGCACCTTTATGCTTAAACCAAAAATCGACAACTAATGACTCGCTCGCAACAAGGAGCGTGAGCTCCTGCCACGTAGTTTGGATCGCGCGAGGCACGTCCACACCAAACGCTCGTATGGAGCGCGTTCCTGTCTCGCGCGATCGGAGCGCATTGGATCGCCTGGTGTGGATACTGCTATTGAGCATGCCAAATGGATTAAAGGATATAGTCTGGAGAAATTAACTTTACAAGTTTATTTAGCGAACACTCCAAACGGGAATAGTCCTTGTCGTCTAATGGATTAAAGGATATAGTCTAGGGAAATTATTATTGCAAAATTTGGCGAAACACCTATATCGTTTGGTGGATTGATGGATATAGTCTGGTGAAGTTAACCTTGACAGTTTATTTGGCCAACACCTCGATAGACTAGTAGAATGAACTTCGCAGTTTTGTTTGACAAGCACCTCGAGGAGGGACTGTATGGTTTGTTAAAGTTAACTTCGCAAACCTATTAGACAATCACTTCGAACCAGACTAGTCGACGTTGTCGGTGAGTTTGGTGAAATTAATTCTGCAAGTTTATTGGGCAAATCCCACGAAAGCGAGTAGTCGATCTTCTCGGGTGGGTGAATCTAACATCACAAGTTCTAAAGGTAAAAGCCTCAAATCGGAATAAACTACGACGTCTCGGTTAAAGAGCACTATCTTGATTGACAAATCTATTTGGCAATCCGAGTAGTCGAAGTCAGCGATGAGGCTATAGCCTATTCAAATTATGTAACTTCGCAAGTTTGTCTAGAAAACACTTCGAACTGGAGTAATTATTTGGGGGATTAAAGAATGATACTCGCATTGTGAAATTAACTTTTGTCAAACACCTCTATCGGGAGTAGTATATGTTGTCGAAAGACTAAAGAATGTAGTCTGGTAAAATTAGCTCTGCAAATTCACCTCGTACGGGAGTACTCGATGAAGTCGGATGGATTATAGTCTGGTGAAATTAACTTCGCAAGCTAAATGGTTAATACAAACACTGATCGATTGAAGAATCGACGATTGCCACCATTTTTTTTTTCAGGTCACGGCCTCCACTATGTAAAAGATTACACATTTTTTCCACTGACGTCAGTGAATCTACGGACTCCACGGATAAACAAAAGATTCGGGAATGAGGGTAGCTCTCTGATTGGCAATTTGCATTTGTTGCTGTCACAGTGTGGCAACTCCTATGAACCGATCTCTGCCGGTGAACTGGAGAAAAGAAGAGTGCGACTTTCCTCTCGGACAAGAGACCTGGAGGTTATCACTGCTTGAGGACGCAACAATTTTCTTCAGTTTAATTCTTCCAAAACTCAATACTGTACCTTGAAGAACAAAAAGCGTCCTAGGGTTCATCTGGATTCGATGGATGGCCGAGTTCTACCAAAAAGCTGTTCATTTTAGCTGGTCGGTGTCCACATCACCGAGGACTTGATCTGGTACGGCCACATCTCATCAGGCTATTTGTTTAGGGCCAAGAAGTACTTTTCTCCACATGACCTCCTCACTCTGTACAAGGCCCTAGCCTCGAGCATTGCTCACTTGTTTGGGGTGCTGCTACACGACTACATTATCCATGCTTGATGCTATTCAGAGGAGGGCTGTCCGACTTATCGATAACTCTTCTTTAGCGGTCTGGACTGTACTCCTCAGAACTCTACTCCATGATGCCGCCACGAGATGTGCCTGCCAGACAGACACGCCTGACCACGGCCTCCCTTCCTAACCGAACTTCCTACATCCAAAACTGGCCGATACGACCGCTCAGTTGCCTCTAGAGTATCGAGATTATGGCACAATCAAGAGGAGGCTTTTCGCAGTTCTACTAACCTTAGGCAGTTCAAAAGTCGGATTAACAAAGTTTCTTTGGGATCCTCATAGCAGCCGCGGTTCCCTGGCATTTGGACTTCTGCCAGCGTGGCGGCATCGGCTTGCAAGCTAAATGATTAATAAAACACTGATCGATTGAAGGAGCACGATTTTCAACCATTTTGTTTTATTATAGTAACTGCCTCCACTATGTAAAGGATGATACATTTTTTCCACTGACGTCAACGGATCTATGTTCTCCATGGATAAGCACGATTCGGGAATGAGGGTAGCTCTCTGATTGGCAGTTTGTATTTGTTGCTGTCACAGTGTGGCTACTCCTATGAACGAATTTTCTTCCAACAACGAAAAATCTTTAATGTTTGAAATTAAAAGGTAAACTGGATCCTTCAAATAGTTTAGTACAGTTGAGGAAAGCATATATTTTTCTAAATCTGCACACGATATTTTGATTTAGCTACTGACCAATGGATGGCGCTACAACTGCCTCGCAAACGCACACATCACAAATTTCAGTGACTACCTGAGGAATTCGTTGAAAATTCAGTAAACCCCGATTTTGTTGTAGGGGGAATCTTTGTTATTGAACGGCAGAAATATGTAATATATAATCTAATTATCTAACAAAGAATATTTATATCTTAACACCAATGGGGGATTTCAACCCTCTCACGGCTATTTAAGTTTTTTGATATTGGTGGATGCCTTGTTATTGAACCACCCAAACCCCGACCAGCCGCCTCCACCAAACTGACTTTACGACCAGTTAAATTTTGTGAGGCGTATGATAACATGGTTCTGAAACGCCATCTATGAGATGGTAGCAGAACTGAAATTTCTCCCAGTATTAAAATAGAAAACACCCATTGTTTCGCGTACTATCCAATAGATGGCACTGAAAATACCTTACCAACGACTCACAGATTTCAATGACCACCTGGAAGAACAGCGGTAATTCATGACTGCATGAGAGGGAGGAACCTAAGTTTCTTGAAAAAAAAAGATAAATACAAGATTCGGTCAGGGTCAGGGTGAACAAGGTGAAATGAAACTTTAAATTGGGTTATTAAATTTTATTTCTGTGTTTTTGACTCGTACAAGTGTATAATTATTAATAAATATTTATATATTATAAAAACATAATATTTACAGACACATGAATCGATTAGTGTATATATTTATTAAAAAGAACTGTTACAAAGTTGTATTAATAAGTAAAAAAAAATGAAGGGTTAAGAAATTTCTTCATGACTACATGTTCCATATAAATCTGAATATCGCATGTCAGTGATACGACAAATTAATAAAAGCTAATGATTTGAAGATAGCAGCGGGTCTACCACAAACTAAGTACCCATTTTTTCATTACTCCATTCCAACAAGTGGCTATTTCAATTGTAATCTGACTGAATGTTAAGAGCATCATACAGTATGAGTCAAGTCAATCCCAGGCAAAAAGATCTCTGTGAACATTGGAGTATGATATAACTTCAATCACAATCCACTATAAGTGGGGAATTTGAGATATCTCCAAATCTACATGTTGGCAAATGAAAACACAAATATCGAAGAAATTACTGATGTTCCGGCTTCCTTGGTACCCTTTTCTAGAAGATCAACAAAATAAAGTACCAGACACAGAACCGGTCAATTTGAATGAAAATTTGTATAGTTCATGTTGTGCTGGACAAATGTTTCAATGGGCGCGAAGCCCAGAAATGATTTCTGTTGGTGATACAAGGTGTTAAAAATAGGTGTCTTAGCCCCTGTAGGATAAGCCAGCTGTATCATTTTACGAAAACTATCTCGTCTCTTTTGTAGACTTGACGATATAATAAAAGATATTCGGAAACTGTTTGCGCAGCAAGATTGACATCTTAGTGTGTATTTCTAAATTATTTTTTAACAAAACACCTTAATTTTATGTATGAACAGATAACCGTTCTATGTTCGATTTAACATTTTTGAAAGAAACAAATTTTGTGTTTTGCAGCACCCTGATAAAGTTGGCGTACTTATTCATCCTCTTTCAAAAATTCAATGAAAAACTACGCAAAATAGCACAAGACAAAGCCTTCAAGGATAGGCGTTTCTTCAGACAAATGATAAAAATAAATGATATCAAGTAAATTTCCAACAAAACACTAACTTGCATTTTGTATCACCTAATAGCTAGAAAAAGTGAAAGACTCCCAGGTAATCTCCCATGTTTCTCTAATCGAATCATATCACGTATGTTTAAAATTCCTCTTTATTGTACGACGTTTTGGTCCCAACGATGACCTTCTTCAAGTACAATTGATACACTTTTGACAACATATTTTAGTTAAAATGTATTTTACTTGAATATACTCGTATTGTCGAAAAAGTGTCAATTATCAATATTTTATTTAAAATATATTTTCATAAGTGTCATTGTACTTGAAGAAGGTCACTGTTGGGACCGAAGGGCCGTGCAATAAATAGAAATTTTGGACATGTGGTTGAATTGGGCCCGAGAAACATGGGGGATTGACAACATGAAAACCACATGATACGTTTCAGATGTAAGATTACCAGGGTAGCCCGTCAGTTTAAAATCTGCGGTTTCATTAATTGGCTAGGATACCATGGAGATGGATTACTCACAGAATAAGTTTCTTCACTTATTTAGAAAAAGATAAAATTCCCATTTGACCTAAAACATACATGAGCAATGAATATAGCATGAATTATACAATGAACGGCAGCAATAACACGGATACAGACTTAACAAAAATCAACTTTAAACTGATCTAAATCTTCCACTTTTCACATCAAGGCTCTCTCATTTACGTCAAGCGAAGCTCGATTTCTGTCAATTGAAAATAAGAGAAGCAACTGGAAAATATATGGCTGGTAAATTATCTTATTAAACGGAAGGATCATCAGATTGACAATAATCTGGCTTTACTATCGCAAAAACCTAACTGCAATAAACTTGCATCAGAATTATCAAGATTTTTTATTAAAGCACGAGTCACAAATAAAATAGTCGATACCGTGAATACTAGATATTAACAAACAAATTTAAACATTATTTTGAGTCAGTAAATATGTAAGACAATGGAAAACTTTTAAAAAGGTCTTTATTTAATGAAAAAATCTCTCGCCTAGATTAAAAAAACATAATTTCTGTTGCATCTCTTATCGCTAAACAAACAACATTGTTATGATACAAGTATTTCAATATAAATAGAAGATATTCAGAAACACTTCCAAGCAATTTCTTAAGTGATTACTAAAAAATCGGTAAGTGCCTTTGCAAGTTTCTAACGATGTGTCATTTTTCAAAAATAATTCTATTCCAAAAATACGCGAGAAACTGGCACAGAAACCATGCATCAATAAAGCAGATGTCATAAAGATATTTCCAAATATTTCACCAAATAGTCAAAATCTGGACACAAGAATTAAAAAACTACGACCAATATTTGGAAATAAAGCTACCGTCTGAACTTTAAACAGAAAAATGTGTCAAAAAATATCAAACTTTCAATTTATGACATTGCTTATTGATCTGCGGCTTTTACCGATAGAACAGCCTGCATTCATCTAATTCTATATATAAATATAATTGGAATGACACTAATATGAAAATTTCTTATTGATTTCATTTCCAATGGACAGTACAAATGATCAATGTTCCTGTTCTCATAACTTTTATAAAAATTCAGTGAAGATTTCATTGGCACAAATAAAAAAACATTTTCTACATATATTAAAGAAATAAAAAAATACTAGGAGAATACTTAATACATACGTACAAAAAGGCACATAATACAAAAAGAAAAATACATCGAAATCAAAGATTCATCCTGTAAAAAAGTGATATATATATAGCTAATATCTCAGACACCCCGAAATGTTGGCATATGCAACTGACAAACAACTATCAAGGTTCACCTCAAATTCTGAGCAGGCAGAGCTTTCTAAAAATGATGGCTAGCTAATTGTCAAAAAGTCTGCACAGAAGTTGGAATGAACTCTTAAAGTATTGCCCAACAGGGTATAAATACACGACACTGGTTACTTATCATTTAAGAAAGTTTAATCATCATGTTTCTCCTATCATCAATTTCATATGACAGTAACGAATAACATTTAATAAAGCATTAACAAAAAATAAACATATGCAATATTATTAGATGACTAATTAACAACAAGAGTTTTTGCTTATTCGCCTTATATAACCAAAGCCATATCTTTCTTGTTAGGTAAATTCACTTTCTTGCCTTGCCACAGAGAATTGTGAATCGTGAAAGCATCTATCGTCACACTCAAATGTTTTGTGTGCACTTGCGAAAAACATTTACCACCAGAGTTATACCTATAACAAAACAACAATGTTAGAATAGCAAAAATAGCGTCAAGTAATTTAACTTCAGCTGCCCCCGATTTTCAATCCATCTGAAATTTGTTCGGAGCCTCTAAAAACACCAAAAAAAACAAATTTTAGCGGTTGTTATTTTTTACGTATTTTTGCTTATAGCTCCGTAACTACTGGGCCGAATTTCAAAAACTGCAAAGCTTTTGGGTCCCTGGCATAGTAGTAACATTGTATATAGGCGATTAGCGGACAGACCGACAGACAGCCAGACAGACCGACGGAAATAAAATAACATCCAAACAACATATCGCCAGTACGCGTGGTAAGTAAAAATAATAGGCTTAGATCCCATAATGCTTTGTATATGGTCATAAGATCGGTTTGCCCTCTGTCCGAGTCACTAGCCTCTCCATAACACGGAAAGTACCATTTAGATTTTGATTACATCATTTCAGCGGCGGATCAATAAACAAAAAATTTAAGAACGCCCTCAAGCTTCATATAAAATGACCTACAATTGAAATGATGGGCCTGAAGTCTTGTAGAATCCAAGAGTACGAGATACAATATAATAGGAAAAGACCTTAAAACATATACTTACTTGAAAAACTTATCGAACATCTTATCGTTAACCTGCCGTGGTCCAGTACCGTACAGCTTAAGGATCTCCTCCCTTTCGGGGCAGTAGGAGTACAACGCCCTGAATTGACAGCCGGCATCTCTGAACAGCACCAGGAAGTGCTTGCTCTCTGACCGGTTGATCTCCTCTAGCACACGCCGCTTCGCTTCTCTATTCACCACGCCGGGGAAGACGCAGTACTCGACCGCGTTCAGCATTATGCTGCGGTTGGATTTAGTCGCCGGCTGTTTGTACAATCGGGGACCTGGAATACAAAAAGAAGAAATTTCATGAGCTGAAGTTGGTGTACAAATATACTAATCTAAATATGACAGCACAACGTGCCATCTATTACCAAAATCGAGCACTGCGAAAGTGTAAAATAAAAATCAATCGGAAATTTCCTAAACCAATTGGCAGATTTTCTCCGAGTATGCCGAAAACGCTTCTTTTAAAGGTAGATGCATATTAAGGGTATAAACAACGTGAGTCATTGTGTTCCTACCTCTTCAAGTAATACTTAAATCCTATATTAAGAGCAAAAAGTCCCTTATTTATCGATGAATGACAGTTATTACTATTTCCCAACAAAATTCAAGTTATGTAACTTCTGGTGTCTTTGAATTGACGGATTCAATTCACACTATGTGTAAAAGATTGCCAACGCAAAAAAATTGGAAATCTAAATATACTTTTTAGATGTTACATGACACGTATATGAAGAAAATCTGTCACTGATTTCTGTCAGCTGTAATGAATTTCTAGGGGAAAAGAAGTTTTGAAATCAGGAAATTCTCATACTTCACTTATCACCAATGACGCTTAGAATTTTCATGTAGACTAAATTTTAAATACATCTTCATTATTGCATTGGAAGTATCACGTCTATACAGAGTGTTAATAAAGTAACTGGCCACATTTGAAGAGCAGATAGCTTGAGAGATATCGAGCACAAACATTCATATAAAGATAGATCCAGAAACGCTTCGTTTTCAAAATACGGGACAACGCTTTTATAATTTTTTCTTCGTAAAAATCACCAGCCCTTTGGACGATTTAGGAAAAGCAGCTAATCAGAACCATAAATCCTCACAGCCAACTAGATCGGTGAATTTAAATCAGTAAGTTTTCCTTTGTGGGGTTTGGATTCTATGGACACGTTATTCGTGTTAACCTAAATTTCTAGCGCAGAAGCAAGATTTTTTTAAACGTTCCACCGTAGTATCACCCAAAGCAGCCATGCAATATGCACTATGGACAATCTTCTTTTTGCACAGCAGCCATTTTTGTCAAACGCAAATTTTGTACATGAATCAGCAAGAGTTCCATCTCACTAAATGGCTCAACCCTACAGTGGCCTGCCTGTAGAGTATGTCGGTACTCGAGTGGCAATTGCTGACATGTATGAATTTTGCGTTAAATAGCAACGGTCGCTCTCCGACTGACCATAAAAATCTGAGTCAATTTATGACATATGAAGTTGCGTATGCCATTGAACATACCATTGTAATCCATCATACTGCTAGGCGTAGAGCTGATATCACTAGCGCCATCATCGAAAGTCCTCCTGGCCGCCCTGGATACAAATCCGCCCGGTAGACTGCCCGGTCCCGAAGGCGATGGTAAATGCCTGGCTCCGCCGGGAGATGGCGCGCGACGAGGCGGCGTTGCCCGACCCAGGCCGGAGTCCGTGTCGCCGTAACGATAACCGCCAGTTGCGCCATCATGGTCAGTGCTGGAACCTATGAACCAGGAGAAAAGTATATGTCAGTACAGTAGTTTGGGGTGAATGGAACCTGAGTTCGATCTGTGCATTTTTAAGCACAGTTTCCAACCAAATAAAAAAGAAATACGTATTTGTAAAAGATACTGCAGAAAGCTTATGGGAAATAGATTTCGGCTATTTTTTGTTTATTTAGTATATTGTGGATCTCAACAAGTAGAACAAAAGTGTCCATAGCCTAAAAATTTTTACACGAGTAGTTTACGACATACACAGCCTCCTAATTTCCTAATTTGGACGATATGTAACAGTTGTTTGATATTTATTTACTTTCTTATCACCATCCCGACTAAGACACATAATAGGGTACAAATTGTCCAACTTGGACGCACACTATCTTCGAATTTACTCGTGGAAAAACTTTGGGCCCGTGGACGCTTTTGTTCTATTGAGATCTACAACATAATTTAAAAAAATAGCAGAAAGCCTATTCACCGTAAAGCTTCTTTTGTCTCAAAACTAATGACATTCTTTTGAGTCAGCCTATCACTTGGGACTGATAGGAGGGTTGACAAATATCTTCCACAGGTAAGAAGGCGGCGTTTTTCGATCTGAGGCCTCCTCGTTACACTGTATGGCCTCAGATAAAAAGGCCAAATTCTTTCTTAAGGAATGCATTCAACTCTCAGCACAACAAGTGCACGGGCTGATAACATAAAGCCTTTAAAGAGAATATTAAGAGCCGATTCCACAAATATTGCCAGAGTGGCGATGTGTTTGATCTAAAAGACAAACTAATTCTGAAATGATGCTACGTGTTCTATGATAGCAAAATGCAAAGATCGCGACAGGTGACGTTTTCCATCAATGAATCGATTGTTATAATCCTTGTATCATTATTTATGGAATCGGTATTAAATATACTATAAATTGGAAATAATCAGTGTGTTTCATGATTTATATACCGTATGCGTACAAAACCATTAAACAACCAATTATCTGAGAGGGAAAGAAATGGAAGCACCTTTGATCCCTGCATCCTACTTAGATGCAAGTAAATGGTAAATACGTTTTAGTGCACAGGACACAGTTATCAGTTATATAGTATAGTTCCATTGCTTTTCTGAACGGTTGTTTAATGAGTCTGCGTAATGTATAAGCGTGTATACCCAGAAGCTGGTTTAATAATAAACAAAGTACTTAGTGTAAATATTTGTAAAATATTTATGTGGTTTGGTTAAAATATGTTAATGAGTTTCCATCACCTGTTATTTTTTCAATCGGATATGTACTTTGAAGTTGTCGAAATTGGCTTTCGATAATGTTCCAGTCAAAATGCATCTTTAATGTTCAGCCAGAAAATAGAAATCAACACATTACATGAAATCGTTCCTCAATTATGATGATGAAGTCTTATATTTGCAACAAAGCTAAAGTTTGTGCTTTACAAGGATGTTAAGAATGTACAGTGTATACAGTGTACTACTGAATAAAATATAATGGTTACAAGCTAAAGAACTACATACAGACTATAGTAATTTTCAAAGTTTCTGTCATCATCGGTAAGTGACGCATCTTTGAAAACCACCTATGATCAAATTCATTAACACATACCTGTCAAAATTAAAGAAAATAAACAGACACGTAAACTGTAAACGAAAAAAAAAACAATAACGAAAATCATAAATTTATAATAAAAAAATATAAAATCATCCAGTTGACTGTAGGGGTTTCAGGCGAACTCAAAGCAGCGGGTGAAAACCTCATCCACTAGCGATGTATGTACAAAATTATAAAAAAACCACCACCAAATTAGGAATTAAGGGGATTAAAGCAATAGAAAAAAGGAACCAAGGTGCAGAATATCCAGACCCAGAAGATTAGGTTAGAAGGAAATATTTACTATGACATTTTTGTCAGTAAAGCTTTATTAAAGTATTCCAAGTAATTTTAAATGTTGAAAATGTTTGAATTTATGCACGCGATTTGCGTCACGCGACATAAATCACGAGCATAAATATACGACGGTTACGATGTTATAGTTACAAAAAAGTAGAGCCCGAAATTACATAGATTGTAAAAAGTTGATTCCTTTCTAACCCTTTATAAAACAAATTTAAGAGGTGTGACATAGCCACCATGCCCAACATATAGCACAAGACAACTAAACAGCGACAAGACAAGAATACCTTCCATATTGTGGTAGAGAATGAGACAGAGGAAGTGAGGTGAGCCTTACCGTACAGATTCATCATAGAGCTAGACTTGCGCCCTTTAAAGTTTTGATAAGCCGTATACTTAGGTCTGCCACGAACCTGGGCAGGCGAAGGGTCTGGAAAAACATACCGTTTACGTGTCAGATGCTTACAAAGCTGCTGTGAGCGCTTTATGGATAAAATGCTGCAAGTGAGTGGTATGGAACGGTTTGCGTTTTGTGTCTGTGTCAAAATTTCGAACAGTAGCTCTCAAATTTCTTAAAGATTCGTCCAAATGGTATATTATACGGACGCTAAAAGCTGGCGTATTTTTTTAAGTTGAGCAGAATACGTGAAGTTAGCGATGTTAAGGTACTGTTTTGCGCCGCGATAGCTATAGGAGACGCGAGACCAAAACAAAAATGTGTTTCTGGTGTTTCCTACCAAAAGCAAATTCTTCGGGCGATGGTTCTAATTCAAGGTCGACCAGTTGATAACCAAACAAATTCTAGTCTTAACAATTACGTGATGGTTAAGACCTGGTTCTGAACTTTTAAAACCAGCCCAGGAGCATTAATATGTAGTATTTACTGTTTTGTTCTGAAAGTCTAAAAACCCCAAATAAAACTTGAAAATTGCAAAAATTGCAGCGGCACCTATTTACAGTAATCCAAATGTCGATACAAAACGATTTGAGAACCAGTACATTCGTCTGCAAGTCGCAAAACAGTCAGTATAAAGTCATTAGCGGGAGAGCTTATATATTAAAAAATTTGTAATTTTTATGTCAACCACAATCAGAACTTATTGCGAAAAGAATTCGCCTCAAGTGATTACAGTCAAGAAAGTTCAAGTTCACAGTTGAAAGTGTCATATGCGAATAAAACATTGCAATTTCATCATTGCTTAAAACAAAAAAGAGTCGCAAAAGTTCATAATGAACATTCTGAAGTTCGAATTTAAATATTTCATAGTGACAGCGACAGACTTCCTAATACTTAACGTAGAAGAATTTTGTATACGAGGGGGTAAAAAAAACTAAATTATTTTTTAAAGGCTATTTATTTTCAACTTTTTCACAAAGTAACATTATCTCCTTCAAAATACTGTCCACTACAACTAATTCACTTGCCCCACCACTGCTCGAAACATTTTTTGAAGTCTTCCTTAGAAATGTCAGACAGCTCCTCCCTCGTTTTTTCTTCAACTCTTTAATGTCGTCAAAGCGGCGTCCTTTCATGCCCCTTTCCATCCGTGGAAATAAGAAAAATAGGAGCCAGGTCAGGTGAATAAGGTGCATGAGGCAGCGGCACCATGCCATTTTTAGCCAGAAACTGTCGAACAGAGATGGCTGCGTGCGCAGATGCATTATCGTGGTGGAAGAACCAGGCTCCTGACTGCGACAAATCGGGTATTTTTTATCGCCTCAAAACCTCCAAATAGCACAAGCTCTCGAATTTTCTCAATATTATTGCCGATTCGGGCAGTTGATGGACGCTAAGAGGGAGGTTTGTCATCAAACGACATATCGCCATTTTTAAATCGAGCAAACCACTCGTACATCTGAGTTTTTCCCATAGCATCTTCTTTATAAGCTATTTTCAACATTAAAACAGTTTCAGCAGCATTTTTACCAATTAGAAAGCAAATTTCACAGCTGCACGTTGCTCATTGAAGCTTGCCATCGTATAAAACGAAACAAGCACTAAACAGCTGTAGCAAAAATAATGACTACAGAGGAACGAAACAAACCAGATCGACCACTCAGGTGGTACTGAACTGGTAATGAGTTGCGCTGTACGCCTCTAGGCGCAGAAATGTGTAGTACACAAGCTTCGCCCACTGCAATGCTATTCCGGTTATTTTTGGGTACCTACTCGTGTATGTAACCTTTGTACCTCCCGTCGCTGTACCGCACGCGAACTGATATGCGTTGGACAAGTATGGTCCCGACACCTTGTCGCCTTCTCGTGTGGCTGTCGAAGAACGGCTCCTTTAGGACGATTAGGCTCTCCGTTCACAATCGATCCACCATGCCAAATTTGATGCAAGCATTACCAAAACTGTTCACGTAAGGAATGTAGTGTCTGTCTGATAACACGGACGCGATTGTCGCTGTATAATTTGCACTACAAACATGCCGTTTAGCTGATATCCCTTGAACGCGACTCTAAAAGGACATTTTCATTCAGCATTCGTATAACATGTCACTTAGGCACCTCTATAAGAGCATTGTCAATATCTAATACTCGGAAATAGCTGAATACACCATAACTAGTTATGGTTGATGATCGAAAATGTAGTCGAGCTACCCCCAAAAACGCGCTTATATTTTAGATATACAAAATTGACACTGGGAGACAATACAGATTTTGAAGCAACTATCAAAGGTGGAAAATATAATTTCGCCAGGAGTTTGATAGAAAAATAAAGCTTATCCATCTTTTCCGACGCTCAACGCGGTACCACCCCGTAGGTCTCGACGAAAGGTTAGAATGAATATTTGCCATCATATCTGTATGGGACATACAAAAAATAAATGTATAAAAATCAAAACCAATTTGCAGCAATATCACAAAATAAACGGCGTGAGTCGTGATAAGTCAGTGTGACTGACATCGTCTTATTTTTACATCAAACCCTACAGTTTCCTAGATAAGTGTGTTCAAGTGGAGGAGTTATCAGCGACTACTCAACGTTGATGCATTAAGCTCTAATTTCACTCACCTTGAAGCGTCCATCAAAATCTGTCTTGTTTACCCCGTTCGCCCATTTCTACCTTACAACTCAACTAACATAATCGAAATCAAGGGTTGCAATCAACGTCAATAATGATAGATTGATACATTGTGCATAGCTCAGAAGAAACAGAATGGGATACTCGGAAGAGTATTCAAAAAAACAATAAGTTCGTGCGCTCTATGATCACGAATAGCTCAAGCTATGTCGATATTTGTTTGATTTTCCTTTCTTCTTTTTCAACATGACGAACGGTAGAGTGGATGTGAAGGTAAGTTTCCATTCTAAAAGGTCGGTGCATATGTTGCACGTCGCAGTCACTTAGGCCAGGTTTCACCACAATCTTTAATCCAGGATTAAAACATAATCGGGAATTTTATCGCTATAATTTGTATACACGCGTTTCACCAAATTTTATTCAGGGATTAAATTCACTAATCGTGGATAAAAAAAATCAACTATGTTTTGGCCGATTATATTTTAGTCCCATATAAAATGATGGCAGTTGACATTGCATTTGGAAAATTCAACCTACAAATGTCTAAAAATTGTGTATTTTACTAGAAAAGTGATATGTGTTTTATATTGGCTAGTGTGTTTTGGAAAAATTGTTATTGTTTTCAATTTACTATCTTTGAACCAAATGGCATTTAGGAGGTTATATAATATGGCGTATCAAGATGAGAGTGAGAATGAAGATTTCTTCTTGAACGAAAATATCACATTAACAATTTGGATAATGTAGACTTATAGCAGCGATTCAGACTATCCAAGGCTGTAACACAAGATATGCTGGATTCTTTCATAGACATGTGGAACGACTTGACTTTATCTATCTTCATATTTTTCATTTGGATCGCGTTTCCTTTTATATTTGGATCGCCCGCGATTTTCAGATATTTTTACCCAACAGATGGAACTTACCAACCACAAACAACTCCAAAAGTCATATGAGTCTTATGTGAAAAGAGAAGTTATAATAATAATGACCACAGAAGGACCACATTGACGGATCTAAGGTTGCCTTATCTTTACGCTGTTGCAACGTCCGAGATTAGTTAATCCTGATTTTTTTTTACTGGTGAAACATATATCATTATAATCGTCATAAAAATGCTTCGATTATTTTTATTCCCGATTAGGTAATCCGGGATTAGGATGACACTGGGCCTTATCGCATCTTTTCCCCGGCATTTATTTTCTAATCCAACAACAGATCTAACATTTTGACATGTGCCGTTGCATGACTCGCAAAATGTTGCGGAACGAAATTGCTTTAATGGAAACGTACCGTGAGGCATGCACATGACTCTTGCCGCGTAAAATTGACAGAACTGATAGCGCCTAATTCCAACTTGACGGGGAAAGGAAAACGACACGAATTAGGACATAGCTTTATGTGCACATAGGGAATGCAGTACTCACCCCTGCTGGTTTTGTAGGAACTACGTCGACCCAATGTTTGATTGGAGCTGTGGCAAGGCGAAACACCTCTGCTGTCATCAGGAGAGTCTAGAAAACATGGATATATGAAAACTTCATCTATGCGACAAATTCAAGTTTGACTTGGATGATCCTGTTTCAGCTAATAGCATCGTGTGGTAAATCTCTCGAACTCATGTAGAGCACAAAAATAATTTGAGAGGAGATCCACCTCCTTAAAGGACACAGAAGATTTGTGTTGTTTTATTATTTAGTTCATCAGCAAGTTTGAGGCTAAAGTTGAACAAATTTTACTCTGGTATCGATAAAATGAGCTAATTTTGAGAAAAACCGGGCTAAGATATTCTGGAACTAAAGGGCGTTCCCAGAGGTACTTCAGGATTTTGTTTTAAATAAAACCAACAATTTTGGAAAAACATGTTTGCCGGTATTATAAGCATTTAGAAGTATGGGGGTCATGCTTTATAAATGATATTATACAAATTCCACCCTCAACTGTCTATTTAGACGATCATTCTTCGGCTAGTTGCTTTCTGTGATCTTTTGGCTCATTTTGACCGGCTTTAAAAATATTTTGCTTCAGGTCGGTAATCGTATGCGAATTGTTTGAATAGATTTTGTCCTCGAATAATCCTCACAAAAATGTGGGGTTACGTGAAGTCAATAAAAATCACCATTCCGAGAAATCACGTATCTATCAGGAAAACGTGTCTGTGACAAATACAAAGTAACCCTCGCAGTATGTTATGTGACCTCCTTTTGTTGAAATAACATCATGATGAGGTGCAAATTCTAAAATTGGGGTCTGGAAAAGTCCATTTATGTGATAACACGGCCGTGAACGTTTACCGTTCATCATCGTAATAAAGATAAAGACAGTAAAACAGTGCAGAATTAAATTCCCGGGTCTCTCGTTGTCACATGCGAAATATAAAATGTCTAACTGAAGTCGTTAAAAAACATACAACAACTTCCGAATCACACTCTTAAACATTTGAATTCAAAACTATTTAGATAGAATACGCATTATGTACAGCAAAAAAGAATAATATACATAAATCTAACAACTAAAATAAAAGGTACCTTTATAGAGCATGCTGGTGCTCATGCTTCTGTCTGCTAAGCTGTCTTGTGAGCCTCTAAAATAGTCTCTTTTCATTGTGGAGGGAGTATAAGCTGGCGAAAATAAAAATAACGTGCAAATAAAAAGCATTGTGTAAAACTGCGATTGCGTAAAAAGAATATATGTACAAAATAAGCAGTTATGATCCTTAGTTAAGGAATGCGAAGGCATTAAAATATATAAACTCAACAGGTCTTGAAAAACAGCTTCTACGTGTGAATATTATATACTCGAGAATGTTTTATAATAGAAACACCGGTAATAAAGGAAATGCTCAGTCCATAACTGCGTAGTTAGGTTCTTTAGCGAAAAATATACTTCTTTTTTCTTAATGTAACTTTTACTTTGCAGTGAATAAAATTTGTTTAACATAACTATTTTGAGGAGAATTCTATACGCCACGCCACAGAAAAAAGTGATCTCACGTTCTCGGAATTACTACCAAGTGGTCCAATGCTAGAGTAACATGAAATAACCTTAGAAATTGTATCTGCACGAAAGATTCGTCCACCCGACATTATACACACGATGACAGGTTTTTGACAAATAATTTATCACATTCATAAAATGATAAACTTCTACTGCTTTCAACACTTAAAATACGTTACTTTCCCATTAGTTGAAAGGTTAAAGTAGTATATTTTTAGCTTCACCTAATAAAAGGTGTTTTATACCTATTTAACTATACACAAATGGAACATGGAAAACTGAGGCAGCACACACTAAAACAAAACAAAACAAATATATATATATATATATATATATGCTGGCAGCAAAATCTCCAAAAATATAGTCCTTATATTACTTAAAAAATGGGACAGCCTCTGTATAGGTAACTTACTGAAAAATTAGAAGAGATAAGACAAATATGCGGTTCATAATTGAGCTCCATATGAACAAACACTAACTGAAGGAGTAAGCGCGTTTTAAAAAGGTGTTCGAACTGAGAAGCTAATAAAAGATATAATATCTCACCAAACAAAAACGAAAAATCAACAGGAACAAAGTGGATATAAAAGGGCAGCTTACCTGTCAGATTTGATGTAGATCCTTTCTTACCGCGACTAGACATACCTTCAGCCATTTGAACAGACCCGCTATCTATGTGTATAGTTTTCGGTCGAGGACGGGTACTGGCCTTCGGTCGCATCTTCGGAGTGGGTTTCAGGGAAGACAGTTCTGATCTGTCTAACGTTTTGCCCTGGAACAAATGTTTAATTTCAGTAAACTCTCAACCATCATAATTTCTTTAAAATCCCATCAGTAAATAAATGAAATGAAATGAAGTGACTCAAGGTGTTATCAACGCGACAACCGGAGGTAAAACCACACGTAAACGTAATAGCAACGAAATTTCTCTATGTGGACAGTGCTCAGCTTGCATACCTATGGGATGCAAACTGATAATCGGTTAAAAAGATTAAAAAAACATTGATTGATGAAACAATCGTATATTTTTCACATGTATCCGAACTTCGAAATGTACAACGATAAAATCTCTGCCTTTTCGCTGTCATTTGTTCGTTAGAGTATAGAATAGGGATACGGACTTATTATATATTATAATGATTATTTTAATACGAGTTCTGTAAATTAAGTGATGAGAATGATTTTTTCTCATTGAAATATAATTAAAATTTTATGTTGTCAGCCTCAAAATAACTTCCTTCTGAAGCCACACCGCGCCGGACACGGTTCTTCCAATCCTTATAGCAGTGCTGGACCTCTTGGAACCTGGTCGGTTACAGCGTTTGAATGTTTTCGACTGTCCCCAAATGGATGCCCTTGAGGTGATTTTTCAAATTCGGGAAGCGAAAAAAGTCACAAGTACTCAAGTCAGGCGAGAAGGAGGCTAAGGACCCACAGGAATGTTTCTATTGGCCAAAAACTCGTTTATTGACATTGCCGTGTGACAAGGAGAGGAGATCGTTCTGACTGAAAACCGACGATCTTAAGCACAAGATCTCGGATTCTTTGAAAGATGAAAGCCTTCCGCTTCGTGGTTCATCTTCAATCGACTGTCTCCCTTCTGAAAATGCCTTAAACCGCCGAAAAACTTGGGCTCTTGGCAAAACACTATCTCCTTAGGACTACCGAAGTCCCGAAACCATTGCTCGAAATTGATGTCATGCATTTTTAGAACACAATAGGAAAACACAAAAAAAATCGCAACGGACAACCAAATGACTCGACCGAGTTCAAACTTGTACTGATCACGTTTCCCTGTCTCCGCTCCAAGCCCGGCGCCTCCAGTGTCACCAGATCGCAATGCTACGTTGCCAGTCAGATCACTTAGTTTACCTAGTCCATAAAATTAACAAATAATCTAAAATGTGATTTTGTGAAATATGATCTTTTTTAATTATCCTACAGATTTTTTATTGCTTTTACAATTACTTCTCTAAGAGTCTAACTAGTCCCTAGACTTTTGTTTGAAAGTTCTTGTGAGAAAACTGGAGAAAATTTTATTTAATTCACAGCTTAGAAGGAAGTACTCGTAGTACTACTAGACTTTGTGTATAACTAATGATTATGATAATTCAAAGGCGGGGATTTAATTATTTTGTTTTTAATTTGATTAACTAAATCACGGAATTATGTTACGTTACAGCATTTTATAATTATACTGAACAGCCCAAAAAGTTCTTAAGATTTGAGTTGATTTCTTTAGAAGATTTTATTTCACTTAAAACAGTGGTTGGTCTATATATATTTATAAGAAAGTAATTAATGGTTATAAATAATTAACAAAAAATTATAATTTTATTTGGTTTACTTCGTTTTTAATTTCATTAAGAAATGCATAATATAATAAATTCATAGATAAAACTAAATGTGGTTTATTTTAGATAGTAAATATAACCATTTTCCTTATACTATACATACAAAAATCAATTTTTAAATAAAACCGATAATCATCATCATAATTTCATCGATTATCGAAACGAGACGGTGGAACCTCAAATTTTGAGACAACGTTTTTATGTCTCGCAAGTTTTATATGATTAATTAGCTTTTAAATATTTTTATAAATTTGTAATTGACATGGTATGTATATATGGCATGAAGGTATATGTATATGTTATTTCAGCAGCTAAATGATAGATTTGGTTTAAACTTCACAGAAAGGTAGTCGTCAGAAGTTCAGGGAGATCTTGGCATATATCTAGCAATTTTTTCCCGAAAGTTCAGAAAATCATCAAAAACACCTCACGAAATTAATGGCCGCCCTAAGCAGGTGTCAATACTACATCTTAAACATATAAAATTCCAGGCAATTCTATGAATTGTGAGAAAAGAACCACCTTAATTTCTCTCTCAAAACTCTTCAAAACAAGACAAACAAGCATTTAGTCTTATGGATTGTAGATACACTAGATGTTTTAAAGCAGCGACCCCCAGGTCATACGGTCTAGCTAACTTTTAAAACCGAATAACTAACAAGCATTACGAATGAGGCCAATATTTAAAAACTTAATCGTCAACGATTTTTTCATTTAGGTATCAGAAGTTCCAGGTAATTACAATTTTACAGTTAGTAGGTTAGCAAGATGAGAAACCGTCAACAGGACTATCAATCAACAGAAAATAGTATTACGAAATCTTGGCGATAGCTCAAATAAACATTGGAAGAAATAAAGAACGCCTTCAAAAACAACATTCAATGACGGAAACTCTTTCAAAAAAAGAGCTAAAATATACAAATTAAAAATAGATTAATAGTAGCTCTATAAATTATAAATGAAAATAACTCGGAACATCTGAGGTGCATGGCAGTAAACTTGTTTTAATTAATTCACATTATTCAGTTTTTTAACAGTTTGGTAACGTTTTATAATATCCTTAAAACGACACTGGATCAACTTATTAAAATGGTACAAATGCATAAACAAGCAATTTGTCAACACTGGGCCCATTCAGGCAATTGCAGCGCTGTTTTGCCGAAATCTATTTTTTCTTCTAAAGGACTTAGAAGTCATATTAAAACTAACTTCAACATAGAATTAAACGGCAGTGTTATTCAAAATGAGGAATCAGCCAAGAATTTAGTTGTATTTTTTGACAAGAACCTCAACTTCATGCCTCAAGTTAATTACATTACTAAAAGAGGGTTTGCTGTCCTGAGACAATTATATCTTAACAGGCAAATGCTTCAATTTAGTACTAAAAAATTCTATGTGAAACTATGATTATTTCAAGAACTACTTACTGGCGACTTAGTATATCATCCATTTTTAGATTCTGTATACGAGAAATGTTTGCAAAAAAATACAAAATTCCTGTTATAGATTGATTTTTAACCTACGAATTGATCATATTAGCTCTCGTATTTTGAACAACTGAATTGTCTAACTGTAACAAAATTATTTAAGTTTCACTTACAATGTTTTGTGCGCAAAGTTCTAACTACATCATCTCCATTTTTAAAAGACAAGCTAATATTCCGTTGATGTACCCACTAAAGAAATATTCGTTTTGTGAATACGTTAACCATGCCTCTTCACAAGACATCATTCTTCCATAAGTGCTTTACTTATAATCCCATTATACTAAACAATGCCTTCCCACTGCCTACAAAACTTCTGAACTTTGACGATTTCAAAAAACAAATTAAGAAAATAATTTTTGTACAACAAATTTAAAGTCAATCATCAAGCCTCATTTCTCTAAATTATTACCATTTAAAATATAATTTTGATATCATGTGTGGATTTATGTAATATTTATATAATACTATGAGAACTGTACTATAATTTGTACATTTTATTGTATTTATATATTTTTGATGCTTATTTATTTTTGTTATGGGTTAAGTGGCAGAATAGCTACAAGATCAACTTCGCCCTAAATAAAGTCGATTAATTATGATTTGACATTTGATTTGTCAGTGTCTGTTTGATAATTTGATTTGATATCAAGTGGACGTACATCGCTTTAACGCTGCAGTTTCCTGATGTCATCCAATGATTCCTTCATAGTAAGTATTAAAAATTCTTTTCAGACACATTGTTAAACTGCCAACATATTATTCTATGTTCCAAACGTAAGAATGTAAAGGATAAATACCAGTGACCAATAGATGAACGACATCTTGACTCCTATTCACCAATCAGTATCAACAAACCCACGTGTAACAGAAACAAACGCGATACGAAATATCGTAGTAAAATATATCCCGATCAGCAATTGTCTTCGCGGTCGTCTTCCAACTAGAACGACTCTTCCAGCGGCGGATGCCTTCCTCAAAATTACAGGGTGGCACTCAGGTCACTTCAATAACCACTCAGTAGAGATTCTCGTATTTTAAAATACATTATACATATTATGTATGTACGTACGTAAGAAACAATAATTATCCTACGTCTAACAAAATTCGTCCCATATATAGAGTCATATCATAAACAAAAACAGCAAATATTGAATACCAAATATGATATTCGATATTACAAGAGGGGTTGAATCTCGGAAGCCCTATTAACAGGCTTTGAATATACGTTCGTCTAGTTATAACCCTATTTGAAATGCGATATAGAAAACTGATGAGTCGTGTATAATTCGTTGTTAATGTAAGAGCTGCAGCAAATATTCGGAAAAAAAGACATTTGGACGGGCGAAAATTATGGAGGACTAGCATTCAGTTGCCAGTTGCTTTGCATTCCCTCCATTAGCAAGAGTGTCTGTGAGAGTGTAGGCAAATGCCTTGAATATCAAATAAACCTATAAAATGAAATTTAATGGTGTTATATCTCAAGATCCAAGGTGCCAATCCTTGTCACCGAAACGAAAGAGTACACGACTAAGAAATGTCTCATGCAACAATAGCACTGTTTCGCAGGCTTGTTGAAAGTATCTTAAAGTCAAATCCATATTATCCAATTCAGGCAAAAACAAGCCTACATACACTTGGGCATTGAAGGGGGAAATCCAACGTTAAATCTACGAACTTGAGTCGCATTTGTATAAAATGGCCATAGAAAAGTTTGACTATCTCTTTATTTTGCTAGGTAAGGTGGTTTGAAAAAGGTCAAGTTCAAGACTCCACTAACTTTGAAAAAAGAGTTCAACGGTGACGTAGGGTGCAATTTCAAAGTTATTTCGAAGACAAATTTTGTTTTTAAATGATAATCCTCTTTTTGATAGCGGCAATCGAAATGAAGAAAAATTATACGTGCGAATATCTAAGATCAATGTCACCTTTAAAGAACAAATAATGAAGGTCAGATGTGTAAGGCTAGGCACAATTACTTAAGGCTAAGTAGGATTATTGATGAAAAAAAACATAAAGGATAAGTTTCTAGTAACTTGAATCTAACCTTCAAAGTTTTTTCAAAGTCAACTTTTTTAACTAAGAGTTTACTTTTTTGACACCAACAATGAACAAATTTACGTTGTCATGTACTATCAAACCTTGAAGGTGAGGCTCAAAGTAACCATTAAACTCCTTGTTCAGAGTTAGTAAATACCTGACGACCCTTTTCAAAAATACTTTGTAAATACAGAGCGGTTCTGTTGGTTTTGTTACAACCGGTATAACCTTATCCCGAAATCTGTATAAGCTATTTAATTCAAATTTAGCTTTAATTTTAGGGCAATCTTTGCTGAATGGACCTATAAGCAGCTCCAATTCTAAAATTTTTGTATTTTGCTACTTTTTATCTTGGTCATTCAGACAAAAATTAGTGGGTGTGCTTTTCGTTTAAGTAACCTCTCAATTTCGCTGGCACTGGATCGTAAAACGTGCCGGTGTGAACGGCCTTATGCTCTGGCTCATATATACATCAACCACACACAGAAATACGCATCCGAGAAGAGAGAAAAAAAGACAAGTGTCGAGGTATGCAACAGTCATCTTGTCGGCTATGATTTCTAATTTCATAAGGGTAAAAATAGATCGGGCGACCGTCGTTCGCGGAACGAACGTCATCATGGCGTGGCGCCGACGCGCCCTATGAGAAAGCATGAACGCGTCAGACGATTTCTTAGAAACGTACAGGGTGACACGATTACATGGCACAAGTCTACCAGAGTTTTAAATATTTTATAACGTATACTCGTATATGTTGACCTTTAACCAACATTCTTCTTTTTATTTTAGTACTTGATTATTGTTTAAAAGGTCAAATTTTATAAAAAATTCATTGATTTTCTAATAGTTAGCTGAAGTATTTTCATACGAGGGCATGATCCAAACACGTTCTACTTCGAATCTGTAATAAAACACACTGAGATACAAAATATATATACAAAACTAGAAGTTTCGCTGCACTGTATTCACATTAAAAGCTTCAACTTTTTTTGTTAATGTGAACACCGTGGAACAACACTTTTATTTATGTTTAAGATTTGTGTTTTATTATAGTCTTTTGAAGTAGAAAGCGTTGCGACCAAGCGTTCATATAAAAATACTTAAGTTGAATATTTGTAAATAGGTGACTTTTTCGAAAAAAAAAATGTCAAAATTGCGAACCTTGGGCTCTTCAGAACAATCAAGTATTAAAATAAAAAGACAAATTGATGAAGTATTAAAGTGTATACGTTCTGAAATATTGGGATGTCTTTTAAGTTTTGCATATAGAAACATAGTAGGCCGCGCGGATCGAACGTCAGTACTGAATCTTAACCTCACTCTTTAGTAAACTTAAATTCAAAGTTTCACAACAATACGTGCAGTGCTATCACTACAGTGAATTTGTAAGTGTCACCAAGTCATTAGAAAAATGGAACTCAACCGAGAACATTTTCGCGCCATAATTTATTACAACTTTCAGAGACAATTATCGCAACAAGAATGCCTTGCTGAGTTACTGTCTGTTTTCGACAACGAAGCGCCACATCAGTCAACAATTTCCCGTTGGTATGTAGAATTCAAACGTGGACGGGTGAGTCTTAGCAACGATCGCAGGGTGGGTGCACCAAAAACGGCAGTCACCCAAGAAAACGTCGATGCTGTGCGCAAACTCATCATTGAAGATAGACATGTGACATATCGCGAGATTGAGGCGTCCTTAAAGATCTCAAAGACCTCAATTCAAAAAATTTCACATGAAGAATTAGGAGTAAGGAAATTAGTTTCTCGTTGGATACCCCAACTGTTGACTGACGAGCAGAAAGCAGCCAGGGTTAATTGGTGTCAAAAAACGCTTGACCGTTTCGATTCCGGAAACTCAAAAAATGCATTGTTAGTGGTGATGAATCGTGGATTTACTGTTATGAACCAGAAAATAAACGACAGTCAGCTGGCTGTTTGGGTGTTACAAGGTGAAGAAAAGCCAACAAAAGTCATCCGTTCTCGAAGTGTTTCGAAAAAGATGGTCGCGACATATGTATCAAAAGCGGGGTCATATTGCAACAATTTCTCTTAACGAGCAAAGAACTGTTACTTCGGATTGGTATACCACCATTTGTTTGCCAAAAGTCATCACCGAGCTGCGAAAAATCAACCGCGAAAGAAGAATCATCCTCCACCAAGACAATGCAAGCTCGCACACAACCCAAAAAACAAGGCAGTATTTAACGGAAGAAAACGTGGAATTATTGGACCATCCTCCATATAGTCCCGATCTAAGTCCTAACGATTTTTTTACTTTCCCGAAAATTAAAAACAGACTGCGTGGTCAAAGGTTCCAGTCACCAGAAGCAGTTAACACATTCAAAAATGCCGTTTTGGATCTGCCAGCAAACGAGTGGAATAAGTGCTTCGAAAATTGGTTCGAGCCCATGCAGATGTGTATTAATCTTCGTGGAGAATACTTTCAAAAACAATAAAGTTATTTAAAACTACCTACCGTGTTGTTTTATTTCCATATGCAAAACTTAAAAGTCATCCCTCTTATAAGTGCCGAAAAACCGCTTATAGACACTGGTCCTTTGTAATCGTGTTAGTTATTTAGCACTAGAACAAAAGATAATCGACACTCCATCTGAATAAATTTCATTCAAAAAATTATATCGCTTGAATGTGTTTTCTTCTTTTTTATATCTTAGAAAAATAACTTAATTTTTCAGGAATCTATTGGCAGAAAGAAAGCTGAGGAAATAGGAAGATGTTTGAGTGTGATTCGAGGTTATACTATTTTGAGCGTGACGAGGCAGGTCGCGAAGGACAACCGTCAAACCACAAACAAACATCTTTATTTGTGTTGCGCAAAATCTAAAAAGAGATAAATTTTGTAAAATACCATTCATACAGTACATTTCTTCAGCTTTCATTTAATCGGCACAAATTTCTGCAAATTCCTGTATTTTTATGAAGAAAATAAAACCGTTTTTACTGTTAAATGATAATATCCTTAGAACATCAATTGGTGAGTAATGATTTTTGTTCCTAATTCCACTACTACTAGGCCAAATTTTCGCCTGTGAATATATTTTCTGAAGACTTAATCAAATACTCTTCCCGATTGTCGTATCCGGGCCTTGTACAGAGTGAGGCGGTTAGATAACGAAAAATATTTACCAACTGTATGCAGATATTCCAACGTTTCTAACAGCTGCTACTATTGCGAATAATGAGACGTGTTTATGCCATATTATACGAGCGCGAATTTAAAACTTGACCATCCGTCAAAACATGTGCGTCTGGGCGATCTTTATTAGTTAATATATTTAAGACCGTTATCCTTCACTACGTTCTGCGTCCCTAGACAGTCATAATCTCCAGGCTTTTCGTCAGAGAAAGTCACTACAAGTATCCAAAGTGCTGCTAACAATGTTGGAATCAAAACCTATCCTTGGACGCACGAGTTAACCTTAATCAACAAGACTTACCTCCCTTTCGGCCTCCTCAATTGCCTTCTTCAATTTATACTGTTCCAATATGGCCTGCCGTCTCGCTTCTCTCTCTTCTTTCTTCCTTGCCCTTTCTTCTTCTTTCTGTTTCTCCCTTTCCCTGCGTTCCTGCGCTTCGGCTTCTTTCCTCGCTTTTGCTTCTTCCTGTCTTTGTCGCCGCTGCAGTGATAACAGCATTATCTTCTCTTTCTTTCGTTCACGTTCGTAGTCCAGGTCCTGGAACAAAAGAATTCTGGATCAACTCAAGTAGTCATGTTGGTACGTGGGCGACGCCATACATCAATTTGGCAATCAACAACTTGTCAAATTCGGATAGGCGCCCTGTTGCGTTTGAAACTGGGTCTTTGAAAATCAATAGACAGACATGCGGTATTCCCTACCGCAAATAGCAAAAATACCTTTCAGACTCTTTATATAAAATAAATATTTACTTCCATTTCATGTGATGTCATATGATGGGATGTAGACAAGTTGTGAAGCATCTCAATACAGATAATGATATATTTAAACGATTTCCCGCCGCGCAAACCTTTTGACTTTCAAAAATTATCCATACAAAATAAAAACTGAGCATGCCTCGACATCTCACTTTAAGCAGCACTTGAACAAAAAAATGGCGTCAAGTAGGTTGACTCTGCGCTTCCCATGCAACGCCGTCATCAGTTCGTAACGAATTATGTTCAGCACAAAGCAGAACCTTCTAGAAAAGAGTTAGTTAATACGGGCATGAAGAACAGATAAATTGATCGTCTAATAGGTACGTAGAACTACCCCCCCCCATCCCCCAATTTCGTACCCCTAAACAACATTTAAAAAATCACAATCTTCTAAAACGATTTTTATTTTTTCGTTCTTGGTCTTTTTCTCCGCCGCCACTGGACCGATTTTAAAAAACTACAAAGGTTTTCCGTCCTTGGCATATAGTAGTAATATCTCTTCCTCATTTTTATATTGTTAAACCATTTTGTTTACAGCAAATGAATATATGTTTAAAAATTACAAATTCTAGAAAATAAAGCTATTTTAAATAAAAACAAGAGATTATGTCTATGTTAGAAGAACTAAAGTGGTTGAATCTAAAATAAAAAATATGTTATTTAGTTCTTGAGATTAAAAAAATCACTTATTATCACCACATTTAGAAAAATTCACAAAATTAAATAATCATTATCATAGCTACGAAACTAGAGGTAGTACATATAGATTTTCAACTTCAAGATTGTAGTAGTAGCGTAATTAGCAAATCTGTATTTCAAAAGGGAGTATTTGAATTTAATAAATGAAATAATGATATTAAACAGTTTAAAAATGTTTAAGGTGAAATGAGAAAATCACTTTATGATTGACATTTTTTTTTCTGAATATCTGTATGTTATGTAATTGTTTGGTTTTTTAAAAGAATGTAATTGTAGCAATCATGCTAAATAAATCTTAAACAAACAAAAAACATATATTAATGCTAAATAAACAAACAAACTTTGTGTGAAAATTTCATCAAAATCTGACTAGTACTTTCCAAGGTATAGATGGGCCACGGATTAGCGGACCGACAGAAATGAGTAACATGGTTTTTCGTGACGTACATACAATACAATACTCCGCCAGTAAGGCGTGGGAAGTAAAAGGTAAACGGGCCCATTATTCAGATGAAAAATGTTAAATTTTAAATATAGCCTTCTAGAATAATTATGTGATTTAAACTTACGGGATCGGGATTGCTGAGCTCGTTTCCTATAATAATGGCGCTGGCAGCATTGACCTTCTGCCTTTCTTGACTAGCCTCACGTTTCGCTCTCAATTTCTCCCTCTCTTGCTCTATCAGCATTTGCCTTCTTGCATCTTCATCCCTCCTCGTTCTTTCCTCTTGCAGTTCTCTTTCCAGTTGTTTCTTCTCCATACGTTCCATATCCTCTTTACGTTCGTACGTTTCTTCGGCCGATTCCACGTAGCTTCGTTCTGGAATAAAAGCAATTGTTCGTTGAAACATTAATATAAGCATTGATCAGAAATGTTTCATTTCCATAATAGTTACGGTCAAAGGACGTAGGATGTACCAAATTGTTTTCTGAAGTGCTTACATCAGTGGCGATCGATCTCTATGTTAAAATAAATACTTGGTTCCCATCAAATCTAGTATATTCTATACCTTTCTTGGGCGACATCCTCTTCTGCCTTAACGGCGGTTTCGGCCTCCGGGGGCCGCTGTCATCGTCGAAGCTGATATAAAAGCCCTTCTGATTGGAGGGATCTCCATCCAGACTGGTGACCTCCACTGGAGGAATTTGCGCCTCGACGTTGGGGGGTGAAGGGGATGGCTGGTGGAAGGAGCTGCGCGTTATGGGAGGCGGTCTCGTTGGCGATGGGATCCGATACGTGCGGCTGCCGGAGGTGATGTTCAGCCGGCTTAGACCTGTAAAAAAATATGGAACTGAACAGGCGTAATGCCATCTTATTCTTATATACGAGTACGTCAACGACAACGACAACTTGTCTTAAAAAATCGTTTCTTTTCAATGATATCGCAACACCCTCATAAGTGGAATCTTGAGTGGCCATGGGACGCCTTTGCAGTGTCAACGCAAGGCAGCCAGAATTACGCGAGCATGTATGGAGCGTGATCGCGTTCTGGAGCGTTTGCGATGCAATCGAAAACATTCGATTCGTCTGAAGATGAATCTACTTCCATCCATACGGTTTCCACGAAGATCTATTTCGATCGAGAAGACGCGGAGCAATCATATCGGAATCATCTGTTGAAGACAAATACCGAATAGACGGCGGACACAGTCGAGTAGTGGACAGCACGCGACGCGATAATCCGGTCAACATGGTTATGAATTCGTCATAAATTAGTTGCAAGTGCGGTTACAAATTAGTTTAAAAGTAATAAATTAAACTTTCAACAGCAAAAACGGCGTTTTGGTTACAACATTATGATGTATCGTTGACGCTACGTGTTTTTGACTACTTGATCCCGTTCATCGACGCCAAAACATACCTATAGAGAATGTTACAGAATGTTATTGGGAAAAGAATGTTATCGGGAAAACCTAATGGCAGACTGAGCAGGATAAATTATGGGAAAAAGTTCATACGAACAAGTCCGGAGTTGCTTCGTTTCCAAAATCCAGGTCGAAACATGAGTCTTGACACGCGCAAATATACTATTAAAGGTCAAATTAACATGTAAACATTTGTTCTCTCAACCACCTACTTCAGTGACGTGCATGCCGGCATGTTCAGCGAATTACCGTAAGTCACTGAATTTTGCATAAAGGGTAGTATCAGTACCTTACTCAGATTAATTTAACTTGGAAACTGCCTTTGGAATGTTTTGATAACCAGTCCTTGAATCTGTTTAAGGTTAAGAAAACTAATAATCGAACTGACACTTTTTCAAATGAAGCTTAAGCTTTACTTCGCTTATTAGATAGCAGTCAAAAGTTTCAGCGGATTAAGACACAAATCACTAACCTTCACTCAGTTTGTCGGCACTAGGTGTTCCAATAAACGATATGTTCTGTGGTTCCATATCATCGGCGGACGGGGCTGGTATAGGTGCGTGTGTAACACTAGATTTTCTTTGAGGTGGCTCCCTATCCCTGCTATCCATATGTTGCAAACTAACGGGGGTTCTTTTACTTTCGTCTAGCAATTGAGATATTTGCCTGGAAGAGATTAAAATGGTTAAAAATTAGAAAATTAAACCACTGGAACTGGGCATAAAAATGGGGCAAATTGAAAATAATAGGTGAATTCAAATTTACTTAGCATCACTGCTGAAGCTTAGAGAAAGCTGTGTAAAAAGTGTGATTTTCAAAGCTTTTCAATGTATTGCTCTCACAAAAAAACGCGATCCTACTAAGTTTCAAGTGCTACTATATTGAACCCGTAGCGACGATGGGAATTAGCTGACGCCAGGGAATCTATTCTTAAAAACAACGGAGTAGAATAATGAGACTTATACATGACGGAAAGACTATGGCATTGTTTCTATTGAAAAAGGTATCAGTAGAATCGTTTTCAAGCGATGTCGATTTACAGGTTTTACGATTAACTTCTGTTTTCGTAAAGTTGAAAAAAATACCGGCCAAAAGTGGGACTTATAAATTTATAAAAACATAGCTTAATAATAGAACCTGCAAGAAGATGCCTAGCTAATTAGTTTTTAGCGCCTTACGTGGGCGATTTGGTCTGGTATCATAAGAGTAATTAGTTAAAAAAATTTGAGCTTCAAATGTTTTCTAATATGAATACGCTAAGAGTCCTGCTTTAAAGGGTGTCTTAATGTTAATTAGTATTTGGGCATATTAAAGTGATTACAAAATCAAGTTTGAGGTTCTCTGTCGAAAAATAAATTGTACGATTTTATTTTGTTTGCAGAGATTGTTCTAATTCACCTATGTATATTCCTATGCTGTGGCGACGCCGTCGGCGTACTATGTGAAGTTCCAAAGTGCTGCTGTTGTTGCTGTTGGAGATGCTGTTGACTTAGCGTGAAGCTGTTGGAATGCCTGAGCGCCCTATCATCACCACCTCCGTCGCCGTTTTGGTATCGAGTCGAGTTCTCTGCGGCCGCGTACCGGGGACTTTCGGAGTACCGTGGCGAATCGCCGTATCTCGGTTCGCTCTGGTGGTAGCGCTGCTGTTGCTGGTCGTACCTGGGAAAAATATAATCCGGGCGATACTAAATAAGTTGCTAAAATGTGGATAATACGAAATCAGAAAACAGCACCAGAGGCGACAGGCTGTCAAAAATCAGGTACGTTGCGTTTGATAAGAAATCCGTCACTGTTCCTGTGACAGATTCAACCATAATTAAAAACGACTGTGATGTATGTTGTGGCTTTTTTTCTAGATAAATCACATCAAAGGCAAGTTTATATACATACATTCTTGACTTGGAAAAAAGTGCTCCAGTCTAGTGTAGATATATGCATAAATTACCAATGAAGAACTTAGTTCTTTTAAGATATCAATCAAAAAGCGCCGTGTAAGAACAGCACTCCGCAGATATATTTCTTCCTGATTTTCTATCAGCCTGTATACCATACTAGGCTTGTAAAATAAGAATAATGATGCATGCTCAATGAGGAGAATCGATGTGAAGAGAATCGCGGCGATATTTGTCATTTTCACACGACATAAGTGACACGTCGCTCTATTGCGCGGACACTCATTTTAGTGTTTCGCTTCCCTTCCGCTCAATGAGCATACACCTTTAGTCAACTCACCTATCACTCGTGTCATGCAGTAGAAACCCCGCTCCTGCGCTACCGCCCCTATCGTTAACCGCCGGCGCCCGCCCCCACGTTCTCAGCTCTGGCTGTGGCACTTGAACGGGCGCCGATTGTGCCCACGTCCGCCTTTGTGGGGGTGGCGGTTGCGGAGACATGGGCGCTGCAGGTGGCGGGTCGTGCAGGAAGAACTGTTGTTGAGGCGGCGCTGCGGTAGGAGGGTGGTATGAAGCAGGAATGTGGGGAGCGCTGGCGGAACTTTGTAATGGGGGAGCGTAACCTGAAAATAATCGATAAGTACATGAATTAAGAAAGAAAAAATGCCTTCTCCAGAAGCCTAGGAAGTATCTGAAACACGTAAATATCTGAGGCATATTATTTTTGCTTTGGTTCTAATTCAATGTCGACTAAATTTTTACATAATCTATTGACAGCAATGAAGTCATAGCTGAGACCTGGTCCCAAATTTTAAAAAACAACCGGAGCGGCTCGATTTGATTCCGGTCTGTCATAGAATCGAGTAAGTTTAAATAAAAATGACTGTAGCTCCATCTTTATTGGTAGGGATTCGTTTTTCCAGAAAATTTGAAGTTGTTATTATTGGCAGGTAAAAAACGAATCTTGTGACTGTTGTTTTATTTTGCTATACAGGTATCAAAGAATAATAAAAATAACATTCCTCGAGAGATTATACAGACAAGCATGTCTTTATTTTATTAAAATTTAACAAAACTTTAAGGAATCTGACGGTATAACCACATCAAGTAAAAACGAAACGGAAGTAAAGTCCAATATAAAACCTACATATTCGATAGCAAATTGCAAAAACATCATGGGATACGTAATTATTAAAACCTTTTCCGACCAATTCCAAAAGGTGTTGTCATTTTTATGTCAATCATAACCAAAACTGCTTGAGAAACCAATATGCCTCTGGCCGTCTCGTTCTCGGCGTTGCATGTTCTCAGACTGGTATCGCATCCAGACTCTGGCCAAGAATGCCCAAGAACAATCTACAATCGTGAATGTCTTTGCTTAAAGGCGTAAATGAGAAAATTGCGAACAGCATGGCTACGAACGACCATCCTTGGCTAGAAAGTTGGACAAGAAATTTCGACGTGAGTCTGGAAGGAATATTATAGTAAATTCAAGGTGTACTTCAAACTTTTCAATAAGAAATCTCAGACTACCGACCGTATAGCTCTTTCACATAAAGTTCCTGCACTGAGGTTTTAAATAAAATCTTATCCAAAATGGAAATACCACCAGAAGCTACTAAATATTGCATTAGGAAAGATGCAACATTTTTTTTTATTACACTTTGAAGGATTGCTTGAAGGTAGTTCGTAGAAAACGAAGAAATTTAAAGTCACCAACAGGGAACTTTTTCTTTGTATTTTCTGTCGGTTATTTACGTTAATATAATATCGTAAGCCCTAAGCACATGTCAATTAGGCGTGACGTCACCGTCCCCGATAAAATAAAGTATTAATATGTTATATTTATTTCTACACATTACTTTGGAAAGCTGGAAAATAGTGTAAATAAACTATGCTCACCTTGTAGCTTTTACTTCTCTAACTTCAGGTTGCGTAATGTCGCGTTGGAGGCAATATATAGGAAGTCATCATGAAAGTGGAAGATTATCTGACTGTGTCTTTTGAAAAATACTTCCAGGTCTGTGCCTAGCGTCTAAAGTACACCAGAAAGTTGTAAAAGCAACCAGATAAATAACTGCATGATGTCGAACTAATCAAACATCAAACTGACAGATTGAAAGTCAATGACATTAAATCGGACTGACCGATCAACAAAGGGTGAACTGGTCACAAGCCACGGATGGTGAAGTCACGCCAAGGGCGTTTCAACATTTTAAACTTACCCCGTACTTTTCCCATTTTTTTTACCAATTAATTCTCGTAATTGTATAGCGCTTAAGTATAAAATAAGGTAGGTGTCATTATAGACTATGAATACAAATAATTTGCTATTTGAATCACATTCCGTGAAATATCGTGAACCAGTTGCACAGTTGCCAGTGCCGGGTTATATTTTTTATTATGAGTGATCTTGATTCAATTTATATATTTTATTTGCAGACGAAAATGTAAGAGTACCTTCTAGCATCATTCCAATGGATTATTTGAGCAAATAACAAGCGATATCACGCGGTGACTGAAAAATCGACAATGAAAGCTATCATGTATTCAACGCCACATGCGACTGCTTGACAATTGTTCGACGCCTAACCGGTTATGATTTCGAACACTTATACATTGTTACTATAGGAAGGAATATTTCGAGCCGTAACGCAGATTTTTAGGAAAATGTTGCAGGAAGGTTGTCAGAAATGATAATTTCGTGTATATTTTCCAGGAATGGTATGTACCTTCTACATTTTTATTAAAATATAAATTGACTATCATTTAAAGAACTTGACCGTTAAATAAATTTTGTTTACTTACCCTGCTGTACAGGTTGTTGATAGACCTGTTGTGGCGGTTGGTATGTCTGTTGAGGAGGCGCGTACTGCTGTCGCTGTGGAGGTGGATGCAAGCTCTGGTACTGCTGTTGCAGCTGCTGTATCTGCCGTTGTTGCTGCGCGATCAGCGTCTGCTGTTGCAATTGGCTCTGTTGCGTCGCCAGTCGTTGCATGTCCGACTGGAGGTCGTGTAGACTAGAATTCATTCTGCAATATCAACGTACGATAGCATTATTTTGACTAATTGACACACAAGTTGAAAATTACTAATCGGTAAGGTCCCACCGAAGATAAGATTTTTGGCCGAAGCAGAAGCCGGTTTCGACTTTTAGTATGATCTTCGACTGAAGCCGAAGGTTAAGTTAATAATAATGGACGTTTGTGCCTTCGGATCAATTTCTCATTAGTAGAAATTTCTGTTTTACGGTGAAAATTAAACTATGTAACGTTCAGATTAAAATATAAAGCTCTATGTATTTGATGCCAGAGGAAGATACAGGTGTTTTTGAGATGGATAGATAATATTGACGTTCAATCAACATTTTTTGTAGCATTTCTGAAGAATAAAATATACATTTTCGAATGCTTGATATGAACACAGAAGAAACTTTCTTTCTGGCCTTCTGATTTTAGATTGCGCTACGGCTCCAACCTCAAGATACCTATATTTGATCATTTTATTTTTCGACAGTGACATTAGTTACAGAATTAAAGTCGACTTCAATGCATAATTTTATGAAGTGTATTTTTGAGAAAATAAAAACCAGTAGGTGGGCATAAAGTTCTGAATTTGTAATATATATGTACATTGGTACTAACACTCTAAGCGGGTGTCTAATTGTTTCTAGCAAAGGGGTATGGGCTAAAAACTGCTGGTCGTATACGTATGTCAATACCCCGTGACGCCTTCTGATCTCGGAGTGACTCAGCCGTACTTCACAACTCTCAATACCTTTTGACTGCATTACAGTGTCACCAACTTTAAAGTACCCATTCTGCAATAACTGTCAAAACCTCAAGACCACAACATTCATTGCACTCTATGCACATTTACCAAGACGATTGAGGATCGTCACACTTCAAGTACGCTTAACTGTCAATGCAAAAACAATGGGAAGCACTTACTGAGCAATAGATTGTTGATACGTTTCGAGGTCCATATTTTCTAAATCTGGTGTTCTTCTCGTTTCAACATAAGGTTGGTTCTCGTCCGCCCATTTTCTTTCCAGATGGGTAACATCATCACCAATTTCCTAAAAGTGTAGATCAACTTAGACCTCACAATAAAAAGAAAGGTATAAGACTTAAAAGAACTAATCCAGTTATTCAATTTGAATTTATCACTACTAGTTCATAATATATTTATACAAAAGGACTAGACTACATACAAGTATTGACTGAATAATTATTGACCGGTCTAGCTAAGTACTACAAAAGATGATTTCATTTATATAAGGGTGCAGTTTTGGGTGAGTGAGTCGAGGGTGCACAAAAAATATACTACTCTTCAATCTTAAAATTCTAAGGGTCATTTAGCAAAACCAAAACATATTCAAAGTAGCCAAAATAAAACTCAGCAAACGGAGGTTTCTATGGGTCATCAAACATAACCAAACTATAGGCAAAAGTGGCCAAAATAAAATTCAGTCAAAAACAAGCATAAAACGGAACACTACTTATACATACCGAAGTATAATTTTTTTGATTATGCTTCCTCGAGTATATTATAGGTGATACGATTTGGTTATAAATTACAGCTGTATTAAAAGAATTTCTGCATGACAAGATTGTGTAATTTCAGACAATACAAAATGCTTCAGAACTATGTGCAATGAAGGCTTTCATCAAACGATGAAAACTATGTGGCAAAGACATATATTGCATAATCAAAACATTATACTTAGCGGGGCATAGATTTACTTACAAATATTCAAAAATCCCACTAGATAAAAACAGTCTACAAATCTTAGTACAGTTTATCAGTAATCACCGCCAAAATATGCCCATGATATACATAATAAGCTTATTAATTCACGAATATTCCTACATGCCTTTAAAACATAAATTTATAACAAAAAGTTGCAAAGCACCGTCATATTTGCTTATTGCTGAAGAAATAGCGACAATCGTGAAATATTTTACATTCTCGTGCTTCCACAGCTGCCAGTCTTACCACAAAAAACATCTTCCTATATCCAGTACTTCAACGTACTTTTATGTTGATTTTCGAATTTTCGTAAAGCTATATCTACACCCCATTTCCAAAAAGACCACAGAAAGATAATCAAAACTTAACAAACAAAAAATACCTGCAATGAAAATGGCCTCTGTGGTTTTGGTTCGACGGTAGAACTAACGTTACTGTTACCGTTAGAAGGTTGACCATTATTAGACTCGGCCTCTGCCGATTTTAGTAAATTACCTCTGCCCTGAAAGTTAGTGAAGTTTGTGTAAAACACCAACCGCCACCTATGTGGTGCTTGCCGGAAGAAAGTGTGAGATATGTTAGTTTTGTGTCAATAGTTGGTCATTTTACATGTGTGAAGAAAGAAATACAGGAAAGATGAAGATATAATATATATTTTCTCTAGTACATTCGCATTCGTTTGAACCAGATACCAAGTTTCACGCAACGTCGAACGACAGTGACATACAATGTTCGACATACTTTCCCTAAATGGTATCGGAAAGAGTCATCCGTATGTTAGATGTTAGAGAGTTTTGGCAATCACAAAAACAGCATATGTAAACGTTAATGTTAACTTCATTTGACATTTACCTCCTGTACATCACTGACTCAAATGTCAAAAAGTGAACGTTTACGTATGCGCTATTTGTGATAATAAAAACCCCTCCACTGTCGAGTGACACTGTCGTGTATAAATGGTACCTTAGGCTGCAGAACAAAATTGGTTCCAAACTATTCGGTTGTAATTGGACGTGAACTATGTTCGATAGCAGTAAGTCTACAATAATTATTGAGGAAGGCACATATTCTATACATTTATATTTCTAACCTCCAAGAATAGTGCCCTAATGCCTTTACACATGCTTATCTTACTATACGCTATTATAATAAATTAGATTCCATATACTGTTCTAAAGTCACACAAAAACTATTTGAAACGAAATTCTTTGGAATTTGTTCTTCTAGGGGCACGTAAGTTTAAATTTGAGAAGTTACGGCAACATGTTTCTAATATTTGACTAGAGTAACATCCTAACCAAGATATGAAATAGATATCACCAAATCATGCAAACTTTATTAAAAAATGTTACAAATGTATCTAAATCCTCAACAAAACACCTTAAAGAAACAGAACTAAGCATTCCTAATTCAGGTAACGTAAAAATGTGTATTGTGGTAGTCTTTTTATAACAACAACAAAAATTCATATTTTCTTGAATGGATTTTCATACTTGGAGTTGAGAATTCAGAACTACTCGCAAACTTATGACAGGCAAAGGTAAATCGTACCCAAAATACTATTAAAAAAAAAATAAAAATAACAAGACCACGTTAGCAACCCTTACCAATTCAGTTAGCTAAAAAAATATTTAACAATAATTATTATACAACAGGGGAATAGAATAAAATGCAAAAAATGAAACCATGACACAAACATGATACCAACAAAAGGATGCAGTCAGAGAAGCTCATGATGCACGATGTATACGGGTATATCAACAGGTTTTTGAAAAAAAGGACAGGATGAGTATAATGTGTGGCAAAAATATATAGGGAATTCTTCAACTCAAGTCTAAGCAACTATGCTGCAATCTTGTTACATAAGAACTTGCAACTCATACGGTCGCTGTCAACAGCAAAATTCTTTGAAACTTGAAACAATATATAGTGTTATTTTGTTAGGTAAACTGGAGGCATATGGTATATCAGGAAGTGTTTAAAAATTACTTGTCTAAAATTATGCAAGTTTAAAAAATGAATAACAATTTTTCATGAAAAATATAAAATACGTTAGTTGCCCACAGAGCTGTATCATGACAGCACTTCTTTTTATTTTAGACATAAACGATTTTCCCTCCATAGTCAAAAAATGCAAAATTCAAGTTTTCGCCGATGACACTTTGCTTTATATAAGTACTCAAAGTTTTCAGACTGGTATCTCTTATGTAAATGAAGACTTGTTTGAAAATGTTCAGCATCTAACAAACTCGGATTAAATACAAGTAAAACGAAAGCTATGTTGATTGGACAAATCTTCTATTAAAAATATTGATGAAGATATTGAATTCATAGAAAATTTTAAATGTCTTGAGGTTTTTGTTGGCTCTAAATTAGATTTTGATATTCATTATGACAAATTATTATGGGATATTTATCAAGAGTTTCTAGATGTCTGAGTTCATATAGTAGAAAAATTATCTATACTACTATTAAACTTCCAAATTTCTTGTACTGTTTGACTGTTCTAGATTAAGCTAATAGTTCCATTTTACAAATTTAGTAAAACAAGTGCACGAGAATAATTGTGAATCAAGATAAATATACTTCAATTAAACAAATGCGTAGCAAATTAAAATAGCTCATTGTGAGAAATTTTATCAAATACCTTGTAATGATATTCATTTATAAAATAAATGGCGTCAGTACCTCCATGAGCAACCGATTCTACCATCCGTTGCGCAACGAGTTATAATCAAGTTTTGGAAAAATGAAGGCGTTAAACCGTGCGAGATTTTGGCTCGATTGAAGGCTCAGTAAGGGGATGATACCCTGTCTAAAACGCATGTAATCGATTGGACCAAAAAGTTTAAGAGTGGACGAGAACGTGTAGAAAATGTAGGTCATAATCGACGTCCAAAATCAAGTGTCTCTGGTGACAACATTTGTGCTGTTCGTGACCTTATTGAAAGTGACAGGCGACTCACTACTCATGAAGTCACTTTAGAAGTGGGCATTAGCTTTGAAAGTGCACAAGCAATCATCAAAAAGCATCTTGGCTTCAACGAAATCTGTGCTCGATGAGTGCCGAAGTTGTTGAACGAAGATAAAAAACATCCGACTGCAAATCAGTAGGAGACATCTGAATCGAGTTCGGTGGGAGGAACATACTTATTTTAGTCAAATCGTTACGTGTGATGAAACATGGGTGCATCATTACACTCCAGAGTCCAAGATGGCGAGTGAAGAATGGCGAAGGAAAGACGAAACCGGTCCCGTGAAAGCCAAAACCCGTCTCTCAGCCGGAAAGGTCAACGCGACCGTCTTTGTCTACTGCAAGGGAGTGTTGCTAATTGATTTTCTCCACGACCGACGTACGGTTAATGCTGCCTACTACTGCCAGCTGTTGGAGACAGCGAAAACAGCGTACAGACACAAAAGACGCGGTGTCCCCATCAGAAATGTCATCCCCTTCATGACAATGCCATGCCAGATACAGCCGCAGAAACGAATAAAAAACTGGAATATAAATTGGGAAACTCTCGAGCATCCTCCATGCAGCCCAGATTTGTCAACCTGCGACTATTTTGTTTGCGCCCATGGAAGATGCACTTGGAGCATTGCGATTTGACAACGATCGAGATGTGAAGAACTTCGTGCGCAATTGGTTGGCCACTCAACCTCCAAGTTTCTACAAGCAAAGAATTTGTAAGCTTTCAAACTGCTGGGAAAAATTTGTAGAGCGTGGAGGAGATTACATAGAAAAATAAACAACAGAACTTTTGTATTGTTTTATGAATAAATAAATATTAAAAAAGAATTCCGGGTTAAATTTGATCCACCCTCGTATAATGAATTAAATACAGAGATAAAAGGTCAGAATACCATGACAAAATCAAGGCAAAATTGAGGAATTTAAATTATTCTGTTTATGTAGTCAAATGGTCAAAATGATTCTTTCTACTACTGTTACTACCCAAACGCCGAGAGGAAATTGAGTAGTTTATACTTTAGAATCAAGAGATATGGGATTATTATGATCGTGTTAATGTAATATTGCAGCTTAAAGCTAAACAAATACCTAAACATAATGAACCAGCAAAGGTGGAGTATATAAATCCAACTTAAACTCAGAAGAATTCCCTTTATATTATCGCTAATGAGTAAGTATGTACAACAGTAATGTTAAAACACAAAAACACTTACCTTAGCAACAGCTTGCAGAAAAGCTGCCTTTCCCACTTTCTGCCGCTGCTTGTTCATGGCTACTTCCATTCTTCTTTTCTCATTTTCTATATGCCGTCGTTTTTCTTCCAGTTTCATCCTGATATCGTTCAGTTGAACCGTCATCACATTTGAAGGCGATGTTTCCTCCAACTGAAATATTTCGAACGTCATGAGATTGAAAAACTAAGCATATCCTATAAGCTTCCTTGTTGGCTAACATAGCCACTACGAGGGATGTCTTTTAAGTTTTGCATATGGAAATAAAACAACACGGTAGGTAGTTTTAAATGGCTATTGTTTTTTGAAGTATTCTCCAAGAAGATTAATACACATCTGCATGCGCTCGAACCAATTTTCGAAGCACTTATTCCACTCGTTTGCTGGCAGATTCAAAACGGCATTTTTTAATGCGTCAACTGCTTCTTCTGGTGACTGGAACCTTTGACCACGCAGTCTGTTTTTAATTTTCGGGAAAGTAAAGAAATCGTTAGGACTTAGATCGGGAATATATGGAGGATGGTCCAATAATTCCTCGTTTTCTTCCGTTAAATACTGCCTTGTTTTTTAGGCTGTGTGCGAGCTTGCATTGTCTTGGTGGAGGATGATTCTTCTTTCGGGGTTGATTTTTGGAAGCTCGGTGATGACTTTTGGCAAACAAATGGTGCTATACCAATCCACAGTAACAGTTCTTTGCTCATTAAGACGAATTGTTGCACTATGACCCGCTTTTGACACAAATGTCGCGACCATCTTTTTCATAACAGTAAATTCACGATTCATCACCACTAACAATGCTGTACACATTTTTTGGAATTTCCGGAATTGAAACGGTCAAGCGTTTTTTGACACCAATTAACCCTGGCTGCTTTCTGCTCTTCAGTCAACAGTTGGGGTATCCAACGAGAAACTAATTTTCTTACTCCTAATTCTTCATGTAAATATTTTTGAATTGAGGTCTTTGAGATCTTTAAGGACGCCTGATGTGGCGCTTCGTTGCCGAAAACAGACAGTAACTCAGCAGCAAGGCATTCTTGTTGCGAATTATGGCGTAAAAATGTTCTCGGTTGAGCTCCATTTTTCTAATGACTTGGTGACACATAAAAATTCACTGTAGTGAGAACACTGCATGTATTGTTGTGAAACTTTGAATTTAAGTTTACTAAAGAGTGAGGTTAAGATTCAGTACTGACGTTCGATCCCCTCGTAAAGTAGCTTTAAAATTCATGATCAAAGTACAAAATATCAATCATAAAATTGTTACCTTGTTTTCTCCTAATTGTTGTTGTGTACTCTGCTGCTGCCACGTGGTAGTATTAGGAAGTGTTGCAAAGGTCGTTTTCTTTTCGTTGCCATTGGTGCTACCTACTTTGTTAAGAAAACTAGATTTCGAAGGGTACTCCTCTTTGTCGTTCATGTAAACTAGTTGTATTCCTCTATTTTCATTTAAAACCTATAATAAAAATTAATACATGAAAGATTTTTTTGTTCATCAGACGAGTGGTATAAATTACAGAAATACATTAATTTTTTTATTTTGTGGTGCATATTAAAAAGATGGATAGCGGAAGGGACGTCTTTATCTAAAATTACATAATGAGAGAAGCCTTACGCCATGAAAAAAAAGGATCAACGAGGTCAACAAAGTTTATCGTGAGAAACCCGCAGTCGCTCATTTTACACATTTGCCGGAGTGCAACTATGGTGAGCCTTGGAGCAGTGATTTGAAAGTTTCAGTGTTTGCAGTGTCAGTGAAAAGACAAGATTTGGAGCAACCAGACCTGTTAACACCCAAAAATCTGAAGGCACTAAGGGCATTTCAAGAAGATTCCAGTGGACGCTGAATACAGTGTAGAATTAGAAGCAAACACTGATATAGATATAACACGGATCACGGTAGATCTAGACTGTCCATCACTAGAACTTATATCTAGTCAAGGTAAAGATCTAGTTACATAAATATGTGGAACGCCCAGTAAGTTAAGAGGCGCCATGCCCAGTTGTATGACTCCCGAATTCGAATAGATTAGGAGCTAAGCTTATAAGTTTACATTGCATTGTTTGCCGCTAAAATTGAGTTGAGTTAGCAGGGTGGAAATACTATCTGTGATGCGATGTGTTAATGTTAATAAACAGAGATAAATCAAACAAGGCAAGAAAAATAAGAAAGTAAATATTTATCAACGGTATAGCTCATGAACAAAATCTGAAAAATTGTCTACACCAAGCTGCAGCAATGGCAGAATACCTGATATTGGAAATAGTGGAACATTATGCTTGAATTCTACTCGGTTTTTCTAACAAGTTGGGATCCTAGCAGATTCTTGGCTAAAAGCAAATACCTAGTTGAGCATAATATGGACATTACTGCTATCATATGATTACTATATTTATATATAGATATGGAAGTAATTTAATATTCATAGTCTTTTTGTGTGTACTGAGCTTTCTCACTAGAATCTTGTGGCAATGAAATGAAAACGTCAAATCATTATTTATAACATGAAAGTAAAGACACGATTAGGATGGGAGGCCGAAGTCAGGTGGGTCTGTTTTGCAGGAGCATTGCGCAACGGCATCATGAAGAAGAGCTCTGAGGAGAAAAGCCCATTGTTGCAGCGGTGCTATATCGCCGACGGCCCACCGGTGTAAAAGGGTTCCGAGACAGTTTGTTAGAGAAGAGTCATCGATCAGTAGGACATCCCTCCTATAAACAGCATTGAGCATGGATAATGTAGCCCAGGCGGCCGCACCCCAAACATGCGAGCAATAACCGAGGCGGCTAGGTCTGATCTGGACCAAGTATAGAGTGAGGAGGTCATATAAATAAAAGTGTTTCTAAGCCTCAAACAAACAGTCTAGCTTTTTCCTATCAGCTGCCGCTATTGACGAGATGTGTTCGTGCCGGATCGAGTCCTGAGTGATCTGGACTCCGACCAGCCGAAATGAACGGCTCTTTGGAAGAACTCAGCCATCCATCGAAACCGGATGAGTACTGGGATTCGTTCGTCAAGGTACAGTACTGTGTTTTGGAAGCAATAAACTAAAGAGGATTGTTGCGTCCCCAAGCAGTGATGACCTCCAACTCTCTCGTCAGAGAGGAAGTCGCTGTTAGTCTTCTTTTTTGCAGCACACCTGTGGATTGGATTGTTCGTACAGGAAAGGAGGTCGTTGATATGTAAGACGAATAGTGTCGGAACTAGATCCGATCCGCCACAGCTGGTCGAACGCTTTCGTGATACCAAGGACAACGACATGATCCTCACCATAAGGCTGAATGAGTTTACTCCACAATTTCGTGGCGTAAGCTAGGAGGTCCCCTGTATATCGCTGGTGGTCCTGACAGAGACTATAAGACTTTGGAGACACATTTGTTGCCTGAGATGGACTGGAGGTTTCGTTATACACCTATACGTTATTACTGGGGTATTGGTCACTAAATGTTATATTATCCCTGTACGAACCTTCTGCTTCCCCAAATCCGCAAAACTCATCCTCTTGCTCATCTCCCCGTCCACTAGGTCCCTGATAACATTCTCCTTCCCTACTGCGACTTCCTGTCCTACGAGGCTATTCTGTCCCCTTCTGATCGCAGCAATGTCATCGCTGCTCAGCTGTCTCTTCAATCTGGCCATCGCTTTCTCGTTACCGTTGTCCTGTTTTTCGTCGCACTCGCCCGTGGTGAAGTCATCATAGCCTAGTTGGAAGGAGCCCCGTGCGTCTTGGAGGGACGAACGTAAAGGGAGGTTTTCTACGGGAAAAGATGGCGCGGAGATTTTGCGGGTGATGGGCACGGTCACCTCCTGTAGATCAAACTAGTTAGTCAGATGTTGCTACATCATTTGGAAAGAAATGCATTAGTCAAACGTAAAACTCGTACTAAGTATCAACAATTAAATATACGAGCCCCTTCCCACTTCAGTTGGCCCAACTATTGAAATCTTAGTTTTTTTCTTATCAAACACAAGTAATAAAAATGTGGCAGGGTGTTATAGGTTTAAAATATTAACAATGAATATTTTAATAATATATAGTAGAAAACACCAACTTTATCACTGCCTAATCAAATTTGCAGCATAAAAATAACACATGTTGCAATTACAGCATATCAACCTATTTTCATTTCAATGCAAAATAAGTCTATAACGCATAGGTGGCTGTGAAAAATAAAAGCCATGACAATTGTTTTTATTAATCACAGCTGTCAGAATACGTTTAAAATAGTTTTGGGTAGTTAACGTTTTCAAAATGGGTAGAGGAAAAGTTATTCGTGAGAAAATTCGGTTACTGATAATTAAATTTTTTAATTCTGGGAAATAAAACTCAGAAATTGCAACTTTGTTAGACTTATCGCGGTACAGTGTGAGAAATATTGTTAGAAGATATAACGTAACTGGTCCAGTTAATATTAAGCCACGATGAGTGAAAAAAAGTAATATCACAAATGCCGACCGAAGAGCATTAAGGAGAATAATCGTGAAAAACAGGCGTGCCAATTATTTACAATTAAGTGCTCTGTGGAGTGACGCTGTTGGAAGGAGAATTTCGAGGTCCACAACTCATAGAGAGGCCCACAAACTTGGATTTAGCACTTGCAAGGTAGGTTTTCTTATAAAAAAAGTGAAGATAGAACCCTAAAGTTGCACAACTTGTTTATAGGCCAAAGAAAAGCCACTATTAACTCCACTGCAAAATAAAAATCGGCTTAGATGGGCTAAAGAACATAGACAATGGACACCTCAACAATGGTGTGCAATACAATGGAGTGATGAGGCCCGATTCGAAGTTTGTGTTGGTGACAGTCGCAGTAGAGTAATTCGCAAAAAGAAATGAAGTATTCCATGTTGACTGTCTGAAGAGAAAAGTGAAATTTCCAGCATCCATTATGGTCTGGGGCAGTATGTCATCAAAAGGAGTAGGAAAACTTCATTTTATTGATGGAAATGTGGATACAAACAAATATTTGGCAATTGTAGAAGAATCGATTTTACCAGTGATGGAAGAATGTTTGACATCCGGCCAAGATTTTGTGTTTCAGCAAGATGGTGCAGCGTGCCATACCTCAAAAAAGGCTATAAAATGGATGGAAGAAAATAATGTACCACTTTTGAACTGGGTTTCTAGCAGTCCAGATCTGTCACCTACTGAAACTTTGTGGCACGAGATGAAAAAGGTTCTACGACAACATCCTGCTCGTACAATCACCGAACTGAGACAAAAGCTTCAAGAAATATGGGATTGTTTTACACTAAATTTTTGCCAAAACTTGGTTAACACTATGCCCCAAAGAATTTCAGCCATAATAATAAAAAATAAAGGTCATGTTACCCAATGGTAATCTTTCAATTGATGCTTTGTTAACTTCGCGCATTTATTCGCACATTGTTTATTTGTTCAGATGTTCTATTAGTTATAGGTCTAAGTGATTTCAAATATGCATTTTTTACGTCTAGAGTGTATCTAAAATGTTTCTGAGAAAATTAATTGTTTTAGAAGTAAATAGTTTCGTCAAGTTTAGTTTATAAAGGCATATTTTGGTACAAATCTTGAAGTGGGCCAACTGAAGTGGGAAGGGGCTCGTATATAGCCTTGGGTAGTATTTAAATACTCAGTATTTTGAATAATGTTCAGATTATATTTCACTGATATTCGAATACTGTTCAAATACATTTGGGTGTTTGGTATTTGGTATTCGAGTGACTACTTTTTTGGTCTTTATTCGGAATTCTGAACCCCAATATTCGAATACCTATTACGTATTCAAAGCTCGGTATTCTATTCCTGTATTGAAATCTTGTTTTTGAATACTGTGTTTAGTTTATATAGCGCAGCACAGCATTGTCTATTTTCCAAAGAACTAGCAAAAAAATCCCTCCAGAATTGCTGCTTCTCAAAAAATGCCCCAAATGACAGTTGATTAATGGAAAGGAGTAGGTTTGGTTCAAAGAGAGGGGGGATCCTTTCTATCCGCGAAACGTGTGATATCCCCCAGAAGATTATAACCCCAAAAAATTCCCGCCAAGTAACAATCCTCCAAATTTGGGGGAAAATCGCCCAGCATGGCAACCCTGTCAAAGCATCAATGTTACTCCAGACGTCAAGTTTCGGTGTTGTTTTTTACAGCACGAACATAATTGCCTAGTTTCTCCTGGTATATAAGCGCCAGGCTACGAGCAAACGAAAAAAAAAAAGATAAAATCCGCTCAATTGAAGTTTTCTGACGTTCATGGACTCATGTCTTCCGAAAAAAAATGTATTGCTTAAAAATTGGGTTGTGGAAGGTGTGTGGGGAGGTATATCTCAATTTATTGTCGTTAGTATATTTATACGTTTCCAACTCCAGTAATTCTGCGCACCTTACAGATTCGATATTTCGAATATCAAAGGTTACCTGATACATTTTCCCCCAGGGCTTACAATGATAGAGAATTGTGTTTAAAATAGGTAAAGCAACGAACGTACCTATGTAAGCAATATTTGCATTTAACAACCTCAAAATGTCATACAACTATTGTTTGTATGAAAAAGTGACCTACCTTTTTCTCATTACTATCTGCAGTATAGTCATCATCATAGCCTAGTGTGAAAGACCCTCTGGCATCTTGAAGTGTGGAACGAAGTGGAGAATTTTTTTCAACAGGGTATGTAGGAACAGAGGTTTTCCTGCCGATGTGAACTGCCACTTCCTGGAAAGAGACATTTTATATGTTGGATTGGCACAGTGTAACTTTAAGTAAGGATAGCGGCAACACTGCCAACCCGCTACGTGCCCATGCGACTATTGACTACTCTCCCACCAACAGCAACTGTATGCGCTTCTTCCTGTTGGGAAAGGATAGTCTAGTCTTTTATGGTCTAGTCTAGTGTCTAAATTCTGTACCAGTCCGGAGTCCGCAACAAAATTTGGCTGAGAAGTGAACAAGCGGAGTTTTGTTGATCTGGTTGGTATTAGCGCTATTTTCTATTTTCTATTGATATTTTATTTCCACGCATAAGCCAGAAAATTATTTTTTGTTTGTTTTAAATTATATTAATATAAAAGAATCGTGTCTAAAAAAAATGACAGACGGAAAATGGAAATTTAATATAATTTCAATTATGAAGTGTTTGGTCCATACTCCAGCTATCATTATCATGTATGTCTATTTTGTCTCGGAAGTCCCTGTATATAAGCACTTCAGTGCATTTAGTTCGTCCGAGATGGCAAATTATATATTTAGTGTTTTAAAATTGCGTGAACTTAAGAAATCTTGTTTTCCAAACAGAAAAGGTTCTTTGTTATGAGATACGTGAATGCGTGGAAACTAATAATGCCGTTTAATTGACAATATCTGTGTAACTTTTAGTGCTGGTTGATGGCTGATATAGTCAGGATGAGTAAAAGGAAACAGAATACCATCGATTGGTTCCTTTCTAAACAAAACAAACTGTCTGATCCACCGGCACAAGAATTACCGGAAAAAACTGATGCTAATCCTACAATTCAACCTGAGCCTTCCACTTCAAAATTTCTTGATGTTGCACCTTATGCTGAACCAAGTGTTGAACAATCGGGTGCGAAACCTAAAGAAACCAATTTGGTCGATGTTGCGCCATATGTAAATTCCAGCGGCAACTTGTCTTCCCATGAAAAATATACCTTATTGAGGTGTGCAATGATCCCTGACTCTTTCAAATATCCCTATCCCACACACTTGAAAAATCATAAAGAAGTGAAATGTTACTTATCAAAAAAACACTTCGAGAAATTTCCTTGGCTGTAATATTCAGAGGAAAGAAAGTTTCGAAATTGTATGGCAAAACCGGTGATTGTGAGACGCATGAGAACTCAATATATCATACAGAAGCAGTTTCAGATACTACAAACTTTTTTAAGATTTACGAAAATCCAGAGAATGATATGAGAAATATAATAGGTTCAGAGCGAATTTAGCACGTATCAGAAAACCGGCCAAGATTGACTCCTATAATAGAATCTATCACTTTTTTTAGGACGCCTAAATATACCACTTAGAGGGCATAGAGATAGGGGACAACCTTTTTCTAATGACAGCACGAATGACGAGGATGTCCTTAATAATGAAGGAAATTTTAGAGAACTAATACGGTTTAGAGTCGAGAGCGGAGACAATTTATTGAAAAAAAAACTTAGAGAACTCAAAAGCGCATGCTACGTACATAAGCAGCCGCATCCAAAATGAAATTACAGAATGTTGTGGAAAAGAAATCTTGGATATAGTTTTAAGTCGCGTCAGGCAAAGTATTACAGTATTATATTTGACGAAACTACAGACATTAGCCATGAATCACAAATGTCAATCATTGCAGTATTGTTATCAAAAACATATTTACAAGGACTTCATGGAATTTGTGGATTGCTACTCAAATTTTGATGAAGTGACAATGGAGCCCAATTTCACAGGTCAAATTCTTGCTCAAACAGTCAAGCATTTCATTAAAACCAATAACTTAGACTCAAAACTATGTGTGGGCATTGGTACTGATACGTGTAACCTAATGTTAGGTGAAAAAAAGGGCGCTGTAATGGAATGACAAAAATGTTTGCCCAATGCTCTAAAAAGTTCATGCGCAAATCATGCCTTGAAAATTTCGATTTCAAAAAGCAGCAGTGTCCAAGCAGTAAGAAATACTGTAGGTATAATGAAGGAATTAGTTGCCTTCTTCAAAGCATCCGCTAAAAGAAATACAGTATTAAAAAGAAAACTAGAGGGATATCAAATTCATAGAATGTGCCAAACACGATGGATCGAGAGAAATGATTCAGATCTCCAATTTGAAAGCAAATTCGAGAAAATTGTAGAGGTACTAAATATTATATCAAATTGGAAAGACCGCGAAGCTTCTTAAAAGCTGAGTCTTTGAAGACTGACGTTACTGCCACCCAATTTATCGTATCACTAAAGTGTTTGTGTGATATATTAGCTTTAACAGTCAACCTGACTAAGATTTTACAATCAAAAACTATTGACAAACAATACGCTGTCAAACTCATAGGAAATATTATTTCAGTTGTACAAGACCCGCAAATTCCGATAAACACTTTAGAATACTATTCGCATCTATAATGAAATCACATGAAACCTTGGGTATTGAACTGACTGTGCCAAGAATGACAAGCATGCAAATGAACAGACCGAACATAGTTGTTACGTCTGACAACGAAGATCATTACAGACTGAACCTATATGTCCCTTTGCTAGATAATATATTACAGGATTTGGTATACCGGTTCAATGAAGAATCGTTGGATATATACAATTTTAATATTTTCTTTGCGTCAGTATTTAATTCAAAAACTGAATCTGAAGTAATGGACATATTAGAAACAATCTCTAAATATGTGCATGGACTAAATAGTAACGAAAACAAAAATTTAATAAGCACCAAATTAAAAGCAGAATTTGACCTTAGGAAGTCACGTACACAAGATATTATAGGTAGTGGAATGTAACTGTATTTATCATGTGATGAAAACATTTTTCCTTCAATTAATAGATGCCTACAATAAATTATTGATTTCATTGCCGGTAAGTGTTACTGAAACAAGTTTCTCCCATCTAAAGAGGATAAAAACTTAGCTTGTGTTACAAGAGCGATTAGTGGGTTTAGCTCTTTTGTATGTGCATAGGGGTATTAAAATAGACGTGAATACAATCATAGATCGGTTCGCCAGCAAAAAGAATAGGCGCCTTGATTTTGTAATATGATAACACCTGAACTTTGCCTAAGGTTGTCTCTCAAATCCATCTCGCTTATGTTGGCCAATAAAGAAGCAGATGTAGTTAAGGGTTTACTTACATTTAAACCACTACGGTGATCTTTTCCAAAGTATCCAATCAAGATATGTGGTTTTATTTATTGGCCAGCAGATTGATATAAAAGTCTGTTCAAATTCTGTTCAAATCACTTTCTAAGCTAATGTAATGATTGTTTTATTTTGAGTCTGTGACCTGATGTATTTTCATAGTTTATATGTTTTTGTTTTTTGAGACTGGCTAAGAGAATGTAGTTATGCAATGAGTATTTTTTGTGATTAAGAATTTTATTTGGATTTACATTCAGATTTATACTTTATAGAAGTCGTAACATATTTGTTATTATTTTTTTCATGAAGATGTATTTTTTGATGTTTTGTTTGACATTGTTATGGAGAAAAGTCTGTGACAGATTATATTATTTTGCATTTTTGTTTTAATATATAAAGATTGCTCGAGCTGGGTTTGTTTTATTTACACTTTGATTGCATATGATTCAAAATTAAAAAAAATTGTATTTTCTACAGTAATTACTGTATCAAATTCATATGTCTGCTTATGTCCATGCTTTCAATGTTAAATCATTATAACACTTCAGTACGTCACACTGAGAATTTACTTTCCATTTTACCCCTCCCAGACTGAAATCCTGGGAGCGCTACTGGATTGACAATATGATATTCATCTACAATACGTTTTATAAGCTAATGATCACATTTATATTGTCAACAATATGTCATTATGACGTTGTAGCGTAAGTCGGTGTTTGAGATCGTATGTCATCACAAATATACGTATGATATACGATTCACGATTTTTATCTCTGTTTTGTGATCTGTGATGGAAAGAAATAATAGAATTATTGTTCGCTTTTGCACGAATATGAATCGTGAACAAACCCACGCCAAATGCACGCCAAACCCACGCCAAACCCGCGCCAAACCCACGCCAAACCCACGCCTTTGATAAACATTAGCATTTTATTATAATGTTAAAATTACCTTATCTGGATTCCTTCCGATGAAATTCAGATTATCTTGGCTACCTCCAAAGTTCTCAATGGTGAGTTGCGAATCTTCCGACATCGAATTCCGCCTACTACGTCTTCCAGCATAAGTGCTTTTCCTATTTTCTTCCCAATTGCTTGGTCGTCCTGCAGCTATTTCTCCTCGTTCATCTGCTTTGCTGTCGTTGTTGTGCTTCTCTTTACTTACCTATTAAAAATAAAGGATTGTAGGTGATCACATAGAATTCCACTATTAAAAAAAAAGATGGAAAAAAAACAGAGGAAAACATATGTTTCCACCTATATTTTAATCTCTCTTCAAATATGCTTTTATAAACGATTTTCTCTAAGGCATGAAATATTGTATTCAAAACCGTTTTCAATTTTCAATGATATTCATTTATAAAGTAAAAAATAATATATTTCCATCAAGTCTAACTAATTTAACATCATCAAATGTCGACTATCATTTACATAATACCAGAAATAAAGATGACTTCCATTTAATGACCAAAAAGTATAACATATGCTACAAATCTGTATTCCATCGAGGGTTGATTGAATATAATAAATTATACTCGGAGATAAAAGACCAGAAAACTTTGACAAAATTTAAAGTAAAATTGAGAAATCACTTGTTAAATCTACAATTATAGGTTGCCCAGCATTTACATCATACACCATATGGCTTGAATTTACTAGTTCTAAGTTGTTTACAATTATTCTGTTTATGTAGCCAAATGTGCTAAATAAATCTTTCTACTACTTCTACTACTACTAATTATTTATTAAAAAAACTTATTTCGAAGTGATAATGTAGTAACAAAAATAACCTTTTAGTATTCTCAGTTTTCATGACATTTTAAAGAACTTCTTTTGAAACCAGGAACCATACCATCATTAATAAGCCCGTAAAATCTCTTGCACCGAATCTTCACAAATTAGTTCAATGGAATGTAAATGTTTTCCGTTATTATTCATTTCATGGTTTACCTTCAACCTAGCAGGAATGAGAGGTTCATCATTTACGACCGATTTGAGCGTCGGGATATTCTTGCCCCGATGTACGACGAATGACTCTTCAGAACCTCTTCGCAGACTGTCTTCTGTCATATCAGACATGCTTTGCTGCAGAGAGTTCGTTTTTCGCAATGGCAGATGTGAAAGTGTAGATCTCGAAACTAGAGGAAAGGAAATTGTTTCTATAAGGATCACTTTTCATTATTGAGCCGGATAATTTAGATTCAATGCGATTCAATCCAGATATGGGAATGTACATTGGGTTTATTCGGAATTCTTTACATTATTTTAAATACGTAATAATGAGTTTCTGTATGTATAGTTATAGAACGTTGTCTCCCTGACATCTTGCAGATGATCTGCTTGCAAAATTCTTTACAATCTGTGATTTTAAATTATATAGCACACTTATTTTCCTATGCGTGAGAAAAGACTACTGAAGCTTGACTTGAATTTTAAAAAAATATATATTTTTTTAAACGGCAGTATTCTCTGAATTGAATCGGACCGAATGCGTAAACTTATAAAAACGTTGTTCAAGGTGCTGGTGAACACTACGTTAAGAATTTTTGATACAAGAAACAGAATCTTCCAAAATAATGGTGAACAGTGGCACACAAACGGGCATGGAAGAACATTAGCTCACAGGCCCTACTAATGTAAACATTATTCAGGTATGTTATATTTTCATGAGCATCGCTCTAAATTCGATCGAATCGTAGAAACGTTCACGAATTAAAAAAAACTGAAATGATGCAATTAACTGAAAGATTAAATTCAAACGCGTCTTGTCATTAGTTAAATCACCAAAAGTCCGCATAACATTTCGAAATATAAAAAAAATATAAAGCAAACAGCGTAGAAAAGTAATATCAGCACCTTAAACATAGATCAGACTAGTTGCTTATTCAAGAAGGGCAATGCAGCTAAGATGTAGTATCATTCAGGATCTCAGTAAAACGTTAAGCAACTTATCAGCTGACAAATCCTAATTTATTAGTATTGCCGGTAGCATAACTTCACTAAACCTTAATTATTCTAAATATCAAAATCAAATAAACAACAATGAAATTTCATCAAATTCAAATATGATGTAATTAACAGTATCATGAACAAATGAGTATGCCTAAAATATCAAAGATGGTGGACAAAAATAATTCAAATGATGTAGAACTAGTCATCGCTTGTATGACAGGTTTGTGTTTGGAATGTAGACAAATATGTTTTTTTATAACGAAGGATTGGATATCCTGATTTATGCGTGAATTGAACAAAATATCTTTTTCTTAATATTCAACGGTGTATTAGAGTGATACACACTTGTGCGAGGAAGCTCATATGAAATTTTATGAACACAAGGCATATTGCTTGAGCAAACATGGAGGGGTCCAGGTACCCCAAATTCACATCAAGCTATGCAGAAACCTATACATGTAGTATATGTGGAGAATGATACAAACTTTACACAAACAGCTATAGTCAAGGTACAAAAAATATTTATTAAATAAGTAGTTCCAATAAACAAGGTAAATGACGCATTTATAAAAATCAGTGGCAACCGTATAGTTATTGGAAAATAATATACATTGGAGTCATTAGGACAGTGTTATGTGTGGAGTGATTAGAGCTGTGATGGTTATTACAGTTATGTATGATAGTATGATTACGTATACGTGTAGCATAAATAGAATACATGCATGCTGCAACTAAAACTAACAAGCTATTAGAAGAAGTAGTGGTAATTTCAAGAGTTAACTACAAGCAAATATAGTTATCCTGGAAGAACATTACAACTACCTAGAAATTTATATGTAAAAATAATGGTGATGAAAAAAAAAAGATGACCTTTGTACTGCCAAGGGACATATAAGCACAAACAATATGAAGAAAAATAAACTGTCAAATCAAAAGTGAATATATGCTAATGATGGAAAATTATTAGAATATTTGATACATGTATGAGCTTATTATATTCCTTGTCAAAATAATGTATTGCATCCTTATTAATCTATTTCTATATTTTCAATATTCACACAACTCACACAACACGTCGGCATCAGTGACTACCCAAAATCAAAACTGTCTAGATATCAGCATTGGTAATTAATTTCTTGGGAAAAAAGTGGATAAATGTTAGCGAATGACAGTCGAAACATGTTTTGAATGATATACTAGATAAATCTATCGACACTGTTAACTGTCAACCCGTGTCAGTCGGCAGCCAACAACCAAATGATTCTGTTCAAAAAACGTTTTCCAATAAGGATATGTCAACTTTAAAATAGAATAAAACAAGCTTTGTGTAGGGTATTAACGAAATTATTTTTTATTTGAAATGCCCGTATATTAGGATGAGAGACACAATCCTGGCGGGCCCGTTTAACTGGGTCAACACGCGACGGCATCAGGAAGGAGAGCTCTGAAAATTCCGTTAGCATAGCGGTAGAAGAGAGCCAGAGGCCCGGCCGCCCGTCTGTGAGAAAGAGGCTCGAGACCGTCCGTTAGATAAGTTTCATCGATTACTTGGACAGTCCTTCTCTGAAGAACATCCAGTATAGACAGTGTAGTCGGAAGTGCAGTACTCCAAACATTTGAGCATTACTTATCTGGGCCTTGTAGAGAGCGGGAAAATTATGTGTAGTAAATTCTCGTACTTCTTATCCCTAAACAAATAACCCTCATTTTCAGTGGCTCGGATGTAGATTCCAGTTCTGCGCGATGCGGGTTCAATTCTCATGATATTTACGTCAACTCTGCGAAAACTACCCTAAAGTTGTTCATGCAAAGTGAAACATCATATCGCCTACCAACGCTGTTTTCCGAAAAGCAGTAACCAAGGACAGCATCGGTCCAAAATTCACACCAAAATTTTTTCTATATACACAGACACCCATGGTCGCAGGCCACAAAAAACAGCAATACACTAAAGTAAAAACAGGTCATCGTTCAAATCCAAGCGGATATGTGCAGAACGTTATTATTAATCCCCCAAAGAAAAAACGAGGAGTATTATACTTTTGTGTATCTGTGGCATCGTAGCTCCTCGATGATGAAACCGATTTGAGTGTTTTTTTTTCAATCGAAAGTCTTGCCTGTTGAGAAAGTCATGTTGAGTAAAAAACGATTCGGCTGTTTGGAAGGTATGGGAACTGAACGTGAGAGTGGACAGTAACCCAAAGTAAGCAGTCATGATTGAATTGGGTTTGATTTGGAGATTACTAAATCGGCCTTTTAATGAAGATCGGTCAAGCAGCTCAAACGTTAGACCTATTGTAATAAGAAGTATCAACATTTACTTGGAAGTCGGGGGTTTTGCAATCTGTCTAACAAATAACTTGTATTCCATTTTAACACAGACTTTCCTTATTGCAGAAGCTTTTATGTCAAGGGCGTACCCAGCTCAAAACGGAAGGGGGGGGCGCACACATTCATAAAAATTGTTGATGGAAGTTCCACAAATCATATCTACATAACTATGCTTGATATTTTTTCATTTATATAGTCTTCCACGACGATTTGACAATTCATATGGATACTGAAAACTACTAATATGACTTTTTTATATATTTTTGCCGTACATAACCCTTAAAATTCAAACAGGGTGCTCTTTTTTCAGTCAAGCCAATAGACCAGCGAAGTTCTGTAATCGCGAAAAAACTTCAAATGTGAGAATAATTTACAGATATCATAGTAGGTACATTTTTTTGTGGCGTTCGTCCAGTAATCCGTAGCCCTCTATTACAAACAGAAAAATATTTAGGCACTGGATTTTGAAGAAAGGCCTGTCTAATAGTATTATGACCAAAAAATCTATAACTTTTTCTTCTGATTTTTTTTCCGTTTTGATGATTTTGAACGCAATCAAAAATTACCTTAGAGACAAAATTCGAAAAGAAGTCAAACTTTGTTGATGTAATTTAAGACGTTGCCCAACCCTGGTTACGCCCTTGCTTTATGTTGTCCTCAGCCTCTTTGAAATTTTCACGGCTGCCTAGTTGGCGTGGTCATTCTGGGATACCTTCATCTATAGTGTTTTAGCGAATTGTCAGATTCCAAACTAGATCTAGACAGTCCCGACTAGGTGCACATGAGATTAAGTGTTACCTTGAAAGGCGGTAGGATCGTCAGGATCATCGATGCCTTGTCGCAGGTCCGGAATGGGCACCATGACGGTCTGCAGGAGGTTACGCTTGTGCGTCACACCGTGCAGGTTGCATTGCGTCAACGTCGAAGTACCCTCTGCGCCACCCAGATCGCACACACCAACACACAGAAGCGAGCTCGCTCAGTTTTTATACGTTACTTTTTTTATTTTTGTTAGCGGGTTTGATATGGTGTTTTTGCGGTTCATTTTTGATTTTATTCGATTAGACTATATATACAGATATATAAGATACTTTGACTATACATACTTGACAAGCATATCTGCGTTAAGGATCTGTATGGTCATAACAGAAAAAAGTGTAGGATAAAGGTGGTTCCTGCCATATGTGAATGCGAAAGCTATATAGAAAAATTTATAAGATATTTTCAAAGTAAAAGTAATTATTTTTTGAAGTTGTCTTGGGAATCGGTAAATTGTGAGGAAAATTCCCAAGTAAAATGGCTACTGGTTGCGTTCCACTGAAATTGCTTACACTGGTAATTCACTATTTTGTAGTTGTCAATGGGGTCCTACCTAGTTAGAATTGCAATGATGGAGTTTATCCTCGTTTTTTTTTCGCTCGTATGTTGTAAAAACGACTTAGTCATTATTACATTAGAAGAAAACTCTCGGGCCTAAAAGCTAATTAGCTTACAAGTTTTATGAATAACTTCTACTTTAATAAAGTTAAAAAAGAAATCACCCGATAAGGGTGTGTTTTTTAGCTTTATGAAAACAGATGTGATTTATAAAACCTGCAAGTTGTCCTTTAGCTGTAGAGATTTCATGACCCTACGTAGGATATCACACGATTTGGTTCAGTATCAAAAGATAATCGTCAGTGTTTAATACAAATTTTTCCTAACCTCAAAACCCTGAGAACCCCGCCTCAAGTCCACCGTATTTCGCACCAAAGTAAATACCCAGTGGGATTTAATTTTTATTCCGGATTCCGGGAAAACGCGACCACATACTTCAAACAATAAGCTTATTTTGTCACCTCTGACAAAACCTCAATCTCCGTGGCAAAAGTAGAGTCACATTCTAACGATGTGATGTAGAAAAACTCATTACATCACGCCACAGTTCTGGCGAGAAATAACTTTGAATCTTGAAAGGCAAGTTTAGCTCGTTTTCGTTTATATGAAAATGTGATTCGGGATAAAATGTTGATTTTTGTGACGATTCGCTGAGACTTTTTTATTTTTAAATAGGTATATACTTCATCTGAACGATTCAAATTGAGGTATAATGATAATTATGGGACATATAGTAATAACCAACAACTGATTTACTAACATGACTGTAAGCAGTGAAATGCATTTTCGCTCAGTAAAATACTATTTACTGAACATCTATTTGAAAATCTCAGAGATACTAACATATTACACTCAAAAAGTAGGTTATGTTTGTATTAGCTCCATGTTGCATGCAAATATAAAACAATGGAGTCAACGTCTCATATTATATGCTACCAAACTAAAGTGCCACCTAAACTATTTACCATTTACCCCAGAACTGTATATACGTCTAAATTCAAGTCCGAACCTTAAAAACATCATTCCAAACCTAACCTAAAATTATTCCTTACCAATATAATACCACCACCACATTGTCTAGCCGTCACCAAATTAAAAGCAAAAGAAACTAGTAAATAAGCCGACAAAAAACCGAAAATATTAACAACTAAAAGAACAGAAAGAAGAAAAACAAAGTACAGAGCATCAGTAGTGTTGGAAGAGGGGCATATTAGGAACGTAATACTACGAAAAAATCTATAAAGCAGCACCAGCGTTTGAAATGGGGCAATAATACACAAGGTGTTATGCAAATGAGAAATCCAATAGTGACCACATAGCAAAAAGGTCAGCTGGGGTCACACCGGATCGATATTCTTCATATTGCCGCGGTGTGGAGTTATCTTAGATCATAGGAGATTATCCTATAAGGTGTTTTGTCTTAGACACTTATTTTTTCTGGCAAAACTCCCACAATGAATAATAAATGTGAACATTTATAGGATCAATGACGATGAATTTTAAAAACCTGGCAATCATAAGTTAACTATCTGTTAAAAACAACGCTGAATCCATAGTCGTTTCTTCACTTGAGGCTTCCTTATTGTCAGAACGCCTTGCTTGCATTGACAGTCTTGGCACATAGACGTGACAAATGTTGGAAAATACCTCACTCGATTTGGAGCCGATATCACCACTTTCCGAAGGAACGCACGAACCTACCCATTTTGGCTTGCTCACGAGTCAATTCCAAGTAATAAGGTGTTCTCGAAATAAGGATACCTTAATCAATGACTCAAATCTTTAATGTAACATCCGAAACTTATCCTGTGCTCTTCATACTATAAAACTATGTTTTCCTGGTTGCTAAATGGAACCACATATGTAGGAATGACTCTACTGACATTTTGGCTACCTCGGTGACCTTTTCCAAAGAACTGAAAGCGAAAGGTCACACTCCTACATATGTGGTTTTATTTCATTGCCAGAAAGATATGACAGTTATACGGATATCGTTTATCAAGTCAGCAAGTACTATCTAGCTTGTAATAATTAGAAGTACAACGTACTAGCCAGGAAGCCTTACTTAAGTTAAAGATCGCTATCGAAATTCATAACTAATCAGTATAACTAGAGCCCAATCCGATAATAGCTTACTGGAAAAAATGTTCACCTGGCCCACAGTTCAGTAAAAATTTGCTTACTCTAATTCATGATTTACAGATGCCCAGGCTTAAATATAACTGAGCAAAATTAAGTATTGAAAAATTACATCACAGCAATCGTCACATGAAATTCAACTTTCAAAGATCGACAGATATGTCATCTAGTATTCTAGTACATCACGAAATCAGGATTTCCCTCTGAAGTATAATAATGCGCGAGCCCCGCTGTTACATCAGCTCTACAACATTGACGAAAACTGTACACAGACGACATACGTACCTACGTTTGGCAAAAATAACAAAACAAAGCAAACAACATGAATTAAACAAAAGAAAATGACACCGAAGCTTGTCTACATTAAAGCATATCTCAATCTTACCGTGGTTGGCAGGATCCATTCCAGGATATTGAACGCATTTCGCAGGGTTGATTTCCAGTACGTTGAACAGATCGGCCAGAAGCACCACGAGATTTTGTTTCATGGAACTGCAAAAATGGTAAAAATGCTTATCTATCGGCATTCCGGTGAATCAAACATTACTGCAATAGTATGGGGATGGGTACATTTCAATATTGTCTGACCCTGTCCACAAATAGGAAATATACTAACAAGTATTCCTGTGTTGTACACTGTAAGCTACAGTACCCAGATCAATTCCATTTTTTAACGAGTCATTATAAGAGTACGATTAACTGCTACTGACGTATACAGGGTGTTTCAGAACTAGGGGATCAAACTTCTAGGGGTTATTCAGTGTAACCGTAGAAAACATTTCAGTATAGGGCCATATCCGGAAAAGTGTCTCTACGGCTGTAAGACGCGTTAAAATTTAGAAAGACAATGAATTGCCTAAATAGGATTTAATGCATTTAATGTTTGCCTTTTGTACATGATATCATCACAACAATTGTTCAAAATGTCTTCCGCCAACCTGAATACGAGTACACCGATTTAAACGTCGCACATGATTTCGGCGGACTTGACTAAAAATTTGATACTCATTTTGAATGATTTCAAATGCTGCTGTAATTCGTCCAATTCAGTCTTACTCTGTTTCTACTGGAGTTTCGTAAACCAAAGACTGTACATGTCCCCACAGGAAAAAATCTAGCGACGTTAAATCGGGTGACCTAGGAGGCCAAGAAACTGCTCCACCTCTGGCAATCCAACGATGCCCAAACCGCTGAGCCAAATACTCACGTACTTGTACAGCCAAGTGAGCCGGCGCTCCATCATGCTGAAACCACATTTGCTGTCGAACGTTCAATGGAACATTTTCAAGAAGTTCTGGAAGAACTTCCTCCAAGAAACGCCCGTAAATAGGTCCTGTTAACCTTTCCGGTAGAAGGCATGGCCCATACGTTGACAGACCAACGTTGCTGATGTTTTCTAGGGAAAATTGCATGGGGATTTTCTTTGTCCCAAGCGTGGCTATTCCTACTATTAAAAATACCGTCTCTTGTGAAAGAGGCTTCATCCGTCCATAAAACATAGCGTAAAAAATTTGGTTGTGCAGCGATTTGATGAAGAAGCTATTGACAAAATTGAACTCTAGGATGATAATCGGCTGCAGTCAATCCTTGAACTTTCTGGAAGTGGCGAGGATAAAGTTGTTGCTCGTGTAGCACCCGCCAGACGGAAGCGTTACTCGTATTCATATCCTCAGCAATGTGACGTGTGCTACTTGATGGTTCGTCGGCAACTCGCTGAAGGACCTCTTCTTCAAATTCGACCGTTCTTACGGTTCGAGCAACACCAGTATCATGCATGTTGGTTTTAAACTTTTTGTATCCCAGATGCTGTCGTTCGGGATAAGGTTCTTGATACAAGCGCGCTGCTGCTCCTGCATTGCAGCTGGTTGCTCCGTATGCCAAATGCATATCCGCCAATTCTTGATTGGTAAAGTTTTCCATTAGAAACAATTAATTTTTGTTAAATTCTTGCAGACTTAACAAATACGATAGCACGACTAAGGCGATATGGAATGCAGCTACAAGAAACAGTCTCTGTTATCGTTTTTAAAGATAACAACCCACAAGCGCCGGATATGGGTCCCGATACTCAAGTGCTTTCTACTGTTACACTGACTGCCCCTGCAAGTTTGATCCCATCGTTCTGAAACACCCTGTAGTATAGAATAAAACAAAATGATGCTTGGGACTACAATATTTTTATCGTTTTCCCTATTGTGTATTTGCAACAGATAGAATTTTAAGTTACAATTTATCACAGGACTTTTGGAGAAATCACTCCAGTCCAAATCAGAAAAGGGAATAGTAACAAGGATTTTGTTAGAGCTACCCATCTCTAGCAATATGATAATGACTATTTTATAAATATTATTCCAAATGTGCAGGTATAGATATAATTCTTCAAACAGTTATCAGTAATAACACGACTGTGTACACAGTGATATGAATGATATAAATCGTGTCTGCTTAAACTGTTTCTCAACACACGCGGGTTTTCTTGAGAATTGTTGCAAAAAACACGAAGGTAACGACAGTCTAACGGAAGTTCAATTCAGAAGGGTGCAATAAATAAGTTTAAAGGATGTAGAAGTGAATATGTGTATGAACCGTTTTTGCAATATCTTTTTTTGTTTAAGTGATAACATAAAGGGGAGTATTCTTTACTATGATACAAGAAAAGTTGTTCAACTGTTTAAAGTCGGGTGTTTGTTTAATTGTTTTTTTCACTCCTAACCTCAGAAATCACCATTACTCACCACAATGCCTTATTCAGATGATCTAGCATTTGTTCTCTTTTGATAAACAATGAAAGCAAAAACACCTAGGTAAATAATAATGTAATTTGAAATTATATACTGCCAATATTATTGCGTCAGTTTGATAATTAAACTATACATTTCGGTTACGAAGACTAGATATAGGAGGATAAACTGCGTAAGGGATACACGTATTGTATTCATGTGAAGCCAATCCTGTCGCCAAGGATGGTGTGAAAATCTAGTAAACACGGCGCCTGCACTTCGAAAAATATCAATATAACCTGCTGCAATCTTTATGCGCATTTTACTCACGTTTTGTCATAATTTGTAGATTTATTAATATTACCCTATATTTCTGCTTACAACTCGTCCGAACTTTCAAAATTGGAGTTGTTTACAGTCATGGTGACAGCAACATAGAGAGATGTCACATGCACCGAACCTGAAATTCTTTCGGTATGCGGTGTACCCCCACATGAGTTTAACCTATCTCGATTCTTTATGATATATCAATATTTTAGAACGATTGAGAAATAAGTAAATTTGAGACTAGCTCCTCATGAAATTCTCCTTCTTGAGTGCCCCAATAACAGACAATGTTTGAAAATGGCTTTTAACTTTAAGAAAAAGAAGACATTTGTACCTTACTCTCCTTGGCTGGACTGGTCCAAATCAGATCAGCTGGCTTTCATTAATTTGAGTTTGTCAATTTGACATCAGATCATTTAAGTATTTGAAAATTGAGTTGGAAACATCATCGCCGAATCGAATATTTTGTAAAATAAATAAAAATCTATATATACCTAGTTTGAGAATGCCAATATTGGCCCACTTCTCCAGCATATTACGTTGTGTAGAATTTTATTACACATTTCAAGGATGACTATCAGATACTTTAAAGGCATATAAAACGTTCAGTTGACAAATAACCTGTGTCTCAAAATACTCACCTTCTCATATATACAATATCCTCTGGCTGCACGTGAAACACATCCCTACCGGCTCCCAGCAAACACCTGGAGCAAGTTTCTTTCACCAGTCTAATGTTATGTAAGCTGTCCTGCACGGAGGGCGGCGCCTGACCGCATCCGTTCTTTGCGTCCGCCCACCTTAGTTCCTGGGGACAGTAACAGGCTAGGAGAGCGCATAACCGGCGACCACCAGAGAGGTCTCGAAGGTCGGTGGGCGGTGAAGTTGGAGGTCGGGCTGGCGTCGATTGAGACTTCAGCTGTTGAAATATTAAAAAATGCATTGACATGTTCAAATTGAAGCATTATTATTTTGACGCATTCTTCTGACCCTGCTGAAGTTATGAAAGTTTCGCTACATTTAGTGTCGTTCGTGCTGGCAATCTCTATGTTTAGAAAAAGATAGTAGGCCAGTCCTTTTTGCAAAAAATTGTATCAGTATCTCAAAGTTACTATGATTCCACTTGAAAACTGCATCTTGGAGCTTTTCGTTTATACGCACTGTTTTCGAAATAAACATTCAGGCTGGCACAAAAAATCCAGGAGACACTTTTCCTGCAGAATCAACATAGGCTTCAAAAAACCACACGTATTTGTTCAAAAGCCAGTGGCGTACAAAAGTTGTAAATCCCATACCATCATTTACAATACCTGCCGCTCTTACCTCATCCCCCGCATCACCACCGCCATTAACCATCTTCGCCATCCCATTTTGCCCCGCCTCCTGGTTCAACCTCTCGGTCAACGCTACGCAAGCCCCGCCCACCCACGCCAACAGCAGCTGCTCGGGATCATCCGATTGGACATGCAACTCCGCCCCTCTGTCGCCGACGAATCGCTGGGCGGCCGCTTGGACGCGTTCGGGCGTGGCCACCTCGCGAGCGTACAACCGCATCAGGTGGTCGATCACTGCCATGTGAGCGGCCTGGAGCACAAAAGATGAGAAAAATTATTAACGTCGTACTAGCCCGATAGCCAGAGACAACATTGCTCCCGAACCTCCAGCCGCACAGACTCACACAACACACCTAACAGCAACCAAATATGTATGTAAACCGTATTCGGTTAACATAGCAACCGCTAAAAGAAAACAGAAACTACGTTTTTATCAGATTGGTTGCTATATGGCTGAAAAACTAAATTGATGATTACATACAAATATCGAAATAAAGTTAAAGTAAATATGTTTTAATTTCTGTTCATTGTACGACGTTTTGGCCACCGCATTGAACTTTTTCAAGTACAATGACAATTAATGACAGTATTATTTTGGTTAGCCGTCTTCCAAATGACTTCATTTATTTTTTCTTTTCTTCATTCCTATGCAGCTCTTACAATAGATTGAACGATCCTGTAGCATGTCGATATCACGAGAAGCAATCATCACAATTTCAAGAAAAACAAAGTTAGGGAACGTCTGCAGAAACTGAACCAATTTCCAAAACATAATAAAAAGCTTTATCATCCTTGTGTCAAAATTTAATCAAAATCTAATTGTTAGTTGTTAGTTAAAGTGAGCAAGAATTACCGGTAACAGAATGGACGTCACAACAACAAAAAAACAGAATTATGTACATATATTTCAATTATAATGAAATTATTTACATTACTTCCTCGCCAATTGGTTACGAGCTTTGACGGCTGTAATACGTCTAAGAAAATTGAACAAGTCTTTCAACCTGGTCAGAAAACTTACCATCCTGAGGGGGTTTGTCTGTATAAGCGTAGTCTCGGTGAGGTTCCTGTTGGCATCGTCGGACGGTTCCAATACACCTTTCCTGGCTAACGTTTGCAATATGGCCGAATGGTTGAGGTTGTTGTAGCCAGGATCCGAGTAGATGTTGGCCAGCGCAGAGCAATACAGTTCGCAGTTCGCCAAGCCGCCAGCTAGCTGCGGTTTCAAGTGCTCTTGATTCTGAAAAAAGACATCTTGTTAAAAAATGGCGTTAGCTGAGCTGACTGTATTTCTCATGCAAATCTATCAACAATTTTAGATATTTTCAACATACAGAATAAAATGATGTTAATGATACATTCAATTTCTGCTAATACCGAAAGAACGCATGTTTTTCGAATGGGTACTACATCGAGTGGGCTGGTCCCGTGTCGGTGGGGAAGGGCGTGTTGGATAGTGGGAGAAGTGCCGTTTCAGTTGGCAAGATGGTTTGGAACGTTGAGCATCGTGTGTTCACTGTACGTCGATACTTTCAAAATGGCGAGTCTGTCTTTCGAACGCAACGTGAGTTTCGCGTTCACTTTCGTGTTCCACGTCGTGGGACAGTACCAGACCGTAATACCAGTTTTGAGATGGGTGGAAGCATTCAACACAACAGGTAATGTGACGGAGAAAAAACCGCCAGGGCGAAACCGTACTGTTAGAACCCCCGAAAACGGAGACAGAGTAAGAGTTGACACGCTGCAAAGCCCGAATCGTTCCGTCTGTTTCCGTGCCAGTTCCCTAGGGATCCACGCGTCCTCTGTACGTCGCATCTTGAAGAAGGATTTAGTGTTCCATCCTTACAAAATCCAAGTTTGTCAACAACTGTTGGCAGGGGATTATGCACAACGTGTTAATTTTGCACAGCTCATGATTGAACAGTTGGATAACAATGACATGACGTTGTTTATAAGTGATGAAGCACATTTTCATTTATATGGATACGTCAATAAACAAAATTGTCGGTATTGGTCTCCAGTGAAACCCGAACAGTTGCATGAGCACCCCCTGCATAGCCCGAAAGTTACAGTTTGGTGTGCAGTAGGCCCTGATTATTGGCCCTTATTTGTTTGAGGATGATGGAGAAACAACTACTGTGAATTCAGAGCGTTACATCCACATGCTGAACAACTTTTTTCCGAATAGCTAAGGTTTACTAGCCAGTGACTAACTATTCGTAGTTTGTAAAATTTAATGTTAGATAAGGATTTAGGGACTTCCATAATGGGTTTTATTGGAAACATGCACTAAACTTTGATCAGTTTCAATGAACCCTTGATATAGGACTTTGCATATCAATCCATCTTTCTCAAGAAACTTACACTAAATTACGACAAAACACTTTTAAAAGAGATTAGTTAGATCTCTTACCGATTACAGAAAGATTCACTCTCCAACATAATTATCCAGTAATTATGAAAAGCACCATTTGTAAATGAGTATATTTTATCCACATATTCACACATCCACAATGGATGGCTCTCGGTTCGATGAACGTGCTTTTTCTGTTCGGATTAGCACTTTGAAACCCGATTCACATTCAAAGATAATTACTAGGCAATTAGTAACATAGTAACAGTGATGAAAGGGAGGTACTATAGTATAAAGTGGCAGCGAAGATGCGACTCGGTCAGCTATGGAGCGTGGACTAGAATCAGCGCAGATAAATTACTATATTGTGCAGTTCCTCACCGGACATGGTTGCTTTGGAAGCTACTTAAATTGAGTAGGAAAGAGAGAACACTCGAACTGCACGTATTGCTTTGACGGTAGGATACTCTTTGATTGCAGTAGATGGCAGTAATGCTCAACAAGAGGCTCACGGCTGACAACTTTGCTAAGTATGTAGACGATGACAAACGTGTTTAAATGCAAACACTGAGACGAATGATGCTGAGCAAGATACCTTATGAGAAATGCAGACAGAGAAAAAAATAAGAGGTTTCTTTGTAAAATATATTACTAGTTTGTTCAATGGCGAGTAGATCGCCTCTAGTATACCGTCATAATCGACGACATCTAGAGGTCACAACATTCCAAAATATTGAGAAAAAGTCAAGTAGGTTGACCCTGCACTTCCCACGCAATGCCGTTATCGGTTCATAAAGAATTATGTTCAGCACAAAGTAGACCCTCTCAGAAAAAAATCAGTTAAACAGGTCCATACAATGCCCTACCGGTGGTTCATCTAGAAACGTCACACCTCCCCGATACTTAACCCCTGTCAGACGTGGCAGAGTGGTCGAAGCATAGGAAACACTATGCTGTTACGTGGCAGAAATACGTGTGATACCATATCGGAACAACAGAACACTCCGCAGCCGCAGCTGGTAGGTAAAAGCGATCCGTCTGCCGACAATATTTTCTTATTTTAAGGGCTAATGCAGAGAGAAATCTATGATGTGTGAAATATGTTTAACAGGTGTGTAGAATTAGGTACCAAGGTTGGAAGGATATTAATGTACTAACATCAAAAAATCGAGACAAACTGTCACCCCTAAGTTTTTTTACCTATATTTTTTTTTAAAAAAACGAAGTTTGAGCGATTTTTACTTTTTCGTTTTAGGCCTTTTTCTCCGCCGCCACTGGACCGATTTTCAAAATCTACCAAGCTTTTTCATCCTTGGAGTAGCAGTTACATACTTTTTACATTATACGCGGTTATAAGATTAACGGACAGACCGGCAGACAGGCACAGAGACAGACGGAAATATCCAAAAAAACATATCTCATTTGCGAAAATTTTCGTGATTACAATACCAGTAGGCATGGGAAATAAAAAGAGCATTTCTGAAAATAATTAGTACAAACGAGTAGCTGAAAAAATAATGACTAAAACTGAGAAAAATGAGTCGGTGCCGTGGACACTAGGCTCCGAGGTTTTTCGCTGTTTCAATTGTTATTAGATCTATTATAACATGCCGAGTCATTCTTGATTTACTTTTCTCTTGCATGTGAACCATACACATATCATTGAACTCACCAGACCATCTGACGATTGCCATTGTCGGTATCAATGTATAAAAATAACTACAAATAAGCCAGTAAACTATATTAATAGCAATATTGTCATCATCACAACAGCGGTTCTGGGTAAAAATGCGAGGTCATATTTTTAACGATGTAATAGCATTTAATGGGCATCAATGCGAAGCAATGTACATTCCAATCATATGCGAAGAGAAAAATAGCTGTTATTGTTTTAAATTCATTTGCAATTGTTCGCGTATAGTTGATAACTTTCTCAATAAAAGTGGAGCAATTAGTGATTTAAAAGTATATCTATCGTGCGTCTTATGATGTGAGGGCGATTTTCTGTATAGAACGCATTGCAGCTTCATTTAAATTGTGACATGATTTGAAACCATAAGAAGACTTGGGTATTATTCGAACACTATATTTTTAATCCTATTCAGATTATATTTAACTGATTTTCGAATACTATTCGAACACATTTGTGTGTTTGGTATTAGGTATTCGACTGAACACTTTTTTGGTCAGTACTCGGTATTCTGGATTTTGTATACCATTTATGAATCCCAATATTCGAATACCCACTTTGTATTCAAATTTCGGTACTCGAGTCATGTATTGGAATGCTGTTTTCAAATACTGTTTGGCTATTCTCGTGAGCATTAACTTAAGCGTGTTAAAACATGCTCGCGGTGGTTGTAGATAGCACAAGCAAAATATCTAGGCAAACTTATTTTGTTTGTGTGGTGCTTCTATATTCGCGATGCCGACAGGTCGCTTAAGGATAGATATTAGATAACGAATGCATTTATGCAGTAGTCATTCTATATTTAGTAAATTTTAGTACCTGTTATAATTTGTGTGTAACACCAGATAACATAAATATAATTATAATAATAATAATAATTATATAAGTTTATTCACGTATAAACTATTACAATTTATTCAAAATAAATACATATAATTTTCATAACAATTTTTGCTTTGAACATAGTTAATTATAGTTAACACATAAATTCAAGCACAACATATAACCTTAAAGGTAAGTGTAATAACGTTATATTCAATTTCATGTCGATTATTAGATGACAAAAAAATTCTTTATTATTTGAATCTACTTTTATTTGAAATTGATTTTATATAGCAAGATAAAAAATTATAAAATCTAGTGGAGATGTAACTGAAGCATCTTTGACCTACATTTTTTGCTTCTTGTTTCATACGTGTGGTCCAATGAAACGAGGTTTGCTTTATTTTTGAACAGATTGATTACAACATTCTGAAGGATGTTTTTTTATTATACAATTAATTAGTTAACCTCACTGTGACACTGTGTATCAAAATGAAGTTTTTTTAATATAGTCATGTATTTTTTAATTTTTTATATATTTATATCACTCAATTACATAAAGAAATAAATAAAGTAAGTATACAATTTAAAATATAGTATTCAGGCTTCGTGTTAAAATACCGGATTTCAGTATTCGATCCAAATTGAATATAAGTAAAGTTAATCACGAGCCATTTTTGCTTACTACTTATAATACTTGCAGTGTAATAAGAATGCAGCAATAAATTATTCTATTTACTTAGACATTATAACGGATAGACGAGGTAATAGGTGCAAGATAATGAGAACATGAGACACTAAAAACGCCAATGAAACAAAACAATGCATATGGAAAGTAAAAAACGGCAGTTAATTGTTCAGGAAAAACGTCCTAAAAAGTGTTAATTGTTGGCTAGAAATGAATAACACTGACATTCCATAGAATATCTCACATAGAAAGTGATGGAAGCGATGAGGACCGTCCTCTCACATTAGTTCGCATATATCGAAAGAATACATTTCAAATTTATGTTAGTGAAATGTTCGGAATTACTCTCATGTCCAAGTATAAAGCAGATTTCCAGGAAACTACGTGAATTAGACAATTTGAATAACAGTAAAACTGCATTTTAAGTCACTGGAACAGATTATTTACATGCGTTTTTAAAGGGTGGGATGATGCAGTCTATCATTCTTTTTTTTACGATCGTACGTTGGATAAAAATCGTACTTAAATTTCTTACATTTAAATAGATTCATGCTCTGTATTTCCCGCGGAAAAAAACAGCCAATAGAATTTGATTTTTCTCCCGGATACTGATTAGACGTGGCCATACATTTCAAAGGTTAACGTGACAGAATAAATGTAAATTTGCTCACATTTGGCGGACAGCATCCTCTACGGCACAAGGAGAGTCACATTATAAGTACAGGAAGAACTTATTACGTTAGGTTGAAACTTTTTACGTCACAACTTTCGGGAGAAGAATTTTACGTTTAAAATTTGGAGAGCAAGTTTTTTCATTTCGCATAGAAAAAAAACAGGACATGCTTTTTGGGGGCTTAAAAATATATCCCTCTACAACGATATAAATGAGTAATGGACGCATGTTTCAATATATGTATCTACAGATTCTAACTATACTTGACTTTGCCTATCTATGTGTACATATCCAAATACGCACGGTTATGTAGGGTGAGCCATAAGGGTGTTGGCGATTTAAATCTTAAATTTCTCGGAAACGCGGGGCGCGGGTTGGGGGGGGGGGATAAGCTGTTAGCCCCGCCGTTGCCTAGAAATTTAGTCGCCATGGAGCCGTACACGGGAGCGCAGCATGCATTTTGTATCCGAGCGTATTATGAAAACAATAAATCGGTTATTACTGGACGACGTTTATATTGACATGAACACGGTTTACGCGATTTAAGAGAAGTTCCAAGCGTCAATGTGATACGGAAATGGATCAGAATGTTCGAAACAACCGGCTTGACAGTAGCAATAACAGCTCGTGGTCGTCCAATTTCTGCAAAATCAGCCAAGAATGTAGAGCGTGTTCGTGTTTCAGTTCAGCGAAATTCGCAACAGTCAACACGTAAGAGAAGTCAGGCTTTGGTCATCAAAAGAACGAGTTTGCGGCGAATTTTGAAGCACGATTTGCATTTGAAGGCTTATAAGATTCAACTAGTCCAAGAATTAAAACCATATTATGCCAATAACCGACTTAACTTTGTGAGTTTGATGCTCGACCGATTCAACAGTTTTAACAACGTGATGTTTAGTGATGAGGCCAATTTTCACCTCAATGGCCATGTTAAGGCGGCTCCGACGCAATGAGTTTCAAGCCATTTACAAGGGTTCAGCTGCTTCAAAACTGACATTCCATTTTTAAATATTTTTTAATGAAATTCATATAGTATGTTGAGAAGATAATTGCCCAGGGTGCTATAGGAGCACTTTTTGAAATTTTGTTTTTGCACAAGTTTTATGATAGGTTGAAGTGCGCACTTTTTCTGTTCAACTTCGCGATTTTTTTTAAAAAGAACCTAGTGAAAAAGTGAAAAGTGCCTCTATAGCACCCTGTGGGGTTTTGTTTTCAGCACTCAGTGAAAATTTCATCCAAAAATATCAAAAAATAAAGCGTCAATTTCGAAGCGCGCAAACCTCTACAAATCGTATTTTGGACGAATTTTGTCTACTATTTCGTTGCGGCACAATGTACGGACTAAGAATTTATTCAGATTCAGATAATTTGATGGCCCTATTTCATAAAATATCGCGTAGATAAGTCGTTCTGCAAATAGGTACTCATAATCGCGATCGCTGATACTCCTCGGTTTTAAAGCCATTTTGCTTCATTTACGTGATTGGCGAGAAAGTATTGTAATCGCGAAAAATTTCTAAAATGAGATATGTTTTTTTAAGTCATATGACATCTACATCACGAAAAACTGTATCACTCATCATCAACTTGGAAATTACCGCTCTGATTTTTATGAAATTTCCACACGCGGTTACTAGTTTGCCAAAGCTTTGTAGTTTTAGTCCAGTGGCAGCGGTGCTATAGGCAAAAAAGATAAAGTAACAATTGCTGAAACTCCGATTTTGACGTTTCAAGGGGTTCCTAATCATTGACATAAAAAATTGTACTGCTTAATAAGGGGGGGTTGAAATCAGTGAAACACGTTCTATTACTAAGTAGCTTCTGATCCCAGTGATTCCAGGAAACTTAGGTATCGAAAATCCGACGAATAATGTGCTCACGATTTCAAAAAATCGGTACCTGCTCTATAGGTTTGACACCAACAGCCAACAGATCTGCAACGACCGACAGTAGGGAAGGATAAATTTGGATATCACTCCAGTCAAGTATAGGGGAATTTAGCGTGGAACTTTAAAATTATCGATAAGTCAAGGAAATATGTTTTTGAGAACGATCATTTGGTAGATTTTATACCTGAATTTTCATTTGAATTTCATAACCCGTGAAATGTACCCATTTCGCCGTTACCTTTTGTGTTCTGTAGTTTGTGATGTTTTTCTCGATATAAGCAGGCCATAATTGCCTAGGGTGCTATCAGAGCTTATTACAAAATTTTGTTTTCGCAAGAATTATGGTGTGTTGAAATGCTCACTATTTGTGCTCAACTTCTTGATATTTTAAAAAGATCCTAGTGGATAAAATCGAAAAAGTGGATCGCTGGCACCCTGTGGACTTTGTTTTTAGTACGCTGCAAGAATTTCATTTGGAAATAATAAAAACTAAGCTGTGAAGTGCAAATCGGTTTTTGGGCGAAATTCATCTACTGTTTCGTCCTGCCAGTCCAACCGACGCGACGGTGCGTTCCGACTAAGAAAAAATGTATTCAAATAATTTTATATCTTTCCTAAAATAAATTCAAGAACTCAAATTCTAATTCGTTTATTCATGTCAATAAACACAATTATGTTGAACGAGGGTCATAAAAATATCTTATGCCATCAAAATAAGAGGAAACAGTTAGGTAGTTTTTGCAAAGCAATAAACAGGTAGGCTTATACCTGAATTAAGTACATGTCTTGTCTACTGTAATAGGTAGATGGAGGTGATGCTGCCAGAAATGGATGTGTGCGGTCAATAAACAAACCACAAGATTGAACTGCCGTGTCCAATGATTTTTGTATTGAATTTTTTTATCGCCTTAGCCTTACTAGAAAACTCTTTTGGGTATATGATCGAGTTTACTAGAACTTTACAGCTTGTTGTCTGCCTTCTACAAACTTCACCAAATCGAGACGCTGTCAACCTTATCCTCCGATGAAGTCGCCACAAAGCACAGTCCTGTGATTTGGTGACTTGTTCGATATGCAAAATCTCGTCGTCATTTTTTCTAAGTTTCCCTAAAAATTATTGCTTAGCAACCTCCAAATCAATGTCGTTCATGTCAGGTTTTTGACAGAATTCGCCATAAAACTATTATATATTTTCTTTGGAATTGCTATCCGAATTGTTAGTTATTTTTATATCAACTTTTTTTGGTCCGAGTTTCTTTCCAAGATTCTTGCGTTTGAGTCTTTGTTCCATCTTAGTGATAAGCGAGGTTGGACTAAGCTTAGAACGCAAATGTATTTGGACCACATAGACAGGCCGCTCGGTATTGTGGCTGACTACAGCTGCAGCACATCTTCCATGGTATGACCTCTTCTTGCAATAATTTATTCGCTTACCCCAATGTATTTTGCAATTATAGAGTTGAACTGCTCCACACTATTTTTGTCATCATGAATTAAACTCAATGAATTCGTAATTAAAATTGTCGCATATGACATTTTATTGTTCATTATCAGCCTTGATAAAAAATTCACTCAAGAACAATCACACCAACAAGAGTACAACACAACAATTCAACAACACAATATCGACGAACAGTAACAAGGGTAGAACAATACTAAATGATCACTAGCTGAGTACCAAAATAGGAAACGATTTACAGGCTAGATCGCTAATCGAACCACTGTCTAAGACCAGCCCACAATCATTTCCTTTTCACCCTCCCGTTACCTCAGCAGATGGTGCTCGTGATTGTAGGAGCCCCGTTAACAAATAAAATTGTCGGTTCAGGTCCGAAACTAATCCCCGACGCTTGCATGAACGTCCACTCCACAGCCCTAAACTAGTCGTGTGGGCTGGAATTACGCCAACCGGTATTATTGGACCGTACTTTTTTGAGGACGAAAGAGGGCAAGCGATGACAGTTAAGTTAAAGCTATCAATTATTGCAATATGATAAAAGACTTTTTGGTGCCAGCTTTGCAAGAAATCCAAGGCAATACCTCTAGAATGTGGTTTCAACAAGATGGGACCACATGCCATACAGCTAGGGTAATTATATATATATTTCCCGGAAAACTCATTTCGAATGGCCACCACGTAGCCCCGATCTTTCTCCATGCGATTATTTCCTATGGGGCTACCTCAAATCGCTGATCTACGAGAATAATCCAACTAATTTATAGCAGCTGAAGAGGAATATTGTTCGGGAAAGTAACAAAATACTGAGAACAACATTCCAACGAGTTTTCCAAAATCTGCAGCTTCGGTTTCAAGTGTGCCAAGCAGCCGAAGTAAGTCGAACAACATTATTTTCAAGTCTTAAAAATTCCTATCTTTCTACTTTTTTCTTTTATATTGCGTAGTTATATTTTAATTGAATATTGAAATTGCCAACACGTTTATGTATTACATCTACAGACATTGTATCCTTCGTTTCGCTTCTTAAACGATTGGCATCAACAGGTCTATGAGATTAGTACAGCTACAGCAAAAAAGTTTCTTACAGCTCTTCTATACACATTTAATCACGACAGTAACATAATTATCTTCTTCAATGGGTTCGTTCATATGTGCAATTTTGTGTAACTTATATTTCGCAAAAAGTCGTACATTACAAAATATCATCAGAAGAGAATGCACCAAATCTCTCCAGACCATGCACAAAATATAATATTATGTTTTACACCGGATGAGCGCTTACCTCATGATCTCTATAAAATGGCTCCTTCAGATTATCTGGCACCTTGTTGTTGAACGCTTTCGAAAGAAGCCATTTCATGGATGCACGTTGTTTCGCCTGTAACAAAACAAAAGACATTGTATACTCCAATGTTATATAATTTAATCTCAAATGTAAAAGTGTGTGAAAGAACTATCAACGTCATACGCTCTTGTTGCTGTGTTGTTGATACCTGCAAATTAAACAAGACAGCACAGAGTGCCATCTATTACCAGACTCGACCACTGCGAGAGTGAAACAGCAAGCTGTCTGTCGGAACTGTATCCCACTCTAGTCTCCACTATGTTCGGTAGATGCCGCCCATCCTTGAGGTATAGTAGATTCGGTCTATTCGACATTGAACAAACTAGTAATATAGCTTTCGCCGGTCCGAACACAGACGGCCAATAGTGGACAGCTGTTTCGTGCTTTTTGGCAACTCATCAGGATGTCTATCCTCTATTCAGATCTTATATCCTTGATAGATGATAGCACGAAAATCAAATAATATCGCTAAATGACAGGCAAACTATCCGTATACTATGCAGAATACGTTGAACCAAGATCTGAGATAACACATACAGCTTTCCACGAAACAACGATGGCAACGAACCACTTGTTTTTATTTTCACAGTGCCGACTTGGCGCGATAAAAGATCCATAATGCAGCCGCACCTAAAAAGAAATCAACAAATGGACATGTCCTTTCATGAATTCTTTGGTGTGCCTTTTATTTACCGAGACTATCGTTTAATTTATGCAACTACTGTGTATATCTGTTATGTTTACGCAAGTCAGGTGCACATCGCCTCAAACTACAAGATTTATATTTGGTGATACAGGAAAAATGGAAAGATGGATCTCACAACTTACGATGGATTTAAAAAAAATATATTATAGATTTTCCGTCGGTGACGAAGAAAATAAAAAATTTGAAAAAATTCATTGAGGCAACTTCAAATGGCAGTTGTAGTGCTAGTAGTGATGGGGAGAAAGAATAAAATTTCAATTCGATCAGATGATATAAACCTTTTGGGCTACCTGTTGTAGTGTCTGAATCTATACGGGATCGGCAGAGACCCGTATTTAATGTGTACGAGCGAGATAGGGAGAGAGAAACGCGTTTGTGCGAGAGAACGAATGAAGCGTCCACAGACTCGTCCTTGGTGTTAAGTATGCTCCACTCGCGTTCTCGCTCTAATTTACGTGTTGCTCTCTCGATCTCGCTTATACACATGTTTGATCTCAATGATTCTCTGGCGATCCAGTATGTCATCAAAACTACTTGGATGGTATATTTTTGCCTAACGACCTTCATGGAGATGCCCAGGACAAAGTTTTCCTACATGCCTTTGTCCTCTAGGCTTATGAGCATGTTTTGCTCCATTGAATCCTGTCTCCCTTGGTGAAGATTCAATTTTCGGAATGAGCATTCCAAAAAGTAAACTTATTCTCAAACGATGTTTTGTTAAGTGTAGTTTGAAACGAGGTGCAGATTATCCATTGTACGATTATACCCCAAGTGGAAAATTGTGCTAATTTACCGTGACCTATTGTCGCATTGTATATCTCATTTTCGCACTGTGGGACGTGCATGTGTTTGTGAATTACGTAATTCGGATTGTTTATCGCTAATCGCAGATTTAACGATTTGTCCTTTTAGAATAATTTATAGCCGGCGTAACGGTAGTTCTGTTTATTCTTTAAATTATAAACTATTGGAAATCTAGGTTTTATTCATTGATTACCCTTTTAAGCATCTGTTTTAATATCTCTATGCGTCATTGAGATTTATAAACTTGCAAACCACATGATGAAAACAATTCTAAAATCTGCTCATGAGACCTTCAAGCTAAATCAAAATGTGATTGGAGAACTCTTTATCGCTGCATTGTCCACCATCAATCGCAAATATTTTGAAACAAAAACGTCCCCTCCCCCACTGACTATATTGGAGATACCTATCCACCTCAATGAGTGCTTTCCTTGGATCCGCTCTTCCATAGTAGCCTTAATTACTTTTATAACTGATGATCCAAGAGCAGGTTCGAGGTCCAGTAACCTATCACCGGGCTCTCTTGCAAGACTATCTTTCATCTCATTACATATTAGGTATCCCCGCTCACGTAGGCACCCTCAAGAATAAAACCTGTTGCTTAGCTACATGCTCGTCTTAAGCCTTTCCATATTCCAGAACGAAACCCGACGTTATCTTACAAGCACTTGTTGCTATGGCGGTTGTCTTGTGAGGTATTTGATTGATCCCATTTTTCAACTGCCAAGGTTAATATACTAAATGAAAGAAAATGCAACATCGACCAGGACAGCTGTAATTTTACAAGTGTTAGGTCTACTGATAAATAGAAAGCGATTAAAATTTTAACTGGAATTTTCGCAAAATAGTTGAGATATCCCACTGTTATGTTGATAATGTGTTGACGCTCCTCTGTTCGCCACACATTCGTTAAGTCGTCGCGGCATTGATTGGATTAGGTGATTGATGTCTTGTTGGTGTATTGTATCCCAGGGCATCTGAATTTGGTTTCGTATAGCCTCCAATGCGTGTAGAGGGTGCGGTGAATTTTGCAATCATCTTCCCATCATGTCACATACATGTTCGATGGGGGAAAGGTCTGGAGATCGATGAGGCCACTGAATTAGATTTAATCCGGACGCTTCGAAAAAGTTTAATCTAACACGAGCGACATGAGGTCATGCACTTTCCTGCTGAAAAAGTGAATATTGCAATGTTTCCAAAAAGGGAAGTAGATGTGGTTGTAAAACTTCGTGGATATAGCGATGGGCAATCATGCTACCTCGAATCAACACTAATCGTGACCTGCTGCCGTAAGCAATGACACTGGAATATTGGCCGTTCCGTCTTTCACCACGTCTCCTCCTTACTCTTGCACGGCCACCTTGTGTGCCCAAACAGAATCTGGACTCATCGCTAAACACGACTTAGTTCCATTCCATATTCCATTCAAGTCTCTCCCTATTCCATACCAATCGTTGCCGACGATGCTGTGGGGCCAGAGGTAGTACAATACGGGGACGGTATGAAAACAGTCCAAAAGACCTTATTCGCTGATGAACTGTCCTCATTGTTATTGCCCTTCCGAAAGCATCAAACCACTGGCTCGCAACTGACCTTGTTGTGTAAAATCGATCCCTAAGTGCTATTTGCTTTAAATAACTCGTCGATTTCGCCCTTCTTGGAACCACGCTCAACAAATGATCACAGTAGCTTCGATTCGATTCACCCGATTAGCGATTTCTCTAAAAGAAAATCCGGCTGCACGTAACCCGATTATCCGACCCCTCTCAAACTCTAGGCATGATAATGCAATGAAACACTAATGAAACAAATGGAACCAACACAGAAAAATCACTGAATATTTAGTAAACAATGTTCATATTGTTCGGATCCTGATATGACAGAAAAGCCTTTACAAAAAAAGTACCTCTCGGATGCCTTCAACGGTTTATCAGCGTATACTTACACGATAGCAAATATGTATAGAAGTTTTCATCAAAATTCAATAAATAATTTATGGATGTTGCGTTTTATATGTCACTTAGTATAGAACTGAGAAAACATCCTCGGGAAGATTGTTCCACAGCCTCGAGACTTTAGGAACAAAGTGTCTATCGTATCGGCCACTTCTCGTACATAATTCGACAGAGCTAGAAGCTGGAAAGTCTAGCAAGTTCATCTGGCATGCCTAACGTGTAGCGACATCAAGAAAAAAAGTTAATAGGAGCAAAGCAAAAGCCGAAGTGAGACCAGATCAAGCGATAGCTGCATGACCATTACAGCAGATAGTTAATCATCTCCTAGGCCCTAGTCTATCCTATGTGCGGGATACTTGGAAGAACATCGCATAGATCTCTGCCTCAGCCCAAAAGGAAGTAAGAGTGTTCTGAAGAAAAAATGACGTTTCGGCAACAAGCAGTCGAAATGTTAGTATAGTAGGTACTTGGAAGGACCCGTGTTTTATCGAATTTTCATTGCTGCGAGAAAAATTAAAAAAATTGCTGGTGTTGTATAAAAAAGCGACTGAGGAATGGATGACTAAGAAATACGTAGATTTTGATTTTGTATGAATTGTTTGAAATTTGTAGACAACGTATCTAGATGTTTCAAAAATTTTATTTCGGACTTGTCTATACAATTTTTGAGATCTCAAATACTTAATTGCCCTATTTTGTGGTAAATATATATTTTTGCACTGAAATAACGTATATTTTTGGTGTGTATACTAAAAATCACATAAAACTTTGAACTCCACATACGAACATAACCTGAAATGCACTAGCGGCGGGCTACCCGCGCGTCGCGGCTCAAAGTGAAGGAAATTATAGAATTAAAATGGCGTCAAGTAAGATGACTCTGTACTTCCCACGTTACGCTGTCATCAGTTCGTAAAGGATTGTTTGGCGCAAGTTAGCCCTTCTAAGAAAAAAGATAGCCTCGAACATGTATAAAAAAAAATTAAATGACGTTCCTCCTCAACCTTAGAAGAATTGCTGCAGGCGCACATGATCGTTGCGATGGCCAATCGTATCGACTCGACATCCAACTGTATGAGATATTTCTAAGTTTTAAGGGTAAATCGATGATGAGTGAAATATGCCTAACATTTGCGCAGAATTACTGGTGTTGGAGGGATAGAAATATACTAACGTAAAAAATTAAGATATACCCTCCGCGCTCCCTTTCAACCCCTAACCCCCAATTTTTAACTGATACATAAGTGTTTCCGATAATGATCAGGATAGTCTGAATCGTCCAAAAACGAAGTTTGACTGATTTTGGTTTTTTGTTTTGGCCTTTTTCCCCTTCGCAACTGGACCGATTTTCACAAAATGCGTCCTTGGAATAGTAGTAATATTGTGTAAGAATTTCATCGGAATCCGAGCGGTACTTCTCAAGTCATAGGAGATTATAAGATTAGCAGACAGACCGAGAGACCAACAGAGAGACAGACAGACCGACGGAAATAAGTAACATGATTTTTCGTGATGTACCTGTTATATAACATCAAAAAATATGTCATTTTCGAAAAGTTTCGCGATTACAACACTTTCCCGCCAGTACCTATACGTGGGCGTAGACAGCTGCTACGCATGGACAATTTTATATATTTTTATGTGTATGTATATTCACGGTACAACTGAACATTTAATCCAAGCACTGTAATGCAAAAGAAAAGTGCATAGATTGCCGTATCTCTGTACATTTTTTGTCGGACACTAGGACAATGTCAATGACAGAACTAAAAGTTTAGCCCTAACGTAGAATTTTAGATGTTTTGTCGTAGAATTTTTAGTCAGAAGAATATTATTCATCAGGTCAATATTTTTTTTTGGCCCTGCAAAGTGTTTCATACAGTTTTTTAAATTGTTCTCATAATAAAAATCGATAACACGTGTCGAGACTAGTTATTTTTTAAGGCTTGAATTATTGGCCACGATTAATTAACCAGGATAGACTTCGGAGTAAGAGATATCATCCCGATGTATGTGCAATCCATACTTAATCATTTTGAGTGCATAGACTGGCTGCAAAATTGATGGGTGGCAACATTTCATCACAGATTCAGCACGTAGAAAATATAGCATCACATCGGTTTAAATCGGGACGAGGCGACGATGCTGTCTCCTTATATGCATTATGTCTCGAGGCTGAGAAAGTCCAAGCGTAAAAAAGATGGTAATTTCGTATATTAGCGACACGCGTACTGAAATTTGTGTACACACAGGTGGACGTTATGTGCACTTGCAGATTTCCTAAAGATATTTTTTATTACGCAATAGCTAGATGAAGCCGTGGAAGTAAAAGTTATGAAGAAATTGGGAAGCTAAATAATCAGGTTCGAGCAACCCTATGCACACTTGCAAACAGTTTGCTAGTTAATCTCGCAAAGCATACTAGAGCTGCTTATCGTTGTTGTTTGTCTACAGAAGTTGTGTAGAATTTTTGGCATTAGTCCAAATATGTATGTCTCAATCGCATCTAAGATGCCTGGTTTCCCAAAAAATAAAAGAAGCAAGAGAGGAAATAAAGTCCTAAGGGTTCATGTCAAAAATGTCTCATCTATCGCGGAACATCAGTTTAAAACACATGTATGAAAATGACAGATTACGCCAAAATGCTTTAGCTTGCAACTCAGAAATTTAAAAAAGTTATCATTCATTGATCAGAAGCAAATATCAAAAACCAATTACTGCCGACTTCGGGAGAGCTTCTAAATACGTCGTTCATCCAGTTGTCCGCACCAACAGTATTGTTTCAGGGCGGATTTCTTCTGGGTAATTTATTTTTATCCTGAACTACTAGCAACAAGCCGCTTGCATGAAATCTGTATACCAGATCACCGCGGAGGTAGTTAAAATGAACGTAAACAAAAGCATATAAGGATGTATAGATCAGCATAAACACGTGGGAAAAAGAATGTCATGTTGTATGATGCATTCAATAGCAGTAAAACCAGTAAACATAAACCAAGAGTACGCAATAATACCAAAAACACTACAGTACGACCTCATTTCCCTTGGCTACAGATCTGTCGGAGATTCATATAAAGTTATTGTTGACCAGTATTTGTTGATAAGTTGACTATCGTCAGGCATTTCAAACTAGAGCGATGAGGACGAAAATTCACTTTTCTACATTTATTTATTATTCACCTCCCAATGTTTAGAGGTACCTGGATAAGGCACCTTCAATGTAAAACTTGCTAGTTAGTTTGTTGCACTTGTTTGTTGTTCAAAGAAAAAGCTTTCTTTGCATTGCTCAGTATCAACTGTCCTGTTTTGGAATGAATTTATAACCTACAGAGTTTGTATATTTCATAGTATATAAAAATCCTGGTCTATTAATCAGCTTAGATTGCGTTCATCTTCAAGATCGCCATCAAACTCGATCTAGGCTACAGATACATAAATTCTTGTCGGTTAGTTTTACAATTTTTTTATCGGTATGAGCATGGACTATAACAGCATAACACTTTCTTCATATTCAGAACCGTATACAAGGCAACTCGCTTAATTCGTAAGTATACAAAAATGTCCATCGTTTATGCTAAAAGCCGCGATTCATAATCTATCTGTCATTTATCGTATTGTATTTTCTGTATTCAGGGCACTATATTATCATTTATACGGAGAAAGTACGAACGTTTCTCAGTAGTCTAAATGACGCATGTAAAGTTCGGTATTTATTAATAACGATGTCTGTCTAAAATTTAATACAAACCACGTATTTAATAGTGCGTAAAGTGCAGGTAAAAATTAATTGTATATACGAGGTGAATCCAATACGTACAGTAACGAGTAAAAAGCACAACACGAACAGGTGCAGGTTGAAGTCTACAAGTAATAAAGTTTCGAATCAATATCCATATTGAGCATTTACTTGTTGAATGGAAAATTTTGTGAGACAAAAACATAAAGACCAAGTGATGAGAATTGCAAAAAAGTTTACCAAGGGTGTTTCATAATCATATGTTCCTTTCATGTCTGTCATTAAATTTCACCCTAAATATTTTATAACAAAAATAATTAATACAAACAATACTGTGAGTATTCATTACAAGATACAGGTAATGATTTTAATATGAGTTCTTGAATATAAGTAGCAAAACAATATTTTTAGGTGTTTCAAGTATTCACCCCAATATGCCCACGCTCAAATGCTGTTTATAACAAAGATCGTTAGTAAGATGCTAAATCAGGGCTGCTTGTTCTCAATCTATCATAAATGCGTTAACATAATTTTTGGCCAACATCCCAACAAATATCTTTTTGCAATAGTAAATGGTCACAACACTAAATTGGTTGTTACCGCGATGACGTCATTATACCAAGGTAATGACAATGAATAGAAGAACAAAGGTTACAGTTTCTCAAGAATATATCTTCGTAAATACATTTGATCCCTAAGGCATTTTTAGTACGTCAAGCAAAATTATGCAGAAAAACCCTAATTTGAACTGAAACTAAAGACGTCAGATTCAAAGTGGTGGGCAAAACGTATTTCTCTATTAACCAGTTTTAATATAAATTCACTTGAACCATTCACATTCATTAAAGTATTCTACCTGAGCACAGCCAACCTAACACTATATTCGCGCACCCGAAAAATTATCCAAGATGAAATACCATAGCGCTATCTATAAGAGTTTGTCTCAGCTATGTTTCTCCTCTCCGCAATAATTATAAATCTATTTGGAAAATGTAGGTGCTCCATAGATGGTGTTGAAGCTACATGTTTGTAAATAGTTGGCTACAGCGCCACCTATGAGACACCTTCTAATCATCTCGGAGAGGAGAAATATAGCTGTGACAAATTCTCAAAGATGATGCTACGATTTCTCACTCCAGCTCGGACAATTTTTCGGACGCGCGAATATAGCATTAGCTATTTTCAGGAAGAATACGTTAACCAATGCCATGTGTCTGTTAGTAAAGTTAAGGTCCGAGCCTATTTACGATAATATTGATGTTCGGTAAATTTTAGTAACACATATTATTTCTATTAGTGATGTACGACATCGACAGACGACACAAAACAGAACAGGATGACAGGACAACATCACTACCTGCACACGTTTCAACAACGCTAAGACGACTGGACGATGGTTACGGTCAGATACACCAGAGTATCTACGTTGTTTGTATACTTTGGTCATCTTCATTTTGCCCATGTTACGTTTACAACGTGCTATTTCCAATGGATTGGCATCCACCACCCACATCCTAAAAGTTATTGTTTATTGAAATATATCATATACTATTTATCGTATTGGGCCTCATCTTATGAAATAACTCAGGAAGAATATGAAATATATAAAGAAAAAGACGGTTCCAGCCTGTGTTTTTCCCATGTATACTAAGTGACATATAAATCCGAACACCCAGTTTAAATGGTTTTATTTTAATAAAAGTTGGTGAATGTATTTATATTACTGTAAATAACAAGTGAAAAAATTTTCAGCCTTATCAGTTGGACATTCCGGTTTTTATATTGCTTTTTTTTAATTCACTAACGCTCTAAAAATGAATATTTCAGCCGCAGTAAAGAATCAACGTTGGCGGATTTTGGTTCTTGACATCCTTTACGATCGGTTACGATGCCTAGAGTACGGAGACCTGTACGATTTCGTCAACTTAGTGAGTTTGATAGGGGCCGTATAGTGGGACTTCGGGAAGCTGGACTTTCTTTTCGGGCAATTGCAGTTAGAGTGCAAAGAAGTGTAGACACTGTGGTTAGGTGTTGTCAGGTATGGCTTCGAGAAGGCCGTACGCAAAGAGCAAGGGGCACTGGACGCCGCCGTAGAACAACAGACCGTGAAGATCGCAGCCTAAGATTATTGGCCTTAAGGGACCGTTTCTCCACTACCAGGTCCATTGCAAATGAATGGTTTGCAGAACACGGAAGACCTATAGGCGTGCGAAGTGTTTACCGACGAATGAGAAGTTTTGGCTTGTTTTCATACCGGCCACACTGGGTCCTCCCTTTAACTCGAGAACACCGACGTAATCGCCTTGAGTGGTGCAGACAACGGTCACTCTGGGATCAGGAATGTCTTTAGTGACGAGTCTCGATTTTGTTTAGGCATGCACGATGGTCGTGCCAGGGTTAGAAGGCGACGTGGTGAAAGGAGGAATCCACAGTTTTTTGTTGAAAGACATGTTCATCACACTGTTGGAGTTATGGTTTGGGGTGCTATAGCTTATGGTTCCAGGTCACCTTTAATCTTCATCAGAGGTAACATGAACGCGCAGCGTTATATCCACGAAGTTCTCGAACCCCATCTTTTACCCTATCTTGACACCCTGGCAGATCCAACTTTCCAACAAGATAATGCCCGACCACATGTTGCAAGAGTCACAATAGACTTCTTTCAACATAATGATGTCACATTGTTACCATGGCCACCAAGATCTCCCGACTTATCCCCAATTGAGCACGTGTGGGATATGATGGGTAGGAGATTGCTCAATTTGCAACGTCCTCCTCAGACTCTAGAAGCACTTCGAGAGGAGTTGGTGGTTGCCTGGAATGAGATACCACAGGAGGACATTGACCACCTGATCAGAAGCATGCCTAGGCGCGTTGGAGAATGCGTAGCACATCAGGGTTCATCCACACATTATTAAAGGTCAAAGGGCTTTAAAGCAGTGCAATCATTTTGAAATTTATATCATTTACTTATTATGCTTCATTAAGTACTTATACAAAATTTTATTAAAATAAAACCATTTAAACTGGGTGTTCGGATTTATATGTCACTTAGTATACTTTATCACGCTGAACATCAATTTGAAGTAAAACTTGGGGGTCAGTGGACAAATTTTAGAGAAAACACATAAAAACGATCCACATGTCCACAAAAAAATAAGAAGTGGTATGGACTGGGGGTCTCACTATATTTTTTCTATGAATTTTTCCCCTTTGAACACGAATCTGAAGTCAAAGTTGGGAAAAGATGGACAAACAAGAAAGTAATTTAGACAGAGTTAAAAGTTTTGGTATTTTTGGTGGATGTTAATAATAATAAAGAAGTGACGCAGTTCTACCAAAAAAGCCAAAAAGTGTGATATTTATACCTGGATTACTTTCTCATTTGACCACAGATCCCCTAATTTTGGTTCTAGATTAGTATCCAGTACATGGGAAAACATAGTGGGACCCCAAGTACATACCACTTTTTTATGTTGTAGCCCTCTGTTATTGAAGAAGAATGGGGAGTGACAGCTGGTAGTCATGACCCCACCCTAGATTCGCCATTGATAAAGTAACCATTAGATTCGGGAATACTACAAGGTAAATACGGTGCAGACTACACATGTGAGGACCTGCAAGTCCATTACATAATCTTGACGATGAAGATTCTCAGTTAATGCCTGAACCATAGTCGCAGTTCCTTAAATGTTTGTCGCTCTTGTGTCTTGGTTTGGAAAATTATCGAAAGGATGTAGAGCACACCAATCGCAAAAAAAAACTGAACAAAATGGCACCCGAAATGTCAGCAAATATTCATTCATATTCGGTTTCTTTTCTTGACCAGAAAAAGAAGAGTACGGGTCAAAGAGACAATTATACGTTTTCTCACCTTGTATAATAATAATAATAGACAAAAAAAAAGTATAAAAGATAAAATTATAACAAACTACGTCAAATCAATAAATAAATGGCATAAGAGATAAAACTATAATAAATAATATATACATGGTTCGAATAAAAAATCAAAAATATAGCATAAACTCTAACTATTGAGTATCCGTGAAGAAGTTGTGGTCTAGGAACTCGTCAACGGTGAAAAAAGCTGTCGACAGAGCAAATTTTTCATAGGTATTACTGAATTTATTGTATGCTAGAGATCTTAGTTCCTTAGGTAAAATATTATAAAATTTTATGCCGTGGTAATTAACTCCATTTCTCGCTTTAGCAATTCATAGTATAGCTTCCATATACACTGAAAACCAAATACCAGTGACATCGTGATGTGTGCAATACGTGTGTTAGAAAGAGACAGAAGTACCTCGCCGCCTAGCAACCCGAGGACGACGTCACGGATCCCATCGGCGCTCTCTTTCTAACATACATATTGCACGCTTCTCGCGCGGCTCTCTCGTACACAATACGACGTCAGCCAAATTTGAACCTCACCGTATTTGCTATATATAACTTTTCTGGAGAAACGAACATCTAGATCCATATCTGAGCCACCATGGATATCATTGATCTAACAGTTTATAAAATTAATTATATCTCCGACCAATTATATTACCAATTCAATCGGGGAAAGTTATCAATTAAAATGGTCTTTCGTATATATAAATGATAAAAAAAACCACAGAACATCAATGTTTATTACGTACAATAGCGGTAAAGGTGAATGTCAATGAATGATTGATTTGTGACATTCTTTGAAGTGAATTCAAGCAGTAGCTGGAGCATTCAACCTAAGCTTCGCCATAATGAATCGCACTTTAGGTAGCTTTGTTAATAAAGGGGATATTATAATTATTATCAGCTGCCCAGATTAAAATTTATCATATTTGTAATATAATAATTGGTCTTGCAATAATCTGGGTGAATAATCGGTAGATCGGTCAATATTAACGGTAATAGTGGGTGCCAAAAGTTGTTTATCAACAAAATTAACAAACGTACATAATAATTTGGCGCCAAAATTAATGAATATGGATATTTCTCAACCGATGTGCGCTTATGACATCTGATATTAGTCAAAGTTAAAGAATACTTGTGAGATGTGTAAGAAATACGTATAAGTATATGATTGCAAACGTAAAACACATATAGACGCCTACAATGCAAACAAGTATCACCTAGCAAATAGCTTATATCGAATGCAAGGTTGAGATGTAGGCAGCGTTGCGATATTAGGTATTTGACACAAACATACCTCGCGCTTAATGATCGTAGATGCTAGAATATTTTTCATATGATGTTATTGATGTACGTGTTAATGCTGAAAACTGGTCACACTTTAAAAAGGATTCACTTCTGGACCCCTATTCTTGAAAACGAGGTAGTAGAACCACGGATGAGGAAATAGAGTAACTGAGAGGATGTTCAAATTCTGACAGCTGTGGACATTTGTCAAATAAATTTGTGAATGTCATCAAAATACGTTCCTGGGTTCTTCATATTATTAAACGTTCCATCACAAGCTTAACTGTCTTTAGAATTGAGACTGGTGGATGATTTAGGAAGCGGCTATTCAGGCAGTTCCTTGGAAGGTAATAGAACCACGTCCACTTTCCCTGAGTTACTCTATTCTCTTATTACAAGAATCGACCTGATTTCTATTGAAAATCTGATACAGCCTTTACCGTCACCACAATAAAAAAATCTTTTTCATTTGAGTGCAAAAAATTTCGTCGCGATCATGTTTTGTAACTGCGTTCTATTTCATACTCACGTCAAACAGAAAACGGTTAAACTCAAAGCATTTAACAAAGCTTAGTCATAATCAACTATTTGCCAACTTATACCGATTCAGAGATATTTAGCTAAAGCCGCGTACAAGCCGATTCCCAAGATCTTGGCAAGCACTTCCGCCTTGGCTTTTGAGTCGGTTACAATCATTCCATCCTGACACGAACGTGGTGGAAGGCTACTGTGAGAGAAGTTCTTTTCAATCTGCTTGGCCAGCGTCTAGAAAGACCGACTGCCACTGCGCTGACACATTACCCTGTGCCTAACTTTATATCGTGTTGGTTTTTGGCAATGCGAACCGCTTCATTATATTTGTTTCTGGACCCTACGTGGCTGGTCTGTTCTCTACAGTGAGGTTTTGTAAGAAGGTTTTTTGCGCCTTGATCTTCTGCTGGCGAGCAGTGTCACACGATTTGTTAAACCACCCGTTGGATCCTGATTTAGGCACTTGTACTGTATGAGGGATGTATTCCTCAATTCCGACGTGGATAATTTCAGACATATCTCCAAGGAAAGAAGAAGTCTCTGAGCCCCTTCCAATCGGCATGTCCGTAAATCCAAACTTTGCGAGTTTCTGCTGCACAGCGGGTTTTGACCGAAACCTAACCTCCACAACAGGTTAAATCACCGATAAGAACTACCTCTGAAGCGGGATGATTGATGTTCAGGAAGTCGATCTTGACGGCGAGTTATTGAAGTAGGTCATCCCAGTTATGGTTAGAGGGGAGCGATAAAGGCAGCAAATAAATTTGGGGATGTTTTGGAGTTCCCCCCCTTTCCCATGTAT